CTTTTTGCTGCTTCCTATAGCCTGTCCAGGAGTAGTTTTGCCCCATTCAATTATATCAGTGATAAGGGCACCATCATCTGAGAATTTGACATATGCGATATTTTCAGCACAAATCCATCTACACCCTGTGCAGGCGACAGTGGCGTAACGAAAGGCCCTGCTGACCCCGCTGTGCAGGGGGGCGCCGTCTTAGGGGGGCGCCAAATCGTCGTTTGAATGTGGGACAATTTCGAAAACTTAACTAAAGTACTAGCAAAACTGCGCGTTTTGCTCTTGATACACACTTTTTTAGAGATTTTACCGGCGTATTCTTTAAAATCACCTAATTTGTTCAATTTTAGGGAGGGGCACCAAAAGGGGAGGGGGCGCCAACAGGGGGGCGCTTTTTCGGCAGGGGGGCGCCAACAGGCAACGTTACGCCACTGGCAGGCGAGTGAACCCAGAGTCTGAGTCATCATCTATAGCCACTGTCATGATATAGTCAATCACGATGATGAACAAGTATGAGGTGTCTCTTTGCAGTACTCCCGAGTCCTGATCCTACCAGGACTTCGAAGACCCCTGTAATACCATCTGCAGTTGTGATTACTTAAGCCACTGTGTTTGTGTAGATCAATCGCACTATGTATTCTGGTATACCATTTGCTTTAAGTATCTTAATAAGCAAACCTTTATGTACACTGTCAAAGGCTTTATTAAAATCTATAAACATCATAGTGGCCTTCACACTCTTTAGACCCTATATAATTCTTCACAGAACAAGAAGTGCGAAGTTGTAGAGCAACCAGGTCTGAAGCCATTCTGGTTGTCTCTTAGTTTTTCTTCAAGTCTTTGCTTCATCCTGCTCAGCATTTTGATTAGAGTTTTACTTTTTGTTTCTGATTTCTAGAAAATCATAAGACGTGGCACTTGGTAGCACTCTGTTTGCAATAACTACCTACTAATGATATCCATTACCCATGACATGTATAGTTTCTTTTAGGGTTATAGAGGTGTCAGGATTTTAGCATCCACAGCAATATAGGTGATCTGGAACTCAATCTTATCAATACTCCTACATGATTTTATGGAGTGATTGTTGCAGTGAATGAATTTAATATATATATTTGTGTTAAATTCCTATTTTGGACTCTTAAACTCTTTAATTTTATATGTTATTGGATTGAACCAAGTAACATGTTACTCTAGCGAGATCTCCATCCAAAAAGATTAGTCTGCGCGAGCTGTTTTATTACTTTACTTATACATCTTCGGAGGGTAGGTAACATTTCTACTACATTTAAGCTCTTCCTATAGACCTGCCTCTTGATCTCTTCCTATTTTTGGGTTGTCATTCAAGTATTATAACCTGATCTTGCCCTCCGGGGTCCCATCATAAGCACATTCAACTTAATCTTATTCTTATTTCATTTCATTATTTCATTTCATTTACCTAGATGTTACCTGTAAATCGCAGAACTGGTTGGACAATGGACATCAAGACTACTGTCACAGCCTGGTGACCTAGAGCTAAATGAGCTACTGTTTCCTGTGTAGACCTCCCAGATGCTGGACAGGCTAGGATGTTCCTCGCCTTGTGAGTAACTTCAAGATCAGGTGTTATGGATTTAATGAAATAAGGCCAGAGGGGGGCGGGGGGGGGGGGGGGGAAGGATCAAAATTTTCGACCTTAATTTTATTCTCTAAACAAATTCACATTCATTATTCAATTGGTGTCTTAATTATGGATATACTGGACCTGATAATGTGATGTAAGATGACGTGATAATACGGAATAACATGAAAGCCTTCATTCAATTAACCTCATTTTCACGATAGGAGCATATAAACTTCCAAAATTAGGGGATGGGCAGGTCAAATCATAGTCCTAACTTCAGGATATATATATAGGCATTCAATAACTATGATATATTGACTTGAAATTGAATATTATCACAGGGAAAATATAATGACAATTCTTGTTGACACTGAGCACTAAACTAATGACAGCTAAGTAAAGATTCAGTTCAAGCCATCTAAAGCGACTCATGAATATGTACATTAGAACTTATTTTTATGAAGTTTGGGTTTTATGAGAAAGTTATTATATGCTACTTATATGAATGCTTTTTCAAAGAGATGCGTATTTATTCTCTTTTTAAACAAGACGATATCGGTTAATGTTCTCAATTGCTAAGGAAGCTGATTCCAAACAAAGGGTCCACAGTAACTAAAGCTTCTCTCAGTTTTACTATAATTTGAAACAGTAGGAACATTTAGGAGGAAATAGTCTTGTTCAGTCCGTAGTACACGTACAGGTTGACTCTTAATGTTGATGCATTTGGTGATATAATTTGGAGCTACGTTGTTGACACATTTGAACACGGTTAGAGCAATCTTATACTCTATTTGTTGTCTTATTGGAAGAAAATGGGCTTTTTTCAGGAATGGAGTGACACTGTGAGCACAATGTTATGTTATGATTACCCTTGTCAGTTTTAGTTTACAATGATATTTCAATTCCTTGTTTCTGTTGTAAAAGAAAGCACACAAATGACCTTACTTGAATATTCCAGCTGACACTGTTCTTAACGTACATAATAATCAGTTCTGCTAGGATACAACCAGATTAGTTTTCCTATTTAAAAAAATCATATAGTTAATCCATAGAGTTGTGTCAAATGATATTGAATCTCCGAAAAAGAGTGACAGAGGTTAAGCTCGTTAGGTTTTGGTCATTAAATGTTTAGGCAGTAATTTTTGATTAATTGTTCTAATTCTCGTTGCAGTGCCCTCGAATCATTGATAAACAACGTAAACTCAATTTACATAAACCAATATTTTCTGGTGTTACTATATCCGCCAAAATTCCCTTTCCTCAGGAACGAAAAATCTATTATACCATAAATTAAGTCAAACAATTGCCTAAAATTGTTGTAAACTAAATTTCATGGGAGGACTTATTTTAAAGGAGACTAAAATTTCAGCAGAGCATATACATGATATATGATTTAACGAATTTAAGTATCGTTAAATTTATACAAGTCGCTACTGCGTGTTATAGGTAAATGTATGTGATGCTATGTAATTGATGTATGTAATGTTGACTCGTCTTTAAATAATTTCCCAGATCGAAAATATTTTAGTCAAAAAAGCTAGTTGAATAAATTTTAAAAAATTAAATGATATGGAAAAATGGTCTTAAAAATACGACTAATATTGTTGTTGACTTGAAATTAACAAAATTTGTGACTTATATTATGGTAGCCATAATATTTATGGGAACCAAAGTTATTGTGAACCAAATTATTTCAGGCATGGTGGGCTGAACATGGAGCTACCGAAAGCTGCGAATCATTTAGAAATAAACTCAAATGCAGCAGACAGACAGAAGCATTAGTTTGAGTTAAGTTGTAAAGCTTCTTTAAACTTTTTCATCACAAAGAGAAATTTGTGTTAAATAGTAGTGGTAAATTTAAAGGGCGTGTTGGTAGACCTAATACAAACTTATATCAAATATGCTTGTTGATGACCTTAAATATAGAAACTTAGAACTTAGAAATTTGAGTGATTTAAATGAAATAAGGGATATTGCTAGCTGTTCCACTACTAAAGAAATAATCCCGATAACACTCAACCTCTGCCTGATCCAGAGGATATCACCATTTTACCTTCACACAGACATCGAACGCTGTAAGAAGATGACGATCAGACCTCATTAGCTGTAGGAAGTGTTGGAAACTGTTGTACTAGGCACAGATTACGTAGTTAAGATGTTTTCTTAATGGAGTTCTATTAACTATGTATGATCCTGTTTTATAATAAGATTATTTGTATAGAGTCGTATATAATGTTTCTTCTTAGACTGCCAGAGAGCACAGAAGATGGCTACTAGACAGCTAAAATCGATACTTTACGAGCCACCAGGGGATGCCTTTTTTCGATGGATAAAGTAAGTGCACCGACTTTTGACGCTTAAAAAAGTAAAAAGGACTTTTCACAGAGATATTTTGGTACCATCTTATGATGGCCTCTCATATGTATCTTTCGCCTTTCGGATCAATTTATTCCGGTCAACAAAGTTTCCTACTCCAGGCCATTAAATTGCTCCGTCAAAAACGCTATTATACCGGAGTTTTATTATAGTCCGGAGTTGGACGTTTTTCTGTACGCTTAGCTTGTCAATCTATGGTGTAGTTACCGTATAATATAAATGCTGTGAACACATTTTTCACTTGCTCGTTGACGAGGGTCACGTGATGGTAGGCGAATTTGTCAAGTTTATACGACTATTGTAATTGTACAATAAAATATTTATATTTTTGTATCCTTGTATCTGTGACCTCTGACAGGACACCGGTCATCTCGCCCAATTTTCCCGGGAGAATCAGATCTCATGTCAACTAGCGCGTGATCATCCCGGCCTGGGTGGTCCACTTGTAATGTTGTCAAACGGGAACCTCGGCCTCGCACATCTGGTAGTGAAGTACTGATTACAGCTGCAGGTCCTCCAAATTCACGAAGTCCAACAAGTCCTTGTATGAGCCATCAGTGTAAATCACGGTACTTTTCTAATCATAATCGCTTAGCTTGGCATCATTCAATGGACATTTGTTGTTCAAAAGAAGAAGAGTCAAAAATGAGAGTGAACGGTGACTGCTTATTGCATAAGCTCTTAAATCTGCTAACCGTACATAGCTCACGCAGCTGTCTACAGTTGCTGGGCTCGTTCCGGGTCAGAAATTTAAAGTTTACTGCGGCGTGGGGCTACATCGTCGTTCTGCTGTCGTGTACATTTAAGAATGTGGTGTGGACAGAGTTCTGACTTTTCCTGGAGTAAAGATATATGTCGGCCGTCTTTGTCACGGAGAAGTCTTTAAAGCTTTAAAGCTCTGAGCTTGACCTATTAAAAGACAAAAGATACATTTGCACGTCACGAGTAATGTGACCTACTGAAAAAAAATCGGGCAATTTGAAAATTTAGTCAAGTTCACACATGCACAATCAACCACTCATTGGTGTGATCCTCTGATCCGGGAAATCGAGATGTCCTCTCACAAACAACAGTTATTAGTAACAAGCATAACACGATTTTCCAATCTATTAACGAAGTTTGAGCATTTAGGGTCAAAGCAGAGACTTGGGTCGATGTGAATCGGCTTAAAAATAACAAATTTGGGGTATCTTTATTTTACATCTTGGTCGAGACCTGTCACCAGCAATATGATTTCATGTTGCCTTATTCAGGCGGGCGAAACTCACGTTACATGCGATCTGATCATCTGACTCTCACGATCGAGATCGGTAGCTTTAACTCACCAGCTCCAACACGGTTTTTTAGACTTTTTTCGGTTTTTCGAGCTGCCCTTCTCCCCTGAGGCCACGATGAAAAACATACAATATATTATATCTTTATTCTTTATATGTTACATGCATTCCCCTGCAGTAGTGAAAAGTAAATTGTTTGTTTTATTTCAGTGTCGACAGCTCAAACTATGGTGGTATCTTATCGCTACAATGCTGCTAACTAGACTCTTGGATGAAGTTAAGTTGTTTTAGTCAGATGATCTACTTTTTGGCGTTTCCTACTGCCCTAGTTATAGTAGTTCAAGGTTTAACTGTAAATATAGTGTTAAGTAAGTTTCAATACTTCCCTGCCACCTTTTCAGACATTGCAGAGATGTGTGACCGCACAATTCTCAAACCGAAGAATCAAAAGGAGTTATTGATTTATCGGTATATAAAGTATGTATGCTTTATCAAACAAAGCCACTAGGTAAGCAAATTCAAATATTTTGACAGTTCATACTGCGGTTATACATTGCAGCCAATGCGCAGCAAACAAGAGCTTGCCACGAGCTTGCCACTGCTATAAGCATTCGTATTCGTAGCTTGTTTGAATCTCAAATTTATTCGAATTATCATAAGTAGCCGGAAGCCCGTCCTGCGGACGGAGTTCTTCAGCACAAAATCGATTCTCAAACATTTTAAATCTACCCTTTCTCATTTCTACTTCTTTTCCTTTCACAATTTTCATGTTTTTTAAAAACTTCTTACCCCTATCCATGTCACCTATGATTCATGCATTTCTAGCTTCTCGGACAGTGCTGTCTTTTCCCTCATTGGCAAATCCTGAAAGTTTTATGAAAAATATAGATCAGAGTTATGTTTGTTCTGCACGTCTGCATTTCAGGTATTCGTGACACAGTTTACGTGTGATGACGTGGGCATCTCTCAACACACTTTGCAGCATGAGCGACGGTGCCCTGGCGGGATATCTGGAAATGTAGCCTTGAGCTCAGTTTATTTTTCTCCGTCACCTCACCCGGGGGAGGGGGGGGGAGCCAATGACTTTGGGTACTTTGGGGACAAGTGCAGAATTTCGCCAGCAATTTAACCTCAAGTCTCCAAGATTTTTAGCCCCCATTGGTACCCAAAAGTCTCCTTTAGAAGTCATTTAATAAAAGATAATATCAAAACTACATAAAACTCGCCAAAACTTTGGGTACTTATGGGGACAAATGGAAAATTTCACCAGCGATTTGACCTTCAGTCCCTATTATTTTCGTCCCCATTGGTGCTCAAAAGTCTCCATCAGTAGTCATTGCCCCCCCCCCCCCCCCCCTCATCCTGTGTCGGCTGTATGCAATTCTGATTGTACAACGGTTAAAAAATGCCAGTTAAATGTACCAACTCTCGTTTTATTTATTGTACCGACTCTCGCTCTTCGACCACGCTTTTCGTCTACTTGGCGTAGGGCGCGGTAAGATTTCATGTAATCACGCACACACGTATCGCGCGCGATGTAGAAATAAGTGCACATGGTCTTGTGGGTTCAAATGACCCCCGTAATCCATGTGGTGGGGCAGGAGGGTCAAGCACTGTTTTTTCTGAAATGAACCTCCTGATCCATGTGGTGGGGCAGGAGGGTCAAGCACTGTTTTTTCTGAAATGAACCTCCTGATCCATGTGGTGGGGCAGGAGGGTCAAGCACTGTTTTTTCTGAAATGAACCTCCTGATCCATGTGGTGGGGCAGGAGGGTCAAGCACTGTTTCTGAAATGAACCTCCTGATCCATGCGGTGGGGCAGGAGGGTCAAGCAATGTTCTTTTCAGGTTGACCCTCCTGCGCCATTATAACAATATTAGAATTTATAATAATTCAGAAATTTGATGAGAAATATTGAGTGTTCAAGTATTCAGTATTCGTCAACGGATGTAATGATAAGGAATACTCCAACAGTAACGACATGGAATAAATATACTTTGACATGTGACACTGATAGTGATAAGCCCTAGCCCAAAATAAAATATATATCTTCAGATACGCACATTAAGATAGCAGAAAAAGCTCGAATATACGGTGGTCCAGGAAATGCCAGAACCCCTCAAACTCGAGGCAGAAAGCAAGGGGGTCCCCAGAGAAAGACAAACAACCCTAATATTTCAATAAATGGAACAAACAAAAACTTTCCCCTTAAAGTTTTCAGATGAGCTTAAGGGTAAAAGACATGACGTAAATTAATTAAATTTTGCGAGAGATACTACTATTGGATTCAGTGTTTTGGCATGTGCATGAAGTGAACGCCAACTGGCAGTTCAATGATTGTTTTAACATTTAAAATTACTGCAATAACGGTAGTTTTGAATTCATAATTGCTCTTTTTAAATCTTGGCAGAGCCAAGTATTTTTTGCGAAACTAAATGTACTGATTCCTACGATTTTATCATTTTAAATTCTAACTGGACGTATTATTTGTTCAACACTGTCAATTTTCATCTTACACGAGAACCATTCATTCACCCACTTGTAAAAAGCTGCAACCAGTTATGTAAAATTGTTCAAAATGCACCTAATTTGATTAATAGAAATTTGATCCGAAATGACTCATTTTGTTTAGGTCATAACTCACTAACTAATAAACCTTTTTTGTGATGAGAAATAGAATTATCATTCCAATACAAATCGCTCGAGACTATATATCGCCTACAATGATATTTATGATAATAAAACCGTAATTAAATATGTCACATGATAAGTGTTATCACCCGGTCGGTAAATACAATTCAACATCTGGGATATTTAGAAATTCATCTTCCTAGTTTGACTGAACAACAACCACTTCAACTTAACATAAATATAAACCATTAAATTTGAATTATAAACACTACCATTTGAGAAGTATAGGAAAACCATTCGAAAATAAAAGATAACAATTGTCAAGTTCATAAAAAAGGCTTTCTGATCTTATGAAACCCATATTTGAAACCTATTATTTAAAAAATATATTGCTACATTAAAAAAGTGTATTCGTCTCATAAACATGTCTGCTTTGAGAAACTGTTAAATTGGTAAAAATTAATAAATTAGCAAATAGAAATATTTGGTTGATAGAGTTTAATATTCGCTAGTATCCAGTATTTCAGTAGTTTCAGTAGAAAGGGGCCCAGCCGATGTACATTTGGGAGAGGTTCGTTGTATCAGTGCTATCGCTTATCAGCTTGTGTACCTGGTGTTACAGTAGTTAGCAAGCTATACTCAATACTTATCATTTCTTATCTAAATTAACGAATCCTTATTATATATCTTACGATCCCAAAGCAACCTTTTGGGAAACTTCTCCCCTATAACTCTATAAAGCAATAATAAGCATGATGATAAGGAATAAGGATGAATTCTAAATGTCTAAATAAGAAGCTAAAGTTACCTGGCCTTCAGTAGATATAGGCAGTTTCGCGTGAGCGTTCTTCCCCATTTGTCCGTTCAACTTCTTCTCAATAGTCTTCATTATCTCCTGAGCTTTATCCTTCATGTGGGCCTCTGACCGGGTGTTCTGCCTGCCTCTATCAACTTGGTAACCACGCTTTTCTGGTTTGGCCCACTCAACAAGAGGGTCGTGAACGAAGGAATTTAAAACTGAGAGAAGAGAATCCTTCTCGTTCCTCATAACTCTCATAGTGTCCACACAGGACAACCTGAAGGTGCCCTCCACTCCCGTCACTCCAAAAGCGTCCACCAGATTGTGAGTTAGTCTAAAGGGAACCTTCTCCGGCCAGTCAAAAGACTCTCCTTTTTCAAACAGACAGTCAAAGTCCACGTGCACTGTCTCCCCATTAGTAAGATCAAACATAATGTTCTCTGCGTGCCTGTCGCCTAACCCTACAACATACCCCACCATGCTGATAACAGCGGTTGTTTGTGTGTACTTCTGTCGGGCTGTGAACCAGGAGCTCGGATCTGGGAACGTTCTCCTGAACCATTCTGATAGTACTGGAGGATGCCGGGCTAACATCGTGTTCTTAAACAACTTGATGAATTCAGCTGGCTTCTGTTTAGCTAGAGTGTGCTGTTTGATCTGCTGTAGTTTTGCGAACGCGTTCTTTGTCTCTGTTTTAGTCATTCCTTTCTTGTACTCCAAATACAACCCCTGCAGGATCACTCTCAGCAACTTAGTGTTATCAACCCACTCTACAATACCACTGTCACCACTGAGCGGCACCACAGCGTACGTTCTTATGTGAAGCTGCTTCTTCCTTGCTGCTGCATCCTTCTTCAGGAGTCTGTTGACCATCATGTTGAACTCCATAAACCTACAGTCCTTCCTCAGATCATCTTTAGGTTTACAAAGGAGACCGTATGTTTTACCGTTGCTGCCGACAATAGTTATTTTCTTGGGTCTCTGCAGAGAGTTGAGCACAAGAACTTCATCTCGGAGGGATTGTATGGTGACAAGGTGGTCGGGGAAGGCTTTGTGGTCGTTGTGAGGTCCGGAGCCTACAGGGAGAGTGACCGTGGTGTTAGCCTGGATAGGGAGAATTATCTGGCTGTATCTCGGGTCATCTAACATCTTCTTTATTGTCCTGAAGTCTCTGCTGATGCTCAATGTAGAGCTGTTACCACTGTCTTTCTTGCTTATCTGGTGGTAGTGCAGTGTTACGATGAGGTCTTACCTCGAATAGTATGCGAGGATTAAACCTAGAATAAACCTCTAATAATACCTGACAGACTTTGCAAAATCTAACCTCGAATAGTCCCTGACAGAGTTTGTGGAAGTCCCGCCAGTAAGTCTTGAACCACTCCACACCTCGGACGCCCATTGGTTTTGAGAACTTTTTAACTGTCGATTTGATAATATCGTTACCATGGCTTTGCCTGAGAGAAATTTATTTACTGCTAACTATAGAATTATTTAATCATAGTAACAATAATCATAGTAGCAATAATCAACTATGAGAATTTATGTTAATCACAATAAAGTGGCGTTACTGAAGATGAAAAGTAAAACTAACTTGTCTGACCAGTTAGAGCAACTGAAAACTAACCTGTCTCAGTTAGAGCTACAGAAAACTAACCTGTCTTTGTTAGAGCTACTGGTGATACTGTATATCTGCCAGATTGTTTGTTCGGGGTAGTGGTACAGAACTAAACTTGCTATTTCTACCAATTTGCTGGACACCTGCAAAGATTGAACTGCTAATGTGTTCAGGAAATCTTGAGGGGACCAGGTAGGGAGCGGGGTTGGGGGTTGAATTTTTGAGTTTCTATAAATCTGTAACAGTACGTAGTCGTAAAAACCAAGTTCTTCTCTTTCTAGAAACACTGATTGTTCTGGTAGTAACTTGAACAAACAAGTGGCACCATACAATCAGTTCAGTGACCGGTTAATGTTGTTACTTTCTTATCTGGTCAAATTTCCAGATTTAAGGACCTCATGTTAGGCAACTAGCACTACAAAACATAATATGAGGTGAGATTACAACTTCAACCCATAAAGAGAACGTCATATCATTGAGCCCTAATGGTACTACACGTCACACTTCAACCATAATGAAATGTTTTCAATGCGGTAGAATATCTATGCGAAATCCAATATCCATGTGATACGGCTCAGAAATCAAAAACCCGATTGACCGCACTAGCACACCCCGATTTACCGAAATATTTCCCTAAAATTGTGCGTTTATTCCAGAATCGAGATTACACTGTACAATCTGTATTACGGAAGTAGGAGTATTACAAAAGTCTGTTGAATTTAAAAGATCTTTTAAAAGACACCTGTGTGTTATCAGTAGGTATAAAGTTACGTTGCTTAGCCTTATCAAGCATTTAATTATCTAATATCTTCATTTAGAACTAGGCTTCCTTTATCAGGGTATAAGTTTCACTTTATCTTTTGGTTTTTAACCGAGCAGAATTTCTCCGAATTTGTCTGCCACGTATTCCTATATCTTCCAGTCTGTTCCTGTACTTCCTGTACTTCCTCCGTGTTTATTTAGAATTCTTATTCTGAAACTGCCACCATTTGTCTTGCTATACTTATAGTTACTATCGTCAGGAATATGGAAAGTAAAGTGGTATTTGTACTGATACTGGCTCTCTCAGTGGGGCTGTATTGGAAACTTAGCCCAGTCTCAGTGTCTGATTCCCAGTACAAATCAGCACTGAAAGACAAGGTAGTACTACTCTGTCACGCTAGCTCAGGGGTTGGGGAGCAGCTAGCATACGAGCTAGCTAGACACGGAGCTAAACTTCTCCTGGTGACCAGGACAGGGCGGTCAGAATCCCTCAGCAACAAACTAACTCTGCATCATTCCTACACTGACTCTGACAAGGCTAATGAGAGTGCAGTAGCGCAGCTCCAGATCAGCGCTCAAACATTCACGCTGCTACAAGCGGTACGAGACCAGGCTCTCAAGCTGGGTAGTCCTCAGGTGGAGATATTATCATTCGACTTCGGGGAGGTGAAAAGTGGGCACACCCTGGTGGATAGAGCGGTGGAGTCACTAGGGGGACTGGACTTTCTCATACTTAACCAGGAGGAGATAGCTAGGGGTTACCTGGTTAAAGGAGGCCGACCTATCGACCACAACTTCGTACAGAGGACCTTCAGTGTCAACCTGCTCAGTTCCATTGAGATATCGCTAAAAGCCATGCCTCATCTAGAGAAAAGCAAGGGACACATATTTGTAGCGTCATCCGCTCTGGGAGAGGTCCCTAAGTCTGGGCTATCAGTGCTCTCCGCTACCAAACACGCTCTCAACGGCTTCTTCTACAGTCTACAGCAGGAGTTGAAAGAAAAGAAGTCAGCAGTAACACTGACAGTGGGTGCTCTGGGAGAGATAGCAGCGGGAGATAGGATGCCCCTGTTTACGCTGCCTGACTGGATGGTAGGAGAGAAGGAGGAGTGTGCTGCCGGGATCCTACACTCTCTTATAACACGTCCTACTACCTTTACTTACCCCTCTCTTCATCTCAACGCAGCTAGGTTAGCTTGGTTTCTGGGCTAAATTATCAGTTTTATTGAACATTATTAACTTTTCATACTGCCTCTCCAGAGACAGCTTGAGCGGGTAAAAGAGACCATTTTATTATGTATCTACGAGATGATGTGTATATATTTTCTTACTAAGTTCTTTGTTGGTTGTAAATGGTTTATTGTTAAGCGATGACTACATAAATTGTAATAATTCGTCTACTTAGCTCGTTAATACTTAGTTAGATCTGGCAGGAAAAAACTAACCAAAATCCTAACCATAGTCCTAACATAAAGACGCTCAGATAGGCATGTCATGTTAGGCCTGGCTTGTCTTGTTAAGATCGTTATGGTTTCGCTTACTATGTTTTAGATACGGAAAGTCGTGATGTAAGTTATAGCAAACAAATCAAAATAAATACTGTACAAAATTGACGATACACAGTATCGAATGATATCTTGTTTGCAATCCAATACAAACAAATCCCCATTTCTCTTCAACTCAAGTTAATAACACAGAGTGCAGGGAGGATAGGGATTCTAATGTTGACAAGTAACTTCGCGGGGCAGGGAGGGGAGAGAGGGTCTCTTGTTCAGTCGTCTGAGAGATGTGATCACTGATTTGACCAATCCCATCTTCTGTACTCTTTTCTTCTGGTTGGAAGGGTGATCTGAGTTGCCAGATGACCTCTTTCCCAGGTCAGTGTTCCTAGTTGAAGATGGAGGTGAAGGTCTAGAGTCAGTACAGTTAGAGGGAGCGAGGAAACTTTGAAAGAGATGAGGATATCTGTTCCTTAGGGAGCACTCAGAGTCCTGTAACAAGATAGATGGCTCTAGAGAGTAGTCATAACAGTTCTGTGTCTCGTAGCTCTCCAGTTCTGAGAGACAGCTACCCTCTAGGATGAAAGTTAGCAGTCCTATTTTAGAGGTCTCCGTGTTTTTCTCTTCAATACAGCTGTTACTCTGGAACTGTATGCTACAATTCACCTGAACTGTGCGGGTACGGAAGTTAGGGGTTGCGGGTTTGATGGGACTGGGACAAGTTGGGGAGGAGTACTGCAGTCTGGAGCTGGAGGTTGATTTAGCTGGTGAGGAGCAGAATTGAGGAGATGGGAATGAAGGGGATTTAGCTAGAGACATATCAGCAGTTCAGAAAATAGTATCAAGGACTTGTTGTGTTGAACAGTTAATTGTAAGTTGTAGAATGTAGACAAAATGTGAATATGAGATGGTATCCGTCTTCTACCTTATATACCAACTGCCCTCACTATATTTATCTGTTTACCTTGATTGTATATTGGCGGCTGTCATAATTAGTTTGAAATTCCCAGGGTGCCTGAAAGATCCCAAACTAATTGATAGGGCGACTAGGATCAGGTTACCCGGTAGAGGCCTAACCTTTCACCGGGCCCTGTAATCACGAATGGTCTGGTTAATGGACTGTGAGAGTTCCCAACCTGTCTGAGTAGCGTGTCACGTGAAACCAGCCCTAAACCACTTTACTGTCTGAGTAACGTGTCACGTGATACCAGCCCTAAACCACTCCAAAATCCAGATACCATGGTCCAAGATCACACTGCACACTGGATAGGATGACGATATGACGCATCATTGGGCTGATCGGGTGGACACAACAAGTCTGATTAGATAGGCGGGATCGAGTGGGTAGGGTTTACATAAAACGTAGCAGATGATAAACTTTTCATATTCAAATTTCGTCCAAACTCTACAGTTTTCATCAACTATCTAACTATTTAACAATCTTCTTGTTAGCTTGAACTATTTTCTGAACTGCTGATATGTCTCTAGCTAAATCCCCTTCATTCCCATTTCCTCAATTCTGCTCCTCTCCAGCTAAATCTGCCCGCATCTCTCTGCTCAGCTCCAAGTACCTCGCTCCAACTTGTCCCAGTCCCATCAAACCTGCGACGCCCACCTTCCGTACCCGCACAGTTCAGGTGAATTGTAGCATACTATTCCACTCTACTGACAACTGTTTTGAAGAGAAGAACACGGAGACCTCTAAAATAGGACTGCTAACTTTCATCTTAGAGGGTAGCTGTCTCTCAGAACTGGAGAGCTACGAGACACAGAACTCGGACGACGACTCTTTAGAGCCCTCCGTCATGATACAGGACTCTGAATGCTCTATGCGGGAAAGATATCCCCATCTCTTTCAAAGTTTTCTCGCTCGCTCTAACTGTACTGACTCTACCACTTCACCTCCCTCACCAACTATGAACCCTGATCTTGAGGAGAGATCATCTGGCAACTCAGATCACCCTTCCAACCAGAAGAAAAGAGTACAGAAGATGGGATTGGTCAAATCAGTGATCACATCTCTCAGACGACTGAACAAGAGACCCTCTCTCCCCTCCCTGCCCCACGAAGTTATTTGTCAACATTAGAATCCCTATCCTCCCTGCACTCTGTGATATAGACTTGGGCACACGAGAAATGGGGATTTGTTTGTATTGGATTGCAAACAAGATATCATTCGATACTATGTATTGTCATTTTTGTACAGTATTTATTCTGATTTATTTGCTATAATTGACATCATATCACGAAACTTAAAACAACACAAGTTATTTTAATCGACTTTATAGTCTTATAGTCATATGCAGAACCATAACGCCTTGTCAATATTAGAACCCAAATATCTAGGTCCAGTCTGCCCCTCAACCTTCTACCCCAACAGCAAAAATAAAGCCGGGCGACCAATAAATAGTGCTTTATCGTCAATAGGTCGTAATTCGATACATTTGAAATGTTTAAACTATAAGAAACACCGATGACTGGAGTTGAAGGAAAGTGTATGATTAGATAATTTTGAAATACTAACGGAGGCTGACGGGTGACAAATACGAGACAGTATTTGGGACAGAGCAGTGAGCCACTGATAAGTTGGCAGTTTCTTTATAAGATCGTCAATGTGCCTGAAAAGTCAAAATATTAAAACTCAGTATTCCAACTACTGTATTACTCGATTAACAAAAACATATTTATGCAGATATTGAAACGGGTAAAAAAAGGTGCTTACTTGTTAGCCTGTTGTATACAGTTGGGTTTGTGGGCAGCTTGTGACATGGACATCTGCGCGGTGCTCTGGCTCATATCCGCTCCTGAAATTAAAACATGCGGGGTAAACTAAATGATGAATTAGGATCGGTTGAAGTGCTTGGTTTAGTATCAAATTCCCCTTTACTTTATTTGACCTTAAAATGTAAGTTTCACAAAATAAACAAGAGATGACCCAAAATAGTACATTTCGATCGCGGGAAGGTGCTTCAATGCGCGCGAGATCATCTACTTTAAATGTCTTCGGCTTTCGCGTCTAAAATACCTGGTTTCGAAAATGTGGACTTCTATATTGCCACAATTATAAGCTGACTTAATTAACATGCGATTTACCTTCAAGATCGAACCAAGTCGTAAGGAGACGGGGTAAGCTCTGGAAAATGTTATTTGAGCCATACTTGAGGGACTCCCCGTAGTGTTTGATAACATGCGGCATCATGGTCTGTTTGAACCCTGGCGTAACAGCTTTGCTCCATTTATAATAATAGTTGGCACAGTTAAACTGTGCATCTTCCCAACTTGGATCTGCATCCGTAACCTGTATGAACAACACATTTACACTAGAATAACACTAGTCAGTTCAATTGGCACAAGCACAAACAGTAAAGGTTGAGCTAGTAAACAAAAAGTTGATGAGTGGTTTGTCGCTTTCTTAAAACAATAAAACGAACCTTCAAGAACAAATGTTGAATATCCTCTGAGTCGTAATAAGAAGTCAGCTCCCTCCAGTTAGCGTAGAGCAGTTTTGCCTCAGCTCTGCCCCTCTTACTGATACTCTCAGGTGATCTCTCTATCTCGGATAAATAGTTCCCTAGCAATGTCATTGCCTCCTCTTTGGACTGTTTGTCCCACAACCAGCGTGCTCGTTCTATCTAACAGATACAGAATATTAAAATTAATATTTTTATGCACAGCGCTAGTTGATATTAAGGACAACCGACTACGACAATCCAAGATAGAAACATGAAGTGCCGATTCTCAGGCTCTCAGGGTGGTCTGTGACAAAATACCTTGAACTTGGGTGGGGTGTAGAGACTAGCATTCTGTAGAGCACTATCACAACATGGTATCAGCATCTCCTTACTGTAAAACACTATTTCAACGAATTATAAAGTAGGAGAAAAGAGTAAATATCACATTATAACATTGAGAAGTACAGTAGTAATTGAAAGTAACTGACCGTGCTAAAGTAGCACTGTTTAACCAGCTTGTACCCAGAGTTGCACTGACTGTTTTATCATCCCCCACCAAGCGCAGGAGAGCGCGCTGTAGGTTATACACTGGCTCCCGTGTCCGCCAACCATCCTGGATTACTCCCATCCTACTTTCAAACTGAGAAGAAACACACATCAAAAAGTTAAAAAATACTAAGCTTTACTCCCGATATAAAATTGAAGGAAAACGGAATTTCTGTTTAAATCTAATTGTTATAACAATTTCTTAATCAGCAAAAAGTTTTCCGACGTATTTAAGAAACAAAGTTACAATCCTTTTATTTGCAAAAGCGAATATAAAATAATATTACCTCCTTGTTCTTGTCAATGAGAGTGAGAGACTGAGAGCCAGGAGACTGGTTGAATATGAGGGAGTTAGCCCACTCTTCTATATCTCTCAACATGTGCAGATTTAACACATTCTCGTAACATCGCTCGTAACACCCTCCCTCCATAACAGCAACTGTGTAAGTAACGCAACGATTACTAAAGATTACTAATGGGAACTTATGGTTAATAATGTCTATTGGCTACTTAAGATCCGCTAATTGTACTGGAAGTGTTCAGTGTTATCAGTTATAGTAGTACATAATATAATAATGTGACACTTTTGCTAACTTTTCAAACTGAAATTAAAGTGTTCACCTGATAAAGGGATAAGTTGCTCAGCGCGCAGTGCCCGGAGAGAAGAGTTGAAAGTGTCTCTATCTAGAAGTCTAGCTGAGAGGAACTGCCGCCCCACCCCTACTGCCCAGGAAGTATCGTGAGGTGTAGAGGAAATGTACTCATCTACTAGATCCCACCTGTAGGTAAAATAGTTAGTTTAGTTCTGTGTATAATATACTATACTAGTGTATTTAGTGAATAGTAAGTTTATCTAGTATATATTTGCTCAAGTCCAAGAGAACAACACCTTCTCACATTATTCATCAACTATAACTAATCTTAAATAGCAAACATTAAGAAGTAACCAACCTGGCGAGGGACCAGGCAGCTTGTACTCTGTATTCATTCAGATCTCCTGTTAAAGCTGGATCTTCTCTTATCCTATCATTAACTACTCCCACCAGAGAAGTGTGCTGAGAATAGTTTAGTCTCAGTAAAAAGCACACTGGTGACTGGAGTATTTTCAATCATCACAATTCACAAACTTTATAGTAAGAATTTGTAGTGTTGTAAAAGAAAATGGCGTGAACATTCACAAAGAACCACGGTAAAAGGTTGAGTTGTGATCTAGTTACTATATCTATATTTACTTCTATTAATCAATAGTAATTATCTAGTTAACTTATGATAATTATCTAACTAATTAACAATAATAATAATAATCAATACTGACTAGCCCAGTGTGCAGGAGTTGTTTTAACATGCCCTGAACGAAGAAACTGTCCCCTGGGAATTGTGTTATCCCCTGCTCGTACATTGGAGGAGTTTCTTGTAGTCTCCCTTCTGTCTCTAGAGCTGAGGGTTAGCAGGGTTAGCGGGGTTAGCAGCAACAGTTCATGATAACAAAATGAACTATGAAGTAGTGAATAATCACGAAATTAATTTACTAATATACAAATTGTTAACCTTGTATCTGTTCTCTTAGAGAGGCCGGTGTGTTCCTAGAAGCAGTTACCCCTGCTACTCCGTCAAACTCGCTCATTTTAACGTAGATCCTTTGCAGCAGCTCCCAGTCCCTCTGACAGAGTAGATTCAGTAAAGTAATTGGGCACATTTAAAGGATTCAGAGTTAGAGACATGACATAGGGGACAGTTTATATAATATGAATGGTACCTGGAGATCAAACGAGAAAAATAGAAATTACCAGTACCACCTGCTGCTAAATAGTTAAAGTTCAGGACCATGGAACTATAATACCTGATCAGTGATCTTGTTTTTATACTCCAGATACATGAGTGCTCTGTTGTAAGCCCCACAGTTGAAGGCGGACACTGCTATAACTTGTTTAGACACCTTGTTCAGTGTGTTCTCTACTCGTGTTAACAGTGCTACGGACGCACTGTTACCTGTAAATAGTATCATTGCTGTTGGAACTTAAATCCTTTTTATAGCACTTAAGTAACTTTTAGTAATTAATTCTTTCGAGTAGCTAAGCAGGAACACGAACTGTTAAAATTCACGTACAATATATTCTGAGTTGATATCTACTCTTACCTTTAGTAGTTATTTGGCGTTTTTTGTTGATCCAGATAACAATGTAGTCAATAAGTGAGAACACAGTCTGAGCTATTAGTCTCGTTACATCACACAACACCTGGAAATAATCATTTTATATCTGGTAACATCACAACACACGTAACATTGTCATTACTAGCCTGGTCACGTGACATTGTCAATACTAGCCTGGTCACGTGATATTGTCATTACTAGCCTGGTCACGTGACATTGTCATTACTAGCCTGGTCACGTGATATTGTCATTACTAGCCTGGTCACGTGACATTGTCATTACTAGCCTGGTCACGTGATATTGTCATTACTAGCCTGGTCACGTGATATTGTCATTACTAGCCTGGTCACGTGACATTGTCATTACTAGCCTGAATAGAGATAGTGCAGATACTGTGATCTAGACTTACAGTGTTATTTTGTGTAGCGTAGAGGACTGCCTGTACCTCTGTAAGTACCAGGTCCACTGCTGATGTGCTTCCTTTTAGCAGGATCTGTAGTACCAGTATTGGCAGTAGAAATTGTAGCGTATCTGTAATAGTTAGATAAGCAAACTGATTTCATGATAAACACAGAAAGTAGTGTTGTCATAGTTAAATAGTTGTCATGGTAACAGAAATGTCTTTATTGTAACAGCGTTTTCCTAGTAATACTGGTGTTGTCATGGTAACAGTAGTGTTGTCATGGTAACAGTAGTGTTGTCATGGTAACAGTTATTTTACCAGTTTGAGTGGAAGTGATGATCTTTAGAGGAGGAATAAGAAGAGAAGCTAGTTTATTGTTACCATGGTTACTGCTCTGGTTACCATGGTTACTGCCCTCGACCACTAACTGTAACAGTATACCCGTCCAACACGACAGCCATTCCTCAAAAGTTGTTTTCTTCTCGCTTTTAAATACTGGAGTAGCTCTACTGGGCTCGTTGTGCGGGTTTAGTATGTACCTGGCAATATAGGGGTAACGTTAGTCGGGGGAGGGGTTTAGTATGTACCTGGCAATATAATGGGGGTAACGTTAGTCGGGGGAGGGGTTTAGTATGTACCTGGCAATATAATGGGGGTAACGTTAGTCGGGGTGAAGTTGTTGTAAAATGTATCTGGGGGTTGAGTAGTAAATTAAAAAATTCCCAACATCATAATAATTTCATCATTTATACAATAACTTCATACTTAAACTTAATGTAAAACTTAATGTAAAACATTAGAATGTAATTTACTTAGAGTTAATATGAGGTTCCAATATCTCCATGACACTCTCATCAAATCTGTCCCTGAACTTGGAGAACAGCTGGTCCCCACACCGTCTGTACGCTGACAACACCTCCTGGATAGCAAACGCGAACTTGTCCTCACTCAACTGATCAGAGCTGTTCCTGTAACCTTTAGAGAGCACTACTAGCAGGTCGGGTCCGAAGTTCTCGTCCTCTATTCCTTCCAGATATACTTTGTGTTGGGAGGTTGGAGTTGAGATTACAGATCCTAGTAATCCCCCGTCAATTGCTCCTACTTCTCCTGGAATTAAGGGTTGTCATGGAAACTTGCTGATCACTGATACCAGTTACACAGAAAATATATAAGGACACGTTCATTGAAGTTTGAGGATATTGGTAAATATTAGTGACCCTACTGAATGGCACGATGATGTAAAATGTGTCACACTATGAAACTATATAAACCCTCTAACCCTAAGATAATCGTTTCATCCTCTAGATAAACTTTGTCGCATAACGATATCTTTATCAGACGATAAGATATCGCTTAAATGCAGCCGGCAGTGAGTTGTAAACTTTGTCACACTATAAAAACGTGACGGAGTTTATATGGACCCCTTGTTGCCGTATTTGACCACATTTTCGAATTTCCAATTCATAGAATAACTGTATATGACTATTATCTACATATTTAGCGACTTTTTTCCTTAAATGGTAGCACCATGTAAACTCCGTCACACATTTAAGAAATTTATATGAGGGATGTTTATGACATCCTGACAAGAAATGCCGAATAGTCTAGCATTATTTTGTGAGCTGAATGTGTTTGGAATTGTTCACATATTTCATTGTTATAGGCAGATACAAATACAGAAGGCAGAAATAGGTAAATTTAGTCATATAAATTTGTATGATATCTCAACATGTGTGAAATTGAGTAAATATTAGTATACCAACTTAAAAACCCTATATTACGTACTATGGATCAATTAACAATATTTCAACCATACGCCGGTCATATAAATTATTATATGGCAGTGATATGTTAACATTGGATAAATTTCAACACCTGAACAGGGTAAAAATTTGTAAATTTCGTCACAAAAAAAATTATAACTTTATTTGCTCCGTGTTGGCAAAATAACTAATTTATCGACATAGTGATGGTGATAAAGTAACATTATATACTAATTGAGGTATGATTCTTCAAAATAGGGGCAAGAAATGTAAATTTCGTCACATCAGCCATTGCATTAGTTAGGTAGATTTTCTTTCATATCACTGGCCTTATTATAGTTGGAATGGATTTATACAGGAAATATTGAAACCCATGCCCATTTTTCATCACATTGAAATTATACTGTTGGGGCAGGAAAAGTAAATTTCGTCACATTTCGGTAAATTAGTGATATCAAACTCAGCATTGTTAAACTTGAGTTCTGATTTGCTGAAAAATAACCTACCAATAATTCCTGGAAGAATATTGAATTCTAATTGGGGTATGGTTCTTCAAAATAGGGTCAAGAAATGTAAATTTCGTCACATACGTCATTGTAAAATTTAGATACATTTTCTTTCACATCAACAGTCCTAATTATAGTTTGAAATGATTAATTCAGAGATAAAGGAAATATAGAAACCCATGCCCATTTTTCATCACATTGAAATTATACTTTTGGGGCAGGAAAAGTGAATTTCGTCACATTTCGGTAACTTAGTATAATTAAACTTAGAATTGTCAAACTTGAGTTCTGATGATCTGCTGAATAATAACCTACTAATAATTCCTGGAAGAATATTGAATTCTAATCGGGGTATGGTTCTTCAAAATAGGGTCAAGAAATGTAAATTTTGTCACATACGTCATTGTAAAATTTAGATATACTTTCTTTCACATCAACAGTCCTAATTATAGTTTGAAATGATTAATTCAGAGATAAGGAAATATAGAAACCCATGCCCATTTTTCATCACATTGAAATTATACTGTTGGGGCAGGAAAAGTGAATTTCGTCACATTTCGGTAACTTAGTAAAATTAAACTCAGAATTGTTAAACTTGAGTTCTGATTTGCTCAATAATAACCTACTAATAATTCCTGGAAGAATATTGAATATTAATCGAGGCATGTTTCTTCAAAAGAGGGTCAAGAAATGTAAATTTCGTCACATCAGCCATTGCATTAGTTAGATAGATTTTCTTTCATTACATCAACTGCCCTTATTATTATTGTGACAATTTTTACATCAACTGCCCTTAACTTGAATCAGCTCTATCCGTGCATCGTCCTTATATACAGTTTTCCCGCCTTCCAAACCAAAATCAGATATAAATGATTTCGGCAATTCACCCAAAATTTTAAATTCCATATAATGTGACAGAATTTACATCATTTCCAAATGAGTGCATGTATTTGCTAACTTTTCAAAACAACATATTTTAGGGCTATGATTGGTAGAAGAACCATCAAATAATGATTTGAAAGGGTTTTGAGGACACCTCACAGTAGAAAAGAGGTATCGTATTCTGAGTGTGACAAAGTTTACGAAATATTACCTCAAAACCGTTCGATCCCTGCCATTTAGCCAAATGTTGTATCATAATTGTTAGAATGACCTAATCTACTATATTTCAAACCAAAAATGCTAATTGGGCAGCTATGGTTAACACAGTCACAAAAATGTGACATTTTTTACATTATAGTGCCTAAAAACAATAAATTGTATTTCTGAGCCGTGTATATGGAAGTATGGGTCACGTGGCTAATGTTCAGAACTTCTGAACACGCTATTTTTTTTGGTTTACCAATATCCTTAAACTTCAACATGAACGTGTCCATTTACGATTTCATATCATTGTGTGACGCTGTTTACATCAACTGCCCTATACTTCAATCAACTGTATCCGTGTATCGTCCTCATATAGAGTTTTCACGCCTTCCAAACCAAAATCAGAAATAAATGATTTCGGAAATTCACCCAGAATTTCAAATTCCATATAATGTGACAGAATTTACATCATTTCCCAATAGCCAAGTGCATGTATTTGTTAACTTTTCAAAACAACATATTTTAGGGCTATGATTGGCAGAAGAACTATCAAATAATGAGTTGAAAGGGTTTTGAGGACAACTCACAGTAGAAAAGAGGTCTCGTATTCTGAGTGTGACAAAGTTTACGAAATGTTGCCTTAAAGCCGTTCGATCACTGCCCTTTAGGCCTACATTGTATCATAATTGTTAGATTGACCTAATCTACTATATTTTAGACCAAAAAATGCTAATTGGGCAGCTATGGTAAACAATGTCCCAAAAATGTGACATTTTTTACATAATAGTGCCTAAAAGCAATACATTTTATTTTTGAGCTGTGCATATGGGAGTATGGGTCACGTGGCTAATGTTCAGAACTTATGAACTCGCTAGATTAATATATGTTAAAATTAAACCACTATCGTCAAAAACGCTGTTTTAGAAATTTACCAATTTCCTCAAACTTCAATGAACGTGTCCATAAACATAATATGCTCGGGAAACAGGTTCAGGAATATGATATAATATTTAATATGATTATATTTTTACCTAAACAAGTACAGAAGAGGATTCTGATGTCAAGGTCAGGATCCCTTACTCCGCATAACAAGGTGCTTATTAGCTCTGTTATCATCTTATCTACCGTCTCACTTCCTGTAAACCAATTAGCTTAAAACTTGTTGGCACAACACATCAATTCTCTTAAAATTGCGAAGATGAAGAAACATGACATCACTCAAATTTTCAGCCCATCAGAAAGTCACAATATCTCGATTGGAAAATGTTTCCCATGCATGTCATCCGTTCGACAAGAAAAAGAATATAAAATCTTTCGAATAAATGGAGAATGGTGATGATCACCAGATGGTATGACAGTCAAAATACAATAAGTAGGAACTGCTTTAATTATTTGATTGATGGCAAACTGACATCTTTGTTGGTATGATAACTTAGCACTTACCTAGCACCATATGGTTAATGATATCCTGGTTGGTATGGAGAAGTTGCTGAAGGGAAGTTAGAGAATGTGCCCGAACTTCTGAACTCTCTGCAGCAACTCCCGAAATATGGGACTTCAAACTGTCCTTAAACCGCTCCTCCGTCATCACTTCTCCCTTCTTTCCTGCATGTACTGGTACATGATGTTAGAGTCTACATTTTACTAATTAATTGATTAATTATTAACTTATTGAGATAAACAATAACGGAACTTCTTGCGGTTCAACCTTACCGTGAGAGAGTAGTTTTAATTTCACATCCGCAAGCTCCATGTGGTCAGGGATAGTGAGCCAGCCTATGTCACCTACAAAGTTCTTAACCTCGCTCCATCTCTCGTTCTCTAACAACAGGAACCTCACTGTCTGAATCACCTGACAACAAACATATTAATTAATTAGTTAATTAAGATACGTTTAATTAATTAGATAACAGATATTTTAAGAGGTTATTTGTGTCTAGATTAAATGTAAGAGAAATTATATGCAGCAAATAGATTTCACGACCTTATGTGACATCTTCATATTTACAGATTACTGAAGAGAAGGTTTTATGCCGTCCCCTTGACCGAAATTTCACGGTTTGATTGACATTTTTACCAGTCACCAATCAGTGAGGTCGGTCAGGGTGACACAAGTCGCCATCAAGGTACTGGAACCAGTATATCCGGAGAAAACTTTGATACAATGAAAATTTTAAATATGTCCCCCCGATAGGACATATTCGAATTTTAGCTTTCTGCGACCCAAATTTCACTGTTTTGACTGAATTTTTCTTCAATGACCATCTTACAAGGTCACTGAGGATGGCACAAGACACGATTGAGGTACTCAAAGTTCTATTCCTAAAGAAAGCTTTGATAAACGGAAAATCATCAGAATATAAAAGGAGGTTTTGAAAAGAAGCTTTTCTGCCGTCCCCTTGACCGAAATTTCGCGGTTTTAGCTTAATTTTTGACCAGTGACCAATCAGTGAGGTCGGTGAGAGTGATAAAAGTCGCCATCAAGGTATTGGAACCAGTATATCCCGAAAAAAAATCGACGGAATAAACATTTTCAGATTTCAGCTGAATTTTTCTTGAATGATCATCTAGCAAGGTCACGTCACTGAGGATGACATTAGACATAACTGAGGTACTGGAAGTTCTATTCCCAAAGAAAGCTTTGAAAAACGGAAAATCATCATCTAGCAAGGTCACTGAGGATAGCACAAGACACGATTGAGGTGCTCAAAGTTCTATTCCCAAAGAAAGTTTTGATAAGCTTTGATAGTAACTAACTAACTAAATTAGTTAATGGAGCAGCACTGACTTGAGAAGGGAAGGTAGGTAGGTGAGGGAGCAACACAGCAACTATTTCCCCCAGTAAAGGTCCTACACACTTCTTCTCGCTTACTCGCACAAACGTGTCCCACCCAATCAGTGCGTCGTGTCTTACCACTGCATCAGGACAGTTCAACCCGTTCCTACAGGGATAAAACATAATTATAGTTCATGTTCTTACTTGTGATAGACATTAGACGTTATCACAGATCTGTGATAGACGTTATCACAGATCTGTGATGAATATTTAACCCATTAGGGACGATAGGGTCGTTTTTATGACCCACCTTTTCTAGACAAAAAACCAAATTACTAAACGCTATAACGAATCTATAGCATATATGCTCAAAATTAATTGGGCTACATATAATGAAGCCCAATAAATTTTGAGCATATATGCTATAGATTCGTTATAGCGTTTAGTAATTTGGTTTTTTGTCTAGAAAAGGTGGGTCATAAAAACGACCCTATCGTCCCTAATGGGTTAACAGCACAGCTGCTGTAAATAACGAAGAAAAAATTCCGGATAAGGCTTCGCAAAATGGAAACTCGTCAAAATATACTACCGGAAGTACATTTTCGGGGGCAGGAAGTACATTTCCAAAATATTTAAACGTTTCTAAGCCGAAAAGTTTGGACGAATTTTCTCACCATTTAACAAGACGTGTAAAAAGAGTAGTACCTAAGTATGGAGAGGAGTTTGTTTTTCCACTTGGTGAGGGTGGTGGGAGGAAATATCTGCATCAGCTCAATAACACTCTCCAACACCAAATAGGACTCTTCAGTAAACTTGCCCCGCTGTAGAGTAGCTAGAGAGGCTAGTATCCCCAACAACCTGGGCTCTATCAAACTAGCTAGCCTCCCACAGTCTCCGCTGGAAGATTTGTTCTTTTTGTCACGTGCAGTTTCCTTGGTAACAGTCTCCCTGGCAACCGTCTCCTTAGCAACAGTGTTAGCTTGTAGCATGTTGAGTCCCCACTCCACCGCATCTTTGTCACGTGATAGGTAGAGGGCCAGCTGGTTGGTTATGGGCTGTACGTTATGCTGCATTAACTCTGACAAGCTCATCTCACTCACCTGAACAGTTTAATGAAAATATTTAACAAAGAAATAAGTAAATAAACAATAATTAATATAAAATAAGAAAATAATCAATAACAAATTTTAATTGATATTAAAACAACTTAAATACAATGCGACTAACTCACGTTTTCAACGAAGGTAAAGGGTGACTCCTGTTGTTTTGAAAACCGTGCAATGTAGCAGAAAATGTGAGAGAAATTCTTCACCACCAGACTTTTCACCGTCTGAAAGGAATCATAATTTAACACTTTCAGATCATTGACAGTTACAACACCACCCTAAAACTAACATCCTACTAATTCCGGTCCCCTAAAACTTCCATAAAACACCCATCAAGAATTCATTTGCAATGTAGAAAACCCGTCCTGATCACCTGCTGAACTTGAGGCGGCGTGACCTTCTCACCTAACGTTTTCAAAAATACCGTTTCTAACATGATTCAAATCGTGAAACAGGACACTTCCTCTCCAATTCTTAGGTTGAGCAGCTTCGTAGCACTGGGTGCGACTTAGGTCACACAGAATTTGAACCTTTCAGCTTTTTTCTCACTCATTTATTGCTTTGGTACGTTTTATTTCTGTGAATTAACTCTCGGTACGTGTTTGCGTTACTGTATCACAACTTCCTGTTTATTAGTTATCTCATCACTAAAGTCTTGTGACTCCCCCTGAAGTTCAGATATCTGATACCCTGGTTCCTGGTAGAAGGATCTCACTTTTATCTTGTTCTTATTTAAGAAGCTGTTACTTCCTGCTCTCCTTCATGCTACTGTGTTATTGTTGTGGACTCAGTGGAGGTGTATAACAGGACAATGCTACCTGTGTTTTATTTAGATAGTCTTATTACATGCGTATTTATGCATTATGCAGTGCTTTGCTGGACAACTCTACCTTAGTATTTACTTTGTTGCTTGCTCGTGTTATTTAGTAGTCCAGTAATCTGATAAACTATTGTCTCCCCTGTAACTCTGTAAAAGTAGTTAACATATAACTACACTACCATCTGTCAAGGTTCAGCAATCAGCATGAAACTAGTAACAGTACTAGTTGTACTGGCTGTGATGTTGACGGTTGGGGCAGAACAGGGTTTCGAAGACTGGACTGCAAAACATGGAAAAGTTTACCAATCCTGGAGGGAACGGGAATATCGACAGGTGAGACACGTTATGAGACATTATTATAAGACACACATGTGAAACAACCTATGAGACACAATGAAACAATCTATGAGACACACTACAAGACACTATTTCAGGGAGTGTGGAGTAAGAACATGGTAAAGATAGTGTCCCACAATACTCGCTACCACGCGGGAGAGAAGAGCTACACACTTGCCATGAACGAGCACGGGGATCTCACTCACCATGAGTTCCACAACCAGAGGACCTGCTTCCATGGTGACCGTGAAACAAACTCCTCCTCTTCTCTGGGCAGACTGCCAAAAGTTCACTACCAAGGCACTCTCTTTATGCCTCCTGTCAGTAACTTCACCATACCAGAAGAGTTGGATCTCAGGAATGTGAGTGGGGGATGTTTTGTCACTCCAGTCAAGGATCAAGGACAATGTGGCAGCTGCTGGTCATTCTCAACAACAGGTAACCATGATAAAAGCACTTTACCATGCCAACACGGCAACACAGTAATTTTTCATTACCATGACTACTATCACAATGATAATATTAATGTTGCTATGGAAACACTAATGTTACCATAACAGTACTGCAAAGCCACAATTTTTAACAGGAGCACTGGAAGGACAAATATTCAGAAAGACCGGAAAGTTACCAAATCTTAGTGAGCAGCAGTTGGTGGACTGTTCCACAAAGTTTGGTAACTACGGCTGTGACGGGGGTCTCATGGATATGGCTTTCCTCTACACTATGAGCGTGAAAGGGCTGATGAGCGAGGAGGATTACCCTTACACTGGTGAAGATGGAGACTGTCTGTTCAAACCACACAAGGTAATATATCAGAGTTATGGCTGATGAACTTAAGGGAATATAATATTATAATAAAACTTTCCAAAAATATATAAATTTAAAAAATAACCCTAACAAGGGCTAATAATTAAAGGAAAGAAGAACGGGTAAGTCTAAAGTCAAAATTCTGTGTTATACTGGATGTAATTAATTGAAGCGCACTACAGGCAGTAGCAGGAGCAGCAGGTTACATGTACATTCCTGAAGGAGAGGAGGAGATGTTAACCCTAGCTCTAGCCCTGAACGGTCCCATCTCTATAGCTATAGACGCCAGTGTGGAGTCCTTCCAGTTCTACGAGTCAGGGGTTTACGATGAGCCGAGCTGCAGCACTGAGGATCTAGATCACGCTGTGCTGGCAGTGGGGTATGGGGTTTATAAGGGAACCCCTTATTACTTGGTTAAGAACAGCTGGGGCACTACTTGGGGCCAGGGGGGCTATATTATGATGAGCAGGAACGGGCAGAACCAGTGTGGTATTGCTACAGAGGGGGTCTTACCTCTAGTGTCACCTTTATAGATCGTAGAGACTGTCAATATCATCCAGGAGATGATATTGCATTTTTATGGAGCTAATTTTGTGTTTTATATATAATATAATTTTTTGATAATTCGACTTTTGGAATTCGACAGAAATTTAATACCAAATACTACTATTGCAACTAGACTATTTTTTACATCCTAAGATCACATTGTATAATCATTATGATCGTATTATTTATATACGTTACTGCAACTGTTTATAGCTTCTTTGTGTTGTTCTTATACCACTATTGACTACAAAAACCGTTTAAAACCAAATGCCAAATAATTCCCAACAACATTTGGACATGATTCATGACACAAAAGCCAGTTTCACAATCTCACTCAAAGTCTGTAGTATGAGTCTACCTGGTTCACGAAGTCACTCAAAGTCTGCAGAATGTTTCTGGCAATGTTTCCATGACTGACACTTTGAGCTCCGTAGTGGAAGACAGCAGGTAAAATGTGCTGTACGTTCCTGGCTAGAAGATAGGCTGCCGGGGAGGTTTGTTTGTTGCTGCTGAAGAAGGCTCCTGCCACTTCCTTGGGTTATTAAGTTATAAGAAATGATAATTAGGATATAAGCAACAAATTTCAATCTTTCAAATTTCAATTAAGATGATAATGACAAATTTTAATTAGAACATAATTATATGCCAAATACTAATTCGGGTAACCTCTAAAAAAGATACGATAGCGTCAGGTTGCTCCAGGATCCTTTTTGCGGCAATGTCACAAATCGTCACGTTAAATCTCTCAAACAGCTCCGTTTTGGAGCTCAGTCCTTGACTTTCCGCAATCTTCCCAAGTCCTGCAGTAATAAATATTTAACATAATTAAATTACACTTTTCCGCCTTAATTATTTCTGGACCCTTGTTTCTCCAACCATTTTCCTCTTAAAACAAAATTAAAAACACAGGTTCGGAAAACTTAAAGCCAACGTACGTCATACACATATGAAATAAAATGCATATAATATTAACCACAAGTACCTTTTATAACGAAGACTTGAGTTGCGGAGTCCTCCTCCATCAATACACCGTACATAATAGCAGGCAATAGCTCTTTAGTGAAGAGGAACCTAGCTTCACACGCTAGAGATATAGCACTGGCTAGACCCTGTCAAAAGGGTGACAGTCAGAGACACCGTTTAGTTGCGCGGCAAAAATAAGCGATTTATCCCGCAATTCTTTGGTGCTTTTGATGAAAACAAGTCTTAAAATCTATGGTGAACTAGTAAATCAAGATTAAATTTACTGATACCGATTTTTTGAAATCATCTGATTTGTCCAGAGCGAGCTTGAGATTGTGTAACACTTTCTTCTGTGACTCGGTAAGTTTAGTACTTTTAGTCTGAGATGGGGTGACGGAGGCTAGCCCCAGTTCGGACCATCCTTTATTCCTGATTACATTCGACTATCAGTTAAACTTTAGCGTGTGCTTCTGAAGCATCACACACGAGAAGTAACCGCACACGAAGTGTGCTTTTTGAGCCGCGCTATGATTGTTTCAAAACCTCTAAAAGTTTGAACATTTTTCTAATAAATTATTTAATAATAAAGACAATATAATATAACAAAAGAATATTTTTCAAATACCAGATTTCCTATATAATTTAAATAATATTCTCTGAAAATCTTTAAAATAATTCAGTAGTACTCACGCCAGCTTGTGTCTAATAGCAGAGTCAGGGTGCAGTATAAGCGGTGTAAGGAGGTCCACTACCCGCTGCTGGTCCACGTGTCTGGATAACAGAGTCACGTGATCAAGCCCGCTCAGAATACAGGAGGTCTGGTTATCTGCCTTGAACAAGGTTAGTATACTCCTCACCGTCTTGTCGGGTAACTCTTCCCCTGATCATAACTCACGTTAGTTTTTGGAATACGGGCGGTGCTTTTTGGGAATAGCTCCAGAAGTAAGCCTTAATAAATTCCTAACTACCAAAAATGTGTTAAAACCCCATATTTAAGCTGAGGTCAGAGGTATTCATGTCAATGATTATAATTTCAACTGAAAACTTAACCCACCTTTATTTGTATCGGGAGTGTATCTCAAACAAGTAGCAAGGTCTCCACAGTAAACCCCCTGTGTCTCAACAAAACCCAACCTGCCCCCACAACATGACAGCACTATCTGGTCCAGGTTAGCTGCTACCTCCGTGAGAATCTCACCGTTCTTGCAGTTAGTTAAGAGCTCAATACAGTCTAGCACTTGTGTCTTCTTCAGTTGAGAGAAGAGCTGGATCAGAGGAAACACCGACCATTTGCCCTGAAATAGTGGATAAATTAGCCAAAACGAGCCGTTTTTACACTGAACAACATAACACGTCCAATATGTTTCCAAACCAGTTAGTGCGAATTTCAAGATTTTATTTTGTTAAATTATTACTGACCTTGCCTCCAATAACAGGGTCTATAAAGTACTTGAGATTATTCTCGTTGTGAGATCCCATCAGCACGTAACAACCCAACACTCTAGACTTGATCTCATCTTGGATAATTTAAAACTTTAGTCAGTAAGTAATTCTGTTAATAAAAATTAGAATAAGTTAGAAATTATTAAAATTCTTCTTAAGTTCTTATTAATTACCTGGCACACAACTAATGTTAATGTCGAGGAGCCTTTTAGCGACACTGCGCACTTTCCCAGGAACACTGCTAGAACTAGCGTGAAAGAGGAGCAGAGTGTCACTGAGCAGGGTCATACACAGAGAGCGGGTGGTCTCACTGGACATCACCATCTCCACAGTATTCATTACACCCTCTACTTTAGAGGAGATAAGAGGGAGTGTGTCAGGGTGGAGCAGAGCAGAGTGCACTAGACATCTCCATACCACCACTAGTCGTGATAGAGCTGGAGTGGGAGGGGAGGAGGAGGTGGAGTCCAGAGTTCTCAACTGCAATGATTCGAGCTTTCTAACCTGAGATAAGTTAACGTTGAGTGGTGTTTTGTAGCACTTGATTTGCTACCCATTCTTAACAACATGTCTTATTAAGTTTTGCAGAACAAGTTTAAAAGATAACCGAAAAAGGAAGTTTTTGAAAAATATTACAGTGTTCACTGTCAACCACTTACCATTTCTTTGTAAAGTTTGTCAGAACAACCTTCCTTGGAACTTTTCTTCTTTGGAGAAGATTTTGTGTTCTGAATTACCTAAAATATACAACTTTTGAAGAATTTATTATTAATTTGAGTTCAAATCAGGATCTAACATTTTTTGTAACTCAGATATAATAACTCACATTATACTCAACTAATCTCTGCTACTATAACTATGTATAACATAATATACTAGATATACTATAAACTATACTACAATATTCTTAATAATATGTTATAAAATATAATACTAAAGGACTCACATTATCCGCCCCATCGTGTGGTAATAAAAGCAAAATCACATCTTTTTCAATACATATTTTGCGGGGGGTAGGTTGTAGCAATGTCATGATGGTCTGAATTATCAACTGAAAGAAGTTTACTCCGTGAAAATGTAATATTTGTATCACAGCCCTGTATGATATATTAGTATATATAGTACATTTATCAAACGCCTTCGGTTACGATATTAAAACTTTCGAGCGGAAGTTTCGATATTTCCCGAGGTTTGCAGAGTATTGAAAATGTTGATATCGTATCAAAAGGTGTGTATACTGTATAGGGTGTATACTGTATAATGTATACGTGTATATAGTGTGTTTAGTATACAATATAATAAAGTACCTCCTGATTGAGATCTGGTAGCTGATTTATGAGAAGAGGAAGAAGAGCAGCAGTCCTGTTCCTGTTGCTATGGAGACCAATATCACGTGCTGTGAGATCAATGTCACGTGTTGCAGGTTTTCTATTCTCTTCAAACAATGTGAGGTTCCAAGTTGAGTAAATGTGACACACACACTTCACTGCCCACTCCTGAATACAGATAAATTATATTACGCAAAAAGGTAATAGGGTAAAATAAAGCGTGTTAAATTATATGTTGTCTTAATGCAAGGTACTATTCTACTAAGGTCTCTCAAATAATGTGTCTTAACATATTAAGACTATTTAAAAAGATATGATACTGCTAATACAGTCGCAATTTCAAACGAATATCTAAAGGTACTAAAGTCTCTAAGATAAAAACATGTCAAACCTTGTACGGCTTAGAGTCATTCTCTAAAACAGCAGCAAGTTTGTCCAGAACATCCTCCACTTTTATCCAGGGTATATTAGTCTCAGTGTACCGCCAAGGTAGCTGCTCACTTCCCTCAATTCCCTCACTTCCACTCAGGCAGATTGTTAACAGTCGCTTCACACTGTCGACTATTTCCGGCACCCTGGTTCACACAGTGATGTTGTTAGAAAGTAAGGAAGTGTTTTGTTTTGTTTTCACAAAATAATAATATACTAATATTATTGGTATGCTCAGACTCGAAAAGATAATATTTATCAGGGATGATAATCAGTAATTAGGAGGATCACGTGAAATTTAATTGAGTTAAAGTCCAGTGTCTGTGAGACTAAACTCCCTGCCGTGTGAGTACACATGATTACTCACAGGAAGCACGGAAGGGAGGAAGTGAGGAGGTGGAGAGCAAGATCTGTGACTTGGTTTACTCCAGCAGTCAGATAATCAGGAGGAGATAAGAGGAATAGGTTACCGGCTAGACGCAGTGCTCCCCCCTTCAGCACAGGGTCACACACCTCCACAACTTGGCCAATTCCGACTAACACTGCTTCTACAAACATCGCACGAATACCTGCACATGACGTAATATACATATATTGTAACAAACATATCGTATAAATGTATTGTAACAAACATATCGTATAAATGTATTGTAAGAAACATATCGTATAAATATTACAGATATTGAATCAATACGTCTTGCACCTATCAAATTGTCATCACTCTGTAGAATGTGTCATTGTAAGAAATAATAAATGTGGTGGGGATCGTATTAATCAGACTATTTACTCTTCTTTTCCATCTCATTTAACCCAACAATCAATTACATAATTGAGATTCTGTGATTAAATTTATTTTGTTGATTGTAATGTTGTGATATTGCATAATTTATTGTAAATGTAATATATGTTTCAGAAAATTATGTAATGTAACGCGATGGAAGTTCTTTAAGCGGGCAATTCCAGTCCAAATCCTGGAAACATGACATAAAAGATTCGTTTTTACTTGTTTGGATAAGCACTAATAACCAAGGTTCACCTGTGGTGTTGTTACTGAAATTTTAATTTACAATTGCGAGCTGAATGGTTACCAGTGGAAGCTGTATCAACTGTTACCTGTCTGAAAGTGCTGGTTGAGGAAGTGAAGAGTGACGGATATGGCAGCATCACATTTCATCTCGTCCGAGAGACTGATAGAACTAGCACTTGTACTCTGGACTAGCACGTCTCTACCCGTAAACAGCAACACACCGCTCTAAAAACCTTTCTTTAGACTATTTGCTTAGTTTAGACTATTTAATCAATTTAGACTATTTAATTAATTTAGACTATTTAATTAATTTAGACTATTTAATTAATTTGGACTATTTGATTAAGTTAAATAATTATATTTACTAGCAGTAACCTGTATAACCTTAAAATGGCGTCAAGACTCAAGAGACTAAAATAATTATTACCTATTCAATTCGCGTTTTTGACACCACTTGGGGTCCAAATTTTCGGCTCTAAAACTCTAAAACTCCCTATTTCTTGGCCAATTTTTTATTTTTTGGAGGCCATTAAAGCATTTGACCCAGTGAAAAAAGTTTTAGTTGTATATCTTCTACAGTTTTTGCGGAAAGTCGCGTTAAAATGATGCCGTGGTGTCAGTAAAATGGTGCGGATCCATCCATCCATATATAATATATATATATCGTCTCGCTTTATATATGAGTATTGCTGAATATAGTACGATATTGCGAGTTTTTTTGTAAATTACAATTCTGATCTATGATGTCGTTGATACCTTATTTGCCCAAGATGGACGTGGGCAGTCACTTAATGTTTTAAAAATAACTTAATCTTTTCATAGTCTTTTTTTCTAGTATTAAATGTCTCACCTGATGAAAGTTTTCTACAGAGTTGTCAGCAATGAGGTAGCGAATGTAAGCTGCAGTAAGAAAGCAGCTCAATACCTCCTGCACCACCTCAGTGTACAGCTTAATATTCTTACATCTGCAATATTTAGAGTTGACAAACTACTACCAACTATAATACTATAACTGCTTTTACAGGTGATACAAGGTAACACAATGTTAATATCAAAAGTAACAACAAATCTAATAACCCTACATAATAATTAAGACTACATCTGTTACCTGTAGTCCACCAGAATAGTATCCACCATATTGAGAATATCACAGTGTATTTCTGAGCACTTAGGTTCGCACAGTATTCTGAGGAGCTGAATGAACAACCAGCGGGAAAAATCTGCAAAAACACATAGTTAGGTATCACACATTGTTAGGTATCACACATTGTTTAAAGGTATCACACATTGTTCGTTATCATACATTGTTAGGTATCACACATTGTTAGCTAGGTATCACTCTTTGTAATTACACTGTTAATCAGTATTTTCAGGGTGACTCTGTTACCATGGTAACACCGAGCATCCTAGCACCTACCCTTTGAAGTTGCTCTGTTGTCTTCATCGCACTTGAATATGATTTTAGGGTGCTTTCTGAGAGAGTCTAGCGTGTGCTTGACTGCTGTCTTGCAGTTATACCACTTCTTATCACTCTCCTTCACTGAGGTATTTATAACATTACCTTATATGGTCACCTTTACTGAGGTATATTTTATAACATTACCTTATATTATGGTAACCTACACTGATGTATTTATAACATTACCTTATTATATGGTCACATTAGCCGTTGTCATGTTAACAATACCTTATGTTGTATAATAATCCTCTGTAAATCCTTACATAATTTATGAAATTGGCGAATAATATTGTAATAAGATATTTATATAATGGATTAAAGTAGTAAATAAAACCTTGTTCAAACTCGGTTACCATGGTAACACCTACCCTCATCAATATTAGAGAAGAACTGTTGCAGAACCCGCCTCACAGAAGCGATGACATCTTCTTCCATGTATCGACTAATGTAACATTTCCTTATCATCTACCTACTGAAATTTAAATTTACTAGTCAAACCTCTCTATACCGGGCATCTCTATACCGGGCCTTTCTATACCGGGCCTCTCTATACCGGGCCTCTCCATACCGGGCCTCTCTATACCGGACCTCTCTATACCGGGCCTCTCCATACCGGGCCTCTCTATACCGGGCCTCTCTATACCGGACCTCTCTATTCCGGACCTTTCTATACCGGGCCTCTCTACTCCGGACCTCTCCATACCGGGCCTCTCTATACCGGGCCTCTCTATACCGGGCCTCTCTATACCGGGCCTTTCTATTCCGGACCTCTCTATACCGGGCCTCTCTATACCGGGCCTCTCTATTACGGGCCTCTTATTTCCCCCAAACTTTAAGTTAATTTGCTCGTTTTGTGCAAGAAATATGACTTATCATAGCTCATATCGCATTTGGTTGGTTATTTGAGTACAAATAATAAACCTGTATTGTATCACAATACAATTCCGTTCAGACCCTTCATACTTTGTTTCTGTCTGGTTCTAACATACCGTTACAATAATGACTTTAATACTAGACGCTTTACATGTTATTTGAGTGGCTACAGATACTGGGGATTGGGATCATGATACTGGGTATACAGGGTATATTAGACGCTTGACAGGTTATTTGAGTGGCTACAGATGATTGGGATCATGTGAACCTATCTCTACATTACGTGATCATTTCTACACGTGAACCTCTGTGGTCTGTGCACATAACACATTTCATTTCCTCCGAGAGGCCCGGTACCAGCTCGTTAGGAGTCGTTCACATATTATTACGTAATCAATTTTTGGACAATTTTTAACCCCCCCCCCCCCCTCCGTAATCAGTTTTACACATAGCTAGTGTGTCAAAATTACACTAGCGTAATCATTTGGAAACCCCCCCCCCCCCCCCTCGGCTGATTACGCAATACTTGTGAACGACCCCTTATCGTCAAAGTCAGCAAAAAGGTGATTTTTCATCGAGTTAAAAAATTAACTTTCGAATTGAAAAAGCGGGTATTTTTACCAGCATAATTAAAAGATAAGACCCAAAGGTCAAATCTGTAATTAAATCAATCATTTCCTACAGAACCCCCTGCAGTAATCAGACCGTGTGGTCGTGGATTGAAGTGCCACTCGTAATCAACCGTTCGAGCTGGTTATCACTGATGTGTCATACCAGGGTAGGCAGGTTTCAGAGAAAGAAACATTTCCTGTCATCCTGCGACCACAATATTTTAATACAATCAAACGCCGATCTACCGTACCTCTTTCTAATCCCATTTTTTAAGATGAATACATTTTTAGTTTTATATTAGGACGCAATGAAACTACCGGACCACGATGTATGGGGACTTGCCACCCCATGGCAACATTAAAATATATCGACTCTGTTACATCGTTTCCTGTTAATATAACACTCCGTTACAAAATGAATCAATACTACACCTTAGTTCAATAAAATATGATAAAGTAATGTATAACTAGACTTAAAGTTAAGCAAAAGTCTGAAACAATATAGAAAAGAAAATAATATACTGCTTGAAAGCTAAATAACAAACTGCCATATAATTTAGTGTAGAAACGACTGTTCGTAATATAAATGTCTAAATCAAGAACAATCCTTTACAATAAGGCTTGTAAATGGGCTCCTGATATTGGAAAAATTGTAAAGGTTCATTTTTTTGTCTTATCTACCCATTACTTGAGTGCTTGTCGAGTGTCGACCATAATACTAATTAAAAACCAGCACTATGCGGACAGAAACCAAGTGGTCTGACGAAGACTCATAAATTAAAAGCTCGATTTACTTACTTGAACTTCTTACTTAATAATGTGTGAAAAAGACCCGAAAGAATTTTTTTGGGAATAATAATTGCGATTTGCGTTGCTGATAAATTTTATAGTATAAGAATAAAGAACTGAAAACAAGAAATGCGGCCGCTCATCTTTTGTGGATGGCCGCTCAATTTCACGATCCGCGATGGAGTATTTTATCATATTCCATACAACCTTGGTCCTGGGGACCCCAGGCTTTACTGTTTATACTTTATAAGCATGCAGATGACGGAGTGATAGGCCGAGCGCCGCCCATTAAATTCCATATTAAATTTGAAAATCGTATACATTTCTATGTAACGCTAACCATAATATGTTTATTGTTTATGCAACCTGATATGACACAGATCTGTGCAAAATGGTAATACTATAATACTAACTCGAAATAATATGCTATCAATTAGTGCCTAGTTGGATACGTACTGTATGGTGAAATTAACGATTTACTTGATCGGCTCAGCGCCCACGCCAATAATAATTGATTTCAGAATATCGCGCAAAATAACTTTGCGGACTGAGAAACTCCATAAAGTTATAACTAATCGGACACGTACGCCGCGCAGGCAGGCAGACAGGCAGGCAGGCAGGCACGCACGCACGACGGTCGCAAAGCTACCATATACAAAAAACCTCGTTCGCTAACCCTTGTCCTTGACTCTTTTGTGCCTTTGGCACTTTGAGTCAGGGATCGGGAAAAAATCTGAGATAAAAACCATGGCAATGTTGGTGTTAGAAATTAAATTCGATTAATAAAGCGCTGTTCTAGAATTAGGTTTTAATTTTACAAGGTTACATATCCAGGTATTGCACAAATTTTATTAAACTGTAAAGTTTACCCAACGAGTTTTACCCACTTCTGGGGAATTCGTAATATTCACACTTCAAGGCAAATTTTGGTAGATTTATTTTTAAAAAATTTGTTACGTTTGATAATCTAGCTCTCTTATCTCTATTTTATCGCTACATTACAACTGCCGTTGTGCTGGAACTGTGTTTTTTATTTTTTACTCTCCCTACATTACTGAAGAGCATGAGGACTTTAACGGGTGGATCAGTAAACTCGCTGAAGCTACGAACTGCGAAAACAAGTCAGAGTTTTCAGTTGAAACGTTCAAAAAGCCAGTGAAGGGAGTATTAGGTAAACTTTTGTATAATGCGTATCGACTACCAGTGCTCATGTAAGTACGTTTCTGGATATCAAGAAAGATATGGAAGAGTTGAAGAGCCATCTTATCCGATCGCAAAGTACTGTTATCAAGCTGCAGGCTGAACTTCTGGAAATCAAATCGAAGCAGTTGGAATCCGTGCACTCCACCGTCAAGACCGCCGTTTAAGACACTGTCCAAGTTGAGATGACATACAGTCAAGCTGTGTCTTAAACTGCACCTGTGCTTACAGAAGAGAGTTTGAAAAAGGTTAGTACAGAATGCTGTATCGTAAGAGGATCGCTGTAGAGCTGTAGGAATGTGCTCATCTTTGGTTTGAAGGAGACTGATGAGGAAAAACTGTGTGATAAAGTTGTGTGATAAAGTTGTGTGATAAAGTTGTAAATGGTTCACTTTGAACCATTTACTAAGAATATGTATTTGCCTTAGTTAATTCAAGAACTTCCAATTCCAATTTTAGCAAACAGTTTATTGTAAAAACATCTTTCTTTTGATTATGATCCAGCTCATTTTATTTAACTTTTAATCGCTTTTTTTCAGATTTATAGCATATATGCTCTTATGACACTGCTACGAGCCACTTTCTTTCTGCTATTTTTAACATTGGGGTCTTCTATAATTGGCTATTGGCCCCAGACAAGATGGCCCGAAGGAAAATTTGCCCTTCCTTCAACTCGAGTCCAAGGTAAATAAATAGTGTAACATAATAATCGCTCCTTTGGATCATGTTTTGTATACAAGAAAACTAATTTATTAATACAGGAGTAAGACAAGAGAACAGGTAATAATTATAAATGTTCAAGAATATGTCAAGAATAAGCCCTGAGATCCAGATTGTGGGGATTGTAAAAGTTCCTGTTATTTGCACAGTAGAATAATAACTCTACAACAGAGGAATTTAATTCTCCCTTTGAATCAATCAAGCTAGATGATTTGTTGTAAATACTGAGATCAAACTATCAATTTACAGGCTATCGTCAAACATGTTGCAAGGCGTCATATTCAGTGACATAAGCCTAAAAATTGTAAAAAGTTAGTAAAACCCAAAATTCCTTTAAAAATCTGAACACTTCTAAAACAGTTATATAATTGAAATTAAGATGTTAGGAGTAAGGGAAGGCCAAAAGGATTTATAGTGTTTATTCCCAAAGGTTTTAAAGTCTTGAGTTGCTGAATATATTTTTCATGTTCACGAACTTCTAAAGTTTTAGGACTAGAATTATCGATAATTGACACATTAAAAATTTTGTTAAAATCCTCCCTTTGTCTAAAACCATGATCCAACAAATGTAAGCCCAAACTATATCCATCACTTGTTTCATCTACCTTATCATCATTTAAAAGTTTATAATATTTGACCCTAACTCTACAACAAATGGTGATGACTGTGGACTGAATTGTAAGTATTTTGGTCTTCGGCTTCCTCCTCAATTTTGAAGTCCAAATTCTTCAAGCCTCAAAAGTCACATGTGCAAAATTTTTCATTTCATTTTGTTATTTAGTCACAATAACTACTGTTTGAAGTTGTTTTCTGGAGAAACATTTCTCTTTTTCAGCATGCTATGATTCTTATTTCCTTACTTGAAAGTTGAAAATCTTATAATCTAGGAAATCAAATATTTATATTAGTACTGCAATGTGTTCCAATTGATGAAACAAACCCGTCTTCATCCTATTGAAATGTTCAAACTATTCCACCCCAACATATTGCACCTGAATCTAACCTGAACTCCAGCTCTCCAGCAAATAGAGCTTCATCATTCTAACTTTTATATTTTAGGTTGTCCTGAGTCGAGTGACGTCGTATTCGAGATAGGTACACGAGTGTTCGACTGTGAAGATACTAACCCTATCTCCGCCCACTCCGTGTCAATGCATCTGGAACTCCGGCTGGACTTTGAAAAGGATATTCATATGTCTTTTTGCAGTAAAACTGTTACCTTAAAGGGTATGATAACCGTGATAGAGGAATTTAATTCTCCCTTTGAATCAATCAAGCTAGATGATTTGTTGTAAATACTGAGATCAAACTATCAATTTACAGGCTATCGTCAAACATGTTGCAAGGCGTCATCTTCAGTGACATATGCCTCAAATTATTTGTTATATAGTAGTGTTGAAAGTATTAAAACCGTGATAACCGTGATATTTCATTAATATTTCATTACGCATTTCCGTTCGTTACGTGGTTATCTTTATTTGATTTGTAAAATAAATGGCATTCGCCCAATACCAGTTTATGATGTATATATGCACATTTCACATAGCACAATGCACATAACCAACATTATATTCCTTCCTCCCTAAATGATATAATTAAAGTATTTGATTTTGTTCAATCTTGTCCAACCATGCAAGTAAATCTCCCTTAATATGCCCAATTTTTCAGACAAAGACCTGACGGGAGGCCCATGGCCCAGTGGCCAGTATTGTTTCTACCAAGTTGATAACAGCTGTCCGGATGGTTTTGAAGATGGTTGGATACTATGGCAGGACGAGAGGAACCAAAACAGGTACATACCGATTGGTTTGTGAGTTTTGACCGATCGCGATGTTAGGCAGGAATTTTACAGATCCGCCCATCTTTTATTATCGTCAGTTCAAAATAGTTTTACTTATCAATACACATAATAATAACCTACTGTTATTGCTCAATATCTCAGAAACTCGTGGCGGGGTATAATGCCTACCGGTCAGTACGATCTTCCAGCTCAAACCAAGATGAACTTCTGTTGCATGACCACCGGCGATCCAGACATTCCTGTGGAACTGCCCAGAAGCAGGAATTTCGCCCTGTTAAAATATGGAGACAACTGTCAGGTAAGAGATCCTTATTTTTATTGTAATCTGGGTATAATTAAACAATCATATCTTTTTGCCAACCTTCATGTAGCCAGACTTTTCCCTTTTCCAGATTGAGACACATGTTACATCGTTTGTTTCAAAACCTGTTGGCCAAATAAAATTATTAGCTCAAAGTTAGAGTGGTATCTGCAGTGAAGCCTAAAACAATCCCACTAACTGGCCTCATTGTTCTGTTGTATTGATAACATGTACAATTGGCCCAAATAACTATCATTCCTTACATTGTACTGCTCACCTACAACTTGGCATAGCCTGTTTGAAATCATCTTTTGTCCAATACATCATTTATAGTTCAATGTAAAATATTCTCCTTAGAAGGGTTCACAATGCCCAAGTAATCGATAATAAATAACCAGCAGTTAAGTTATAATCAGGGCACAGTGCCTGAAGCGCCCTTTGTCAGCACTGTAAACAGTACAGCGGCCATTATCTGTGATGCTAATGTCATACCTTTCATCTTTTCATGTTGAGTAATAACCACTCAGAATAATTCCATATCCATTAAAATACTTCACCTCTTTCATATAATCACGTCAAGACTTTAAATGATCGAAATGTCATAATATCAACATGACTTAAAGAATAAACAAAATTTATGACAGTTTAAATTACACCGCAGAAAGTGGAAGGGACGCAGGTTGAAACCGAGTATATTCTTTGGGACAACGACGAGAGAGACTGGAGTCATATCAGCCGAGAATCGGCCGAGATTCAGCCGAGATTCGGCGGAACAATCCCACAAGAGGGGGTCACTGACCTGGGAGATGTGAAGTTGGAGTTCTGTTACTACACCAAGATCCCTTATTGCGGCAACCCTGGTCAGTTGGAAATTTTACAAATTTTGTATGTACTAGCAATAAGTATCTTGTTTTATTCTCGAGATAAGTTTTCAATTCATATTTTATACACAAATACATGAAAATCATGATACACAAAATCGTTACATCGCATATTCTATATCAACCTACAATCCCTCCTAGATAATAACATATACTTTCACGAAATATAACACTGTGCTGTAGAGATTTCTACATTATGTGTTATTATGCTTCTGCTTGATAAATACTGGAACATAACGATGAGTGAACACATTCTGATCCAGTGTGTTCACTTGATAGCTGTGCTAAGTTGTTATCGTGTGAGTTGTGGCGTGAATTGTTAAAGGTGTAGAATTAATACTAGATCACGTGACTAATAGTAGGGCTGGAAAGATGGCTGTTTGGTTATTCATATCAAACGATGACATGGGGCACGTGTCTCCTTTTCCACCTTTCTCAATCTGTTAACGGTAATCATCGGTAATAAGATATTATTTTGCAGGTGTTCCCGAACATGGCCAGGTTGAGGGAGAAGAGTTTAACGAGGGCAGCACTCTGACCTTCTCCTGTGACGAGGGTTACAAACTGGAGGGTTACGATCGGATCACGTGTTTGAGTCAAGAACTGTGGAATGCTGAGCTGCCCTCTTGTCGAGGTGAGATTTGATTTTAAAATACCTTTCATAATAATTGTGTTGCTGATAAATTTTATTGGATTAAAACATACCCCACCAAGAACTAGAACTGAAAAATTGAACAATATTGGTATTAGAAATGGTTGGTCTTAAGTTCTGAGGAACATCCGAAAATCAAAACTTTATCTGAACATTATGATTAGTGGCAAAGTACGATAATTATCCCATTCGTGATCTGGAGGTAAATTCGATTAGAGCGCGGTTCTAGAATTAGCTTTTAATTTGATAAGGTTACATATTCAGGTAGTGCACAAATTTGATTAAGTAAAGTTTACCCAACGATTTTTTAAACTCATTTATTCTTTTTGAACGTCATGAATCTTTCGTTTGTGATATTTGTGTGTTCAGCCGTGCTGTTCCGACCAGGTTAGTTCAAACGGGGTCTGGGAGAGGGGGTGGAAATAGGGGGCAGGAGTGGAAATAGGGGGCAGGGGTGGAAATACTAATAGGGGGGAGAGGGTGGAAATAGGGGGCAGGGGTGGAAATACTAATAGGGGGGAGAGGGTGGAAATAGGGGGCAGGAGTGGAAATAGGGGGCAGGGGTGGAAATACTAATAGGGGGCAGGGTGGAAATAGGGGGCAGGGGTGGAAATAGGGGGCAGGGGTGGAAATAGGGGGCAGGGTGGAAATAGGGGGCAGGTTGGAAATAGGGGGAGAGAGGGTGGAAATAGGGGGCAGGGGTGGAAATAGGGGGGAGGGGTTGGTAGTAAAAACCGAAATATTATATAATACTAGATAGCACGTTGTTTAGGTTACGGGGAAGAAGCTTTAATAGTATTCTTTGATGGTCAGTTTTTATTGCATCAACAAAATATATCTATCGCATCATTACCGATACAGCCGATTTAAATATAAAATACAATACTCCACACAACGTGAAATGACAACAAACCCTATCATAATATCTTTCTAACACTTTTAACAATAATTGCACGTGCACGACGTACGTGGGCGTTCCACTCTCGTTACTATGCATAATATGCAACTTCCTATTTGCACGTGGCCGGTCAGACAGACAGACAATCAAAAAGAAACTTTCAAATTATGAGGTAGACTAGAAAGCCTGTGGTCACAGGAAGGAAGCTGATATAAGAGCATTCGCTATTCTTTGATAGTCAGTTTTTATCGCATCAAATAATGTCCATCACAACCGAAGATACAGCTAATTAAATTGTAACTCGCACTGAACACTACATAATAACACTACTTAGTAAAATTAAAACAGATCAAAATGTCGCTCCAATATCTTTCCTACAACGAACATACAAAAAATAAAAACAGAAACTTTTGAATTATAAATTAGGTGACTCGTATCCTCTGTTAACGCGCTTATTGTTGAAAATGACGTATGATTGTGAAATAACGTCTCCCCGGAAAAAATCAAAATAGGTCTGATAGAAAGATTGAGCTTTCAAGAGCCAATTTAAACTTAAATCCGGTCTTTGGATTAATTTAGCTTCAAATCTAATTAATGTTTGGCTGAAATAGTTTTGCTACTGTGGGAATTCAAAACAAATTCATTGTAGTTGAACATACATACTTAAAAGAAATTAATATAAAATAATAAAATATCATTTCAGCACTAACCGAGCAACCACCAACTCGGTTACATATCCGGGGCCCCAGTCTCCAGTCTGCAGTAGTGGGGGGAGCCTCCTCCATAACTTGCTCTATTGCTGCACCCTCTGCAGACGACACATTCCAAATGTTAATTGATGGTGATGATATCGGTGATTCACCATCATACTGGCAAGAGGCCGACTTCACAAGATCCTCCTACCGATTAGAGAATGGAACAGTAAAAACGTCCATAACTGTCTTAATCTATGAATTCACAGAAGCCCATAACAACACATATATACGATGCTTCTCTTCGAGATTCAGAGAACAAATTTCCATGACTCTCTTGCTAAGACCTGACAGTTCAAGTAAGTTGAGAGGTTATAAGTGACTAATTTAAGAAATATAACTGTAATAAGTTATAACAGTAGTCTCAGATACGTTGGGGTGCCGTATCATTATATAATAATATTGGTCATTTCCATCGTGCATGCAGAAACACGCACGAGTTTTAAAGTATATCACGTGATACTGTTGGCGGTGAGTGTATCTGCATTCTGCGTTGCTCACACCCTTTGGCGTATCTAATGTCCATATTATGACGATGTGACACGTCGCTTAATTTCAGGTTTGTGTGGCCCTGGTCAATTTAGATGTCCCGAGCGCTGTATTGCCTCCCACTGGAGATGTGACGGAGAGGAAGATTGTCTGAATGGTGTAGATGAGTTAGGCTGCAACGGTAAATTAGAATTAAAATTATGCCCATATTAATCAATAATTCACACTCTACAACTCTGATGTTATACAAACAGATCTAAGCAGAGATTCAGAAACTTAACTTGCATTTAAATATTACCCAGTGTAATTGTGGTTCTAATGTCTATCTTTCCACAGGTCCAACGACACCGACAACACCGACACCAACACCGACACCCGAACGAAGTGAGTGGACTACAGCAGTACCGGAGTGTATCGAGGACGAGTTCCGGTGTCCAGACAGGTGTATCTACAGAAGCTGGGTTTGTGACGGCAAAGATGATTGTAGTGATGGGTCCGATGAAGTAGAATGTCCAGGTAGATATACAACTCGCAACAAAATAATAAAATAAAACAAGCCAAACTACATCAGATTAAACATATTTCGAAGACAACATGTATTTTTAAATCAACTATAAGGGGTCTTTAAATCCTTACATCATACGTTTGCAGTGGAACAAACGACTGAACCAACAATACCGCCCAAAGATGAGACTACAGGTACAACGGAGGGTCAACAAATGACAACAGCAGAAATCATGATCACATCACCAGAATCCACTTCCGCGTCACCGTCTGTAACAACAGAGACAATAGTGGAGCCCACGGAACAAATCATCTTGTTCCAACTGGTCAGACAGTATGGTGACGTTTCACCCGGAGAACTTGGGCTCTTGCTCTACAAGGGGGGAACAGTGTGTGACGACCATTTTGATGACGGCACAGCCGATACTATTTGCAGAACAATGGGATATGCTAGTTCATCAGGATGGCGGTCTGAGGTAGAGGTAGGCTACCGATCACGATACGATATCACACTGGATGATGTGAGATGTGAAGATAGAAGCTGGGAGAGTTGCAGCTACACAACTTCTCACAACTGTGGGCACATTGAAGACGTCTTCCTTAGTTGCATTAATGATGGTAAACATTTGTTATTGCAACATTATATTATACTGTAGGCATAAATTTAGGAAATATTATTAAAACCAAGAACTATCGATATTGTCACAAATTGATATAAAGTTAGATTTGAAGATTCATCATGGAAAAAGACATTATATATAATTATTAGAATTTACACACAATATGGACCCTTAAATAGCTTATGTGTTAATAGCTTCAGAAACTGATCTTAACTTGCATTTGAATATCACCCAGTGTAATTGTGGTTCTAATGTCTATCTTTCCACAGATTCAACGACACCAAAACCGAAACCGAAACCGACATTGACACCAACACCAACACCGACAACACTGACACTCGAACAAAGTGAGTCGACTACAGCAGTTAAGTCATAGGTGCAGATTTCGTTTTGAGGTGAACTTTTAAGTTCCCGAGAAATCCTCTTAGGTTTGCTTTTTTTCTCCTCGGGCACATTTGTATCCTACGGGCCAGGTAAACCTAAACTACATATTGACCGTTAAGAGGCTCATGGTAGTCGGGTGGCGCGTACGTCGGTATCTGTCGAGGAGCCAAATCATCTGAAAAGCCCTAAACATATATTTTGCTCAGGCACGTAGCCAGGATTTTTCTTTGGGGGGGGGGGGGCTGTCGGCGAGCGAAGCTGCATACTGTGGCAGGGGTCTGGGGGCGCAGCCTCAAGCGGGGTCCAGGGGCGGACCCCATTGGCGGGGGCTTGGGAGGCGCAGCCCCCGGTACAATTTTGCGAAATAGGGTGTTTTAGGCTAAATTGAAAGTTTAATGAATTTACAAAAATGAATGGTTTGGCATAATCATTGCCTACAATCCTGACCTGAGTAATTTCCCCCTTTGAGACTTTATTTTGGGTTGAAAATTGAGTTTATCAAGAGGAAGTGAACAATTTCTGGTTCAAATTTGGATTTGAAGCCATGTTTAATTTTTTTCTGCTGAGGTCAATTTTTTGCGCAGAAAGCGCTCGATTTTAGGGGAAAAATTTAAGTTTGCTTTTAATTTTTATGGTCCTGTCGGCACCTGAAATCGACGAAATCTGCAGGGGTGCCTGAGAAATTTCCCCCTTTGAGACTTTATTTTGGGTTGTAAATTGAGTTTATCGAGAGGAAGTGAAAAATCTCTTGTTCAAATTTGGATTTGAAGCCATGTTTGATTTTTTTTGTTGAAGCCAATTGTTTGCGCAGAAAGCGCACGATTTTAAGGGAAAAAATGTATGTTTGCTTTTAATTTTTATGGTCCTGTCGGCACCTGAAATCGACGAAATCTGCAGGGGTGACAGCAGTACCGGAGTGTATCGAGGACGAGTTCCGGTGTCCAGACAGGTGTATCTACAGGAGCTGGGTTTGTGACGGCAAAGATGATTGTAGTGATGGGTCTGATGAAGTAGAATGTCCAGGTAGATATACAAACTACATCAGATTAAACATATTTCGAAGACAACATAACATGTATTTTTAAATCAACTATAAGGGGTCTTTAAATCCTTACATCATACGTTTGCAGCAGAACAAACGACTGAACCAACAACACCGCCCAAAGATGAAACTACAGGTACAACGGAAGGTCAACTAATGACAACAGATGCAGAAAACATGACCACATCAGAAGAATCCACTTCCGCGTCACCATCTGTAACAACAGAGACAATAGTGGAGCCCACGGAACAAATCATCTTGTTCCAACTGGTCAGACAGTATGGTGACGTTTCACCCGGAGAACTTGGGCTGTTGCTCTACAAGGGGGGAACCGTCTGTGACAACGAATTTGATGACATCACAGCCGATGCTATTTGCAGAACAATGGGCTATGCTAGTTCATCAGAATGGCAGTCTGGTGGAGAGGTAGGCTACCGATCGCGATACGATATCACACTGGATGATGTGAGATGTGAAGATAGAAGCTGGGAGAGTTGCAGCTACACAACTTCTCACAACTGTGGGCACTCTGAAGACGTCTTCCTTAGTTGCATTAATGATGGTAAACATTTATCATTGCAACATTATATTGAACTGTAGGCATAAATTTGAGAAATATTATTAAGACCCAGAACTATCGATATTGTCACAGAATTGTGTTCAGACAAATTGATATAAAGTTAGATTTGACGATTCATCATGAACATTGGACAAAGACATTATATAAATATTAGACTTTACACACAATATGGACCCTTAAATAGCCTATGTAGGCCGGGATATATCACTGCCACAGTTAGGAGTATTTACCGCTGAGTCAAAACCCACATTAGGTGAGCAATTCTATTCAGAGCGCCCTTACATATCCAATAGTATCTTAAACAATAGTAACTTAAACAATAATCAATAGAAATTAACCCTTATTAACTCCGCACCACACCCGCATATTTGAAAACATGCATCACATTGTCGCATGAAAGTATGAACTCTCTACATACGGTCCAAACAGATCGTTATGAGCGCTCCCTTCCCTAATATGTTTATTTAGTATTACATGCCAGTGTAATTATGATATACCTTAGGGCCAATAAATTTGGTTCACAATAAATTTGGTTACCACAATTTTAGTCACATTTTTCGAATTTTTGAGATCATTTTCCATTCCATTTACCTTAAGGGGGCCGGGGGGGTCTTCATCAAAATTCTCTCGAATTTGATTTTATAGTTGTTTCTGATAGAGGGGAGTGATATCTATCAGCTGTTTTTGGTCCCATGGAAAAATATTGTCCTTCCCCAAGGTTGCCACACGCCAGAGGTAGGCAGAGCATCTCAATGCTATCCTCTCGTGGGCTATCTTGGCCCAGCCTCTCTTTAAAAAAAATTGTTCTTAGCCGAAATTATTGCCGGTCAAAGGTCAGCGCTTATGTGTAATTGTATTGCGCGAGCGATTTTCAATAGCGCGCCCTGAAAATCGAGTCTAAAAATCTATCTTCTCCTACATTTTTTGAGCAATCACCCTGAAATTTTCAGGATATGTTCTAAGGACCATTTAGAAGAGAATGTCAGGCCAGAATTTTGAGATAGGCCTTAGAACATTTTTTATTCGATTTTGAAAATCTTGGACCTGAAAAAATCGTCAAAAAACGAGGTCCAACATTTTTAAAATTGAATAAAAAATGTTCTAAGGCCTATCTCAAAATTCTGGCCCGACAATCTCTTCTAAATGGTCCTTAGAGCATATCCTGAAAGTTTCAGGGTGATTGCTCAAAAAATGTAGGAGAAGATAGATTTTTAGACATCGATTTTCAGGGCGCGCGATTGAAAATCGCTCGCGCAATACAATTACACATAAGCGCTGACCTTTGACCGGCAATAATTTCGGCTAAGAACAATATTTTTCCATGGGACCAAAAACAGCTGATAGATATGATGAAGACCCCCCCCCCCCCCCCCGGCCCCCTTAAGAACGACAAATTTAGTCTACCCCGTCTGAGCATTACAGATTAAGCTGCAATGCATTACTCAGGAATTTCAATGACATCTGAACCAGAGTTTGTGACTCTGTACCACTAAGTTCTTCAGTACACTGTTCAGTGTTCAGTTTCTATTTCACCCTTTTTCGACTTGACCATTTCTGTCGGTACGACCTAGTTTATATCGATATGATTCAATTAATTTGAATGGAAATCACCTAACATTAAGCATTTTCTCAACTTCTGTCCATGACTTCGCGTTGACTTGATCAAACTTTTTAATGTCACCAAAATGTAAACCAAAATCGGACTAATGCTATTCTGATTCTTTGACTTTTTCTTTTACGTTTTCTTACTGAATTTTAAATTATAAACTGCGATCATATAATATATAGACACGGTACGCAAACGTATCTATAATATGTTTCAGGCTGTTATACAAGCTACGAGCAGAATGTTGGTATGTTTCCGGACTCCCAGAAATTAAAACAGAGACGGTTCATGAGTTTTGAGAGTTGTCAGGAATGGTGTGATGATACTCCACGCTGTCAAGGAGTAGCCGTGAGTCCCGAGAATTGGGCTGACCGAGAGTGCTTTCTGGTGGGCACTACGCAAATAACAGCAAGGCGTGGATGGACTGCAAGTTCCCTAACTGATTGTGACCAGGGTAAATTACAAAACGCATTTTTCCTTTTTAAGCTCAAGTGTTTTTTATCGTGCATGGTTTTCCGTGGGCCTCAGTGCCTCAAAGTGGTGCCTCAGGGGCCTCAAAGTGGTGCCTCAAGGGCCTCAATGCGTCACAAGGTTATCTGGATCTTGTATGATCCAAGTACAACAGTCCTGGACATCTCACTTCGTGCCCGAATATACCTAATTTAAGTTAAAACAGGATCTACAGAATGAACCACATACAATTTGAACTTTTTTGAAAAATCATCACCGCCTGCCTCATTATCTTATCTTATCTTATCTTATCTTATGAGGATTCGTTGCGACGCAACAAGGCCATCGAATGAGTCGACCACCTTTGTTATTTTACTTCGGCATTACCTGCATTACAATGTAAACCAGCACTTTCAAGGAAGAGCTTTACAAGAAAACAACAATTTCAAGAAAACAACAATTTTATTTAGTATCAGTTAAAGCAGACAAAAACATATTTTATATATTTAAACTAGTGCAAACTTTAGACCATATATCTTAGGGGACTTGGAGTAGCAAGAGAGTGACCAGAAAGTATATGTATACTTTTACCAAAAATACGTCGAAATGAATCCAGGGTGATACAGGATCTGAGAGTGCAGACCATAAAGTTTACGCACCCACCCTTGCCTCCTGAATTCTTGGTTGGAAAGACAATTATGCAAAATTGGTCGTTTATACTCCAAGTCCCTTTGTTAATAGAAGTAGTATTATTTATGTCTGGAGTTAGCTTCATTCAATAATAACAATATCAATATAATCAATATTAATATCAATATCAGACTAAACTATCAAATATATAAATTATCAAATATCAATTATTAATTCACTCTGATTAAAAAGTTATAAATTAGGATATCTAATATTTAAGAATTACAACTATAAGTTGTTAAAAACGCCCAAAATAGATCTGAGATATTTTCAGTCTGTAGTACAATAATGATAGCAATAGTTTAAATTATGTTATGTGCCGCTGCAATTAGATTAAATTACTGTAACTTAAAATTGTTTGGAGTCCAAGTCTCTTTTAAGTCAGCAGCCTGTGATTGTATTAATAGTGCTTTCGTTCTCAATTTTATCAAGTTAATGGAAGTTTCTAGACAATTGCTTGAAGTTAAAATTACAAGAAGCCGAAGGATCGTTCCTAAGGCCAGCGACGGTTAAGGCACTATGCCACACTTTCTTCGCCCGAGGCTTCGCTGTGTTGATCAAGCACAGCTCCTCATTTAACCCTCACACCCGATTTCTCGAGAATTCGGCTGAGTGAACCGTGGGGCTACATATACCACTCGGGATCCTTAGCAGAGCGTCAACGACGCTCACCCCACAACTAGGCAGGCAGTGGGATTCGAACTCGCGATCTCACGATTACAAATCCGATGATCAACCAACTACGCTACCTGGCCGTTATTAGCCGTCATTAGCAAAATTTAGCAAAATTTAGCAAAATTTAGCAAAATTTAGCAAAATTTAGCAACATTTAGCAAATTTTGCTGTCCACTTTTGTTCGTCAATATCCGGCAATGTCCTGTCCTGTCCTTTTTGGATTCTATGTGACAAGCGGACATAGACGGACGTGATCTATCAATTCGACAATGAGCACCCGTCTGAGCAGGTTAAGCTGCAGATTACAGATTTTAAAGCTGCAATGCATTACTCAGGAATTTCAATAACATCAGATCCAGAGTCTGTGACTCTGTGTCACTAAGTTCTTCAGTACGCTGTTCGGTTTCTTTTTCACCCTTTTTTGACTTTACCATTTCTGTCGGTACGACCTAGTTTATGTCGATATGATCCTTCAGCCGTTTCAACAGACCATGCATTGAGATGGATCGATTAAAAATGTTATCTCCAAGAGGAGCTCTAACCCTTTAAGTGCAATAGGAATTTGGTACGGTTTTGTACAATAGGAACAGTGATGTCCTTATATTAATTATAAAGCCCTATAATCAATGTAGGAAATGTAAGCTTAATAATATTCAATAGTCATGTCATATATGCTCTACTGAAATTTTGGTCTCCTTTAAAATTAGTCGTCGAAAAATTTTTTCTCATGAAATTTGGTTTACGACAATTTTAGTCAAAAGTTTGAACCAACGCTACATAATATGCAGTATTCAGTAATGGGAGAGAGAGCGAGGAGGAAGAAAATGTGAGCCATTTTACGTAACATTTGCATTTGTGGTTTAAGGGGGCCGGGAAGTCTTCATCAAAATTCTCTCGAAATTGATTTTATAGTTGTTTCTGATAGAGGGGAGTGATATCTATCAGCTGCTTTCGGTCCCATGGAACATTGTTGTTCCTAGTCGAAATAATCGCTGGTCAAAGGTCAGCGCTTATGTGTAATTGTATTGCGTGAGCGATTTTCAATTTTTGACTATCTCAAATTCGGCTCAATACTTCTTATCTCTTCTAAATGATCCCTAAAACATATCCTGAAAGTTTCAGGGTGATTGCTCAAAAAATATAGGAGAAGATATATTTTTAGACTCGATTTTTAGAAAATCGCTCACGCAATACAATTATACATAAGCTCTGACCTTTGACCGGCAATAATCTCGGCTAGAATAGACCTTTTCGAGAGAATTTTGCTGAAGACCCCCCCCCCCCCCCCCCGGCCCCCTTAAAACCATCAATTCAACCACTTAACACCAGCCGATTTAAAAAACCTTAATCATTTGGCCTCCTCATAGTTTTGTCGGCACTATACCGATAAAAACCAGCCCCGTAACTCTTACCGTTTTCTTGATTAAGCCGCTCTGAAATTAAAAACGCACAAACACACGTTCTGAGATTATTGTTTAAGATTAGATTTTACACACATCATGGACCTCTTAATAGCTTATGTGTTTTCTTGTTGTTAACGAGATAGTTAACCGTACAATTCCCAGATAGGGAGGAGGAGGAGGAGCAGGAAGAGGAGCAGGAAGAGTTCAGTCAGATGAGTCAGGACGGGAACCAAGTGTCAGGGGGGCAAGAAGGACTGCTACTTTACAATGGAGGAACTGTATGTGACGATAACTTTGATATTAATGCAGCCCACGCAGTTTGCCGAAAACTGGGGTATCCGGAAGCAATGACCTTCAGAAGTGGGCAGGTTCACAGATTCGCAGAAACCCTAAACATAACACTAGATGATGTGGCGTGCAGAAACCGAGACTGGGAGGAGTGCACTTATTCCACATCTCACAACTGTGGACATTCTGAAGATGTATTCCTTACTTGTGCTGCCGCCCAAGGTAATGTCCATGACTTTAAATTATTGGTCCTCCAATCAAACTCTTTGATTGCAATCGGGGGAAACACTTTATTTTGAAAATGTACCCTAAAAAAATAAATCAAACGCTTTGTACTATATACCTTGTGATCAATATCATAGATCATACTTAAGGATCATAGATCAAGTTGAGGAAGAGAACCCCCAATAAATAGTGATGGTGCTCATTCCCCAAATTTATTAAATTCAATGCTCTGCTCACAAAGTGCTCTAGTGACTTTCAGATAAGAAACAATATGCTTATCAGGCTCTGTAGTCTGTAGCTTGCTCGTCAAGTTTAAAGTAAAGCAAATGATGTAACATATTATCATGTAACATATCGTGTAACATATTGTTTAACATATTATATAACATATTATGTAACATATTATGTAATTGCACCTATAGACTAGACACGATACCGGATACAGTGAGATACAGTAACCCACGATCTCCAGGTAATGCGACAGTAGAAATTTTCACGCTGATCAACGAATCTGGGGATGAGGTTGGGGCTGGAGAGAGAGGTTTACTGCTTTACAACAGAGGCACAGTTTGTGATGATGCCTTTGATGACAACGCTGCAGGAGCGATCTGTAAAGCAATGGGATATGAAAGTGGAGCTAGTTGGAGCAACAGCAATGACTTTGACATACAGAGCGACTTTGAAATCAAAATGGATGAAGTACAGTGTGTGAGTGACGATTGGGCATCTTGTGAATTCCAAACCAGCCACGATTGTTCACATAGTGAGGATGTATTCCTCCTGTGTCGCGGAGGTAAATTTAAGATATTTTTATTCGTCGATTTACGCTAGCTCCTAGGTAGCTTCCAAATAACTCTAGCAGTTCTTTTTGAGCTCTTACTTCAGATTTCTAACGAGTCTTCTTCGTCATCTCATCCAGCTTTTACAACTAATTCAAGGATAAACTTGAGTGGATCTTCCCTTTTATTTATACAGTTGATGGTTTCCAATACTGCGCATCATGTCAATTCCATTCACTGTCTTTTTTTTACTACAGAAGCTATCACGCACTTAATCTGCAGTCTGTACAGCTTCTATCATTTTTGTAGACAGTTTGTCATAATCAGCCTTTGCAAAGTATCGGTATATTGGTTCTTACATAATTAATTTCAAAGAATTGTTTGGTCTATGATGTAACCAATCGCTGTTTTAGAAGAAGCTGCAGCCGAAGGATTTAGAATAGTGAACGGAGATGGCAATGACGTTGGGGATGGAGAGATAGGTTTACTCTTATACAATGGAGGAACTGTATGTGACGATGGATTTGGCACAAATGCTGCAATTGCTATTTGCCGAGAATTGGGGTATCCAGGATCCCCATCGAACTATACTAGTGGAAACAGGGACGACCGGAACGGGTATGATATCACACTGGATGATGTGGACTGCTATTCTACGAGCTGGTCCACCTGTACCTTCTCAGAAACACATAACTGTGGACATTCTGAGGATGTTTTCCTGACGTGTAATCGTCCAGTACCAGAGGTAACACACCCAGGACCTGACCCAACACATTCCACAACACCCGTTGAACCAGATTATACACGATCAGGTGAACCAGATATTGACTCCTGCTTCATGAGCAACAGAAGGAGTAGTGGCTCAGTGATACAAGAAGTAACATATACTGGGAGGGAGGATTGTGTGGAGCTGTGTTTATCTGAGAGCAGGTTGGTTTTTTATTTGTATTTTACTAATGATATAATCCAATCTGGACTGTAAAGTGACATTTTATCCAGACAATTGAGATTGCAGCTTGTCTGCTCGTCGCCAACAAATACTTGCATAAATTTGGAATTATCACTAAGCAAATTTTACAGATGCGAGGGTATTGCGATCAGTCCACTCAGTTGGGGGGTGACAGGGTGTTACATTATTGGAGAACACACAACTTTTGCAGACTCAGAATGGCAATATGCCGACAGATCTTGCTTCGAAAGTGAACCTGGTTAGTTCAGTGTATTTTAAAACCAATTATTACTTAAAACTTTTCAGATTCTGATTAGTAAAGCAAATTTAGCTCGGCCTGTAACCAGTTTAATCTTCTTGAGCTGTGCTGTTTTAAAAGATGTCTTTTAAAAATACCCATTGTTATTTACTTATAGTAAGTACACTGTAGGTCCCGTCACAGAGGTCCCGGAACCTGACATAGAGGAACCTGGGTGGAATAGGTTTAGACTGGTTGATGAAGATGGTAATGCCATGAGGTTTGGTCCGGGTCTACTGACCTATAATGGGGGTACCGTATGTGATGATGGTTTTAGTGACAATATTGCTGATGTTATCTGCAAGGAAATGAATTATGCCAGATCAACAGGCTGGGAAAATGGACCGATGTTTGAAATGCAGGAAGAGTTAGATATAAACCTTGATGATATCGACTGTCAAGATCAGAGCTGGTCAAATTGTACATATACGGAAGTGCACAACTGTGGTCATTCTGAAGATGTCCACCTGACATGTTTTCGCGGTAAGAGATTTAAATTCGATGTATCTAATTTGTTGATGGAACACATGGCTAAAAGTACCCAAAGGGTGGCAACTAAGCTAATTACTTGGTTCGGAAAGTTGATGAAATATTTGGGTTATTTTTGATATGTATTTTAAAATGTAATAATCTCTATTCGGAGAATTATTTCTGCTGTCTGTCTGTACGACCGCCCACGTGCAAAACAAACGAAAAATATGAACTTGCGTAGTAACCACTAACCATGGTAACGAGGGTTGTTACACGCACGTGCAAGTGCAAAGATTGTAAAATTCGGCATTTTTTATCGTTTTTGTTGATATTACAAAAAATACTATTAGCTTCCTCCCTGTGACCACGGGTTTTCTAGTGTTTTAATAATTCGGTTATTTTGTTTTCAGGAGAGACTTGGGAAACTCAACAAAAAGATGTTTGGTTTCCACACTCCTGGGAGGATACACCTTTTCAAGTGAAGACAACCTCCTCGATAGGAAGTGATGATGAAATCTTTTTTGAAGTTGGGCAAATTAGAGGCAGCGATTTTGCAAGAATTGTAGTGCGATTAAGTAATACTCCTATCTTCTACATTGCCGAGTGCCAAAATGACGCACCGCTGCAAGATCTACCCGACGCCAAAAATGACGTGAGGATTTGGACATTCATTAAGCAGGGATTGGAAAGTATTTCAATCAAGTGTAACGGAGTATTGGTGGCAGAAATGAATTTTGATGAATCTGATGAAGAAGATTGTTTGTCCTCAGAGTGGGTGACTAGTACAGTAGAATTCATCAAGTTTAATCCTGATTGGGATAAAACAGTGGGTTTTAGAGTTGGTGATACAGGTGGGTTAATATTGTGATATCATTACCTGGGGACCCTAGGCTATTCCGCCGAATAGAAATTTGTCGGAATGACAGGCTGAGCACGGCGCCCAGTACATATGACTGCCCACGTGCAAATAGATGAGAAATAGGTATAGGTATATGATAGTAACGGGGGTTATTTCACGCACGTGCACGTGCAATGATTGTTTTAACGTCATTTTTATCGGTTTTGTGGTAATTACGTTGTGTTCAATGCGAACTAAATTTTAATGGGCTGTAATTATTCGGTTGTGACGGATATTTTTTGATGCGATAAAAACTGACTACCAAAGAATACTATTACCTTTCTCCGTGTGATCACGGGCTTTCTAGTTTATCTATAATTTAAACAAAAATCGAACTGTTTGACCTATTTGTTAGATTTTAACGGCCATTCAAAATTTGGACACGAGTCTTGAAACACCCTGTAGTTCACTAATTAGGTCACTAATTAGGTCACTAATTAGGTCACTAATTAGGTCAATCACATTTTCAGACTCTGCTGAAGCTCTCTTCAATTTGGTAGACGCAAGTGGAGAGAATGCTCGGGATGGAGGTAGATCTGGATTACTTATCTACAACGATGGCACGGTCTGTGATGACAACTTTGATCAAAATGCTGCTGATGCAATTTGCTCTCTGTTGGGTTACCAAGCCAATGGATCCTCATATGAGTCTGGTTCCAGATATCCGCTTCAGGAAGAGTACAGTATAGCATTAGATGATGTGTCCTGCAGGAACAACACTTGGTCCAGCTGTACTTACTCAAGTTTACACAACTGTGGTCACAGTGAAGACGTTTTTCTTACATGCATAAGTGACGGCCAATCTGGTACTTGATTATACATATTACAATTATTTTTATTCAAGATTTCGTTATATAATATGTATTATACAAAATAATATTGCTTAAAGTTCTAATTAAAAGGAAGCTGCTGCCTAAATAAAAAAAGATATTTTAAGCCCCCTAGTTTGAGGAGTAATGTCTAAAAGTCCCATTTCTCAACTGAATTTTTTTCCCTCAAGTGCCACAACTAAGTCAATACTATTAATCTCAATGATCAAAGTTTTCACAAACAACTAATTTAATAACTGTCTCAAGAACGTAATGTGGATGGATTGTAATAACGTACATTTCTCTAACAGAAGAAGAACACTCTGGAAGGAATGCAAGTCTATTTGAGCTTGTTGATTCTAATGGACAGCAGACCAGAGAAGATGGCCTTCATCTTATCCTACACCACGGTGGCACTATCTGTGATGATAGATTCGATAATAACACTGCTGCAGCAATATGCAGAGAGATGAACTTTACAGGGTCCCGAGAATGGAGTTCAGGTTCAATATGGGATATACAAAGCAGCTATAATATAACACTTGACGAAGTAGCGTGCCCTACTGAAGAATGGGACAGCTGCTCTTTCATGACCAGTCACGACTGTTCTCACTCCGAGGATGTCTTCCTTTCTTGTGAATCAGGTAAACAATAAACATGTCATTTAAACATGATTACGGATATTCTTCTTCAACTATTATACTAATCTAATAATAGTACTCACTATGTTTAAATTACATAACATGATGTTGGTGACAACACTTGCCTTATTGTGGGAGATTAGGTTAACCTGGGATCCTCCCCCCTTCTGCCTCAATAGCGTATGATCATTATCACAAATATAATAATTAAACGTGTTCAGGTGATGGATCGGATGAGGCTACAGATCTATATAATGTCACCATACAATTTGAGATCATAGACATGGACAGCAACTTAAGTGGAGCCACCTCTGGCCTGCTCCTAGCCTCTATCACAATGCCGAGTGAGTACAAACTGTACAAGGCTGTTAACACTTAAGAATTACTGTATTTATTATGTGTTAAGGATTCTTAGGTTGATTTTCTGCTTTAAAGTTAAACTTCAAGGATTTGAATCAAAGGAAGATATTTGCACATTGAAAAGTAGGTATTCTAACTTTTTATACAACCTGGTTCAAAATCGTACCAACAATAAATTATTGGTAGTATCCAAGAAGCCTGCCGAACGGAATCCCACATGAATCCTAACCATAACCCTAAACCTTAGCATAGCACTACCTAGCCTGAACTGTAACCATATTCCACTTTGAGATATTTGTTCCATGTTGAAAATTCTATCACATTCCTGTATCAACAAATTACAGGTGGTGAATTTGTGTATGGTACTGTTTGTGATGATAGCTTCAACCAGAATTCCATCGCTGCTGTATGTAGACAACTTGGATTTAAAGATGAAGATATTTTCGCTACTTTAAATCCACAAGGTCTTCCATCAACAAGGTCATTTTGAGTTTTGAATAACAAATTTAATTTAATTAATTAAAAAACTGCCTCTTTGAAGGCTTAGTCTATCATTTATTTATACATGTGAGTGTGTTTGTAAGTGTGTGTTTTAATGTTTGTCGTTGTCTTCATGTTTGTACATATTGTGTTGTTTCATTTGGGTTTGTTTGTGTGGTTTAAATTGGTTTTAAAATTTTAACCAAATTCAGTGAATTGGGCTATGACATTGTCTTGGACGACTTTGCCTGTAATTTAAACGACACTGATGATATTACAAGTGGCTGCACATATTCCTTGGAACATAACTGCGATCACTCTGAGGATATTTTCATAAGGTGTGGCCCTGATGCAGGTAAACTTCTGTTTGATATAATTTGAGTTAGCAACTTGGTACTAGAGTTATATTCAAAGATATAATATTCTGTAATATAGAAAGAAGAAAGTTAAAAGCTCCTTTCGATAATATACATACCAAACAGAGTCAAAATAATGTAATATATCATGTAAGATAACCCACAAAACCTCATATTTTCGCTCCTCCTCCAGATTTGATAAGCAACATAACCGATCTGTTCAAACTGACCCAACGTGATCCAAGAGGATTGCACGTAGTGGAAAAGATTGAACCTGAAATGGAGACTTACGGAGGTGTCTGTGACGATGGATTTACAGATGTAACAGCAGGAATATTGTGCTCTCACTTTGGGTGGGAGACAGGGAGGAAGGGACCTTCTCAGCTTCTTCGAAATGGAACCAACTTCGTATCAACCAGACTAAACTGTGATGCAAGAACAAGACAATGTCGAGATAGGGCCTACCTCAACAACAACAACAGCAATTCCTCTGTGTTGCTGTGTGCTCCTCACGAGTTGGCCTCTGTCTACTGTTTTAATGGTAGATTCAATTATTATGAAAATTATAGTATACACTTTAAATTAGATGATTGTAAATAACAGGGACCCAAATTATTGGTTACATTTAATTTCATAAATTTCTCAGTCATTACTTGTGCAATCTGCTTTCCTTAAATTTCGCTTTACAGTAAACTTAAATTGAATTATAATAATCTACAATTACAGACACGATGGATTACGAAGTAGATATGTTACGTGCAACAGTCAACCCAGCCAAACAATTCTCAATGACCATTATGATGAGGTTTTTATGAGATATAAGCAAATTTAATAAAATTGCATAGATGGTTTCATGACAACACAATAGTATAATGAATCTGTGATGCAATTGCATACAAAGAAAGAAAGATTATATTATCCTTGATAAGGGTCAATAATTTTAGTATGGTAAATCAGAATCTCAGAACAAAAGTTTTATAACTTCTTATTCAGTTATTACAAAGAAGGAGAGCTGTTTTATCTGCACAATGATGTAGACAGAAGTGCGGTAGCAGTAAGACAATGCGGTGATACACTAGCTCGAGTTACAGTTAGTGGAACAACTGGTCAATACACAATTGCAGGACGTCTCTTAGCCCGAATAATTTGTATTGAGCAATGTGTGGATATTACGGTTCATGGAAGAATTGTATATCGCCACTGCTTTTAAACGAATATTCAATTATTGAAATGATCTTAAGATTAAATATTTTGGTTTTTTGAGAAAAGACAATTTTTTAAAGAAAACACAATTTTATTATTAATCACCAATTCATTACACAATCAATCCATAAATATATATCCGAATAATTTTTTTAAATTTCACAAAATGTTTTTTGCTAGTTTGCCCGGTTCATAAAACAAAAATATTAATATAATATTTCTAGAGGCTTAAACGACAATGTAATAGTTGACATACGTTGCATGCCACTTTCCGCGCGCGAAGCGCGCACCGCCGATATTTGGATACGAAACATGTATCAATGTAATTGAAGATATGAACATTTTGTATGAATGGCTTAGAATTAACAAGCTGAGACTAAATATTTCAAAGTCCTCGTTCATAGTATTCGACAAATGTCCTAATCTTGACAGGCTGTCAATCCCTCTTGATTTGGAAAATGAATGTCTTCACATAAATAGAAGAAGATAAGAAGAAACCAAATCTCAGAAATACATAGGTCTCATAATAGACAACTTATTGAACTTTCAGGACCGTATTGATTATGCGAAATCAAAAGTTGCTAGAAGAATTTGATTCACGATGTCTGATGTCAATCCTTCGCAGCTCGGTGAGGCACAGTGGTGCATCTCGCCGATCTACCGGTGGTTGCGAGAAGAATTATTTGATGCGCGACGCGACCCAGTAGTGCATCGCGCTACAATAGAAGGATATGAGCATTATTATATAGGCCTACAAATCTCCTTCCACTGAAATATAAAAAAATGTTTGCAAATGCTCTTATGAGTATTGCTGAAAGCACAGTGTAAGGCCTACACGGACCGCTTCTAACTAGCCAATCCCTGTTTACATGCCGTGTAGCAGGGGACTAGAAAGAGCTAAACTAGTAAGCGGGGCATAGCCAATACACTATACTTCCATCATTGAGTATATTACCAACCAAAAGGAAAATTTCCTTGTGTTTGGAATCTACCAAGACGAAAGTTGTACAATCCAGCGAAATTCCGAAGAAGAATTTGATTGCCTGGATATTATATGTTGTAGGGTTGCCAAGACCAAACTATGTAATATCAAATATCCAGGTAAAATTTGTATTTAAAAAAATTTGTATTCCCTTACTATTAAGTATACACGCTTGCAAACTAAACTACAAACTAGACATTTGAGAAATCACTCGACCATTGTCATGTTAACCCAGCAAACCCTACCATCTGGGGTATATCTCCAAAAGTAAAATAGATAGAACCTTCCGGTTTTCAACAAAATTTCCGTCTCGTGAATTTACAGTTGGCTCCCCAGGAGCCAAATTGGGGACAACGTAGATTCTGAATTAAACCGAAAAGTTTGATTTTGGGCTAAATAAATGATCACAGCTTTTAAACTTTGCAAAGAAATGTCGTTGTCATGACTACTAGGCTCAATGCAGCGTGCGAAAGGTAAACTTGACGTGACGCGCGACGCCATACGTGCTGTTGAAAATCTATCACCTCTAGCAAGCCCAGCAGGCGGTAAGGTTTTCTGGGAATGGTCTGGCCGGGCGCGCGCAGATTCGAGAAGAAAGCGGCGCGCGCTATACTTTGTACTTCGAAGAAATTTAGACGAGTAACGCCCGTTAAGCATTTTTTGGGAAACCTTGACGGATGTTACTCGTCTAAATTTCTTCGAAGTAGCGCGCGCCGCTTTCTTCACGATGGCAAGTGCTACGAAGTAGCGCGCGCCGGGCCAGACCATTAACAATGGTCAACAGCTAGTGCACTGTAAAGTTGTGAGTTGAAATCAGATAAATTTGCAACGTTATTTAAGGCGCGTGCTATATCTATATCTAACGGGTGATACTCGTAAAATATCAGCCCAGAAAACCTTACCGCCTGCTGGGCTTGCTAGAGGTGATAGATTTTCAACAGCACGTATGGCGTCGCGCGTCACGTCAAGTTTACCTTTCGCACGCTGCATTGAGCCTAGTAGTCATGACAACGACATTACTTCGCAAAGTTTAAAAGCTGTGATATTTTATTTAGCCCAAAATCAAACTTTTTGGTTTAATTCAAAATCTAAGTTGTCCCAAATTGTGCTCCTGCCTCCTGGGGAGCCAACTTTAAATTTACGAGACGGACATTTTGTTGAAAACCGGAAGGTTCTATTTATTTTACTTTTGGAGATATACCCCAGCCGGTAGGGTTTCCTGGGAGGACCGGTAGGTTATAAACCTACAAGCTATATCTCCACAGAAAGCACATCCAATTTAATAGTATGACAAATAAAAAGTCGTAATACTTTAACTTGCGCCTGCTTATATAACATATATATTTATAAAACTTCACATTGCCATTCGAGTCTAAGCGTACTGTGTGATCTGACGCGCTTGTTCATTGTTTCACAAGCTTAAAATAGTGCCTTCAACAATCGCGCTACTGAAAGCGACGTGAGAGGGCTCTGGTTCATGGTTGTCATACGTTGTGCGCACGAGTGCGCGGCTCCGGGCTCCCCCTGTATCGTCACCTAGTGAAACGACCGTGGGGGTCACGACGTGATAAAAGTTCATGGTTAGAGCAATTATAAGACTATTATGTACTAGTATATATCTCATATCCACAGAAAGCGCACTCCCCATATTGCGCGCGCATTGCAGTAATTTCGTTATTCTTTCAAACTTTATGAATCGGTATAAAATCTTTTGCTATTGATCGTTCACATATATATATTACGTAATCAATTTTTGAAATTTTTACCCCCCTCTTCCGTAATTAGTTATATTACACTCCTGCGCGCAGTGTTGTGACCTCCCTTCGTCGTATTTTACACATATTTGGACGTTGGCAATTTATTCCATCGATAATTTTAAAGTTTTAACATTTTTATATTAAATTCTTTTTTAATTTAGTTCTAAAACGATTGAGCTTGCTTTCTGTGAAAATTTAATGTACTTTCGTAAAATAATTTTGATGTGGCAGCGATTTGAAAAGGAAATTAGTTAAAAATAATACAAAAAAATCGGACATTTTTTGATATTAAAACATGAATAACTTGGGCTGTGTTGACAGTAGAAAAATTTATTAACCTCTATCCGACAGCTTTAAAATTTTTCTACGCGCCGCGCAAATCCACGCGCGCATTTTAGCGTGTCAAAATCGTTTAAAACTAGAATTAGTTGATGAAGGAGCATAATGCAGATCATACGTTGTACGTGTGGCTTGAACATTATGATTTCGCGCCATTTCTTGTTTCTGCACTCGCTTTGAACTTTCATGGCTTTAACAGCAGTTATCGACTGACGACTTTGCTGTATTACATAGTGTACTTGGTACATAATTGATCAACGATAATAGGAGGAACCCCTGCAAGCTTTAAAGGGCTCGTGTTACTTTAACATCACTTTTGAATTTCACGAAAGCAGATAAAAGGTAGGTTTCGTTGAATCAAAGTAAGCTAATATCAATTAGAACGAGTATAATTGTGTTACTTTAATACATCGCTTGGTACTGTATTTTATAGTTAACTAACGACATTCTCGCTTTAGGTTATTTTATATAAAACACTTTTATCATTGTTGATTGTGACTTGTCCAATCATTGCACTAGTTTATTACAAAGATTATCAAAATCTTGCGGTAAAATTATTATACAAGCACCCATAAATGACAAAAGTCATTTAATTTCAACATTCCTCATTGCTTTTGTGATTTCCTGCAGCTCTTACTACTGGGCAGCTCTTACTACTGGGCAGGTCGCCCCGTGGTGGTTCATGGAGGCGTCTCAAAAAAAACTGACTGAACTATAACATATAATCTAAATATGATAAGTGCTTATTAACCTCTCTGCTTTAATTCAAACCTTTTATAGAATCTACATATGAACTTACAATGTTTTGCAGTTTTAGTGACGTTGCAGAAACTCCGGAATACTGTGGATTGGGAGGAGGAGAAAGTGATAATTCTGTTATATGGCCTGTTTCTAGGACACGATAAACTTCCTAATAAGGTATTTTTTTCAGGATACGATACGGATAAATTTCTTAATAAGGTATGATCTGTAGCTAGGACACGATTAACTTCCTAATACAGTATGTGTAGATGATAACCTCCCTTCCTCTTCTAGATCAGATGGCTAAGTTACGGTGCAAAGACGGGTAGCTTGAGACTACCCGTTGTTACCTATAATCTAACTCACTCTTTCCACATACGCGGCTAACCTGTTCCCGATCAATATTCAGGTAGTGGAGAACTTAGAGTTAGATTATTTATTCCGCTTTTTGACTTTCCCCAGTCTTCATGCTAGATTCCCGTTCATTTTAGAGCCTCATTTAATCAGTCGGCCTTACTAAAGAACCTCTCACCCTAATAAGAACACGTAACTTGAAGTCTGATCGACTACATAGCTTTCGCTACAGCACTAACACGTGCATTTACAGAGGAGCAAAAGTTTGCGGAGGCATCCTAGAACGGTACATATTTTAATATATCATGCACAGGTGCCATTCTGTTTGTTTGGTTCACAGCTATTTCCTACTCCTAGACTCCGTGTTCGGACTTTTGATTTCTGTACCAGTTTATCGTTAACTTAGAGTTAGATTATTTATTCCGCGTTTTGATTTTCCCCACTCTCCATGCTAGATTCCCGTTCATTTTAGAGCCTCATTTAATCAGTCGGCCTTACTAAAGAACCTCTCACCCTCTTAAGAACACGTAACTTTAAGTCTGATCAACTACATAGCTTTCGCTACAGCACTAACACGTGCATTTACAGAGGAGCAAAAGTTTGCGGAGGCATCCTAGAACGGTACATATTTTAATATATCATGCACGGGTGCCATTCTGTTTGTTTGGTTCACAGCTATTTCCTACTCCTAGACTCCTTGTTCGGACTTTTGATTTCTGTACCAGTTTATCGTTAACTTAGAGTTAGATTATTTATTCCGCTTTTTGATTTTCCCCACTCTCCATGCTATTATTGCTAGATTCCCGTTCATTTTAGAGCCTCATTTAATCAGTCGGCCTTACTAAAGAACCTCTCACCCTAATAAGAACACGTAACTTTAAGTCTGATCGACTACATAGCTTTCGCTACAGCACTAACACGTGCATTTACAGAGGAGCAAAAGTTTGCGGAGGCATCCTAGAACGGTACATATTTTAACATATCATGCACGGGTGCCATTCTGTTTGTTTGGTTCACAGCTATTTCCTACTCCTAGACTTTTGATTTCTGTACCAGTTTATCGTTAACTTAGAGTTAGATTATTATTCCGCGTTTTGATTTTCCCCACTCTCCATGCTATTATTGCTAGATTCCTGTTCATTTTAGAGCCTCATTTAATCAGTCGGCCTTACTAAAGAACCTCTCACCCTCTTAAGAACACGTAACTTTAAGTCTGATCAACTACATAGCTTTCGCTACAGCACTAACACGTGCATTTACAGAGGAGCAAAAGTTTGCGGAGGCATCCTAGAACGGTACATATTTTAATATATCATGCACGGGTGCCATTCTGTTTGTTTGGTTCACAGCTATTTCCTACTCCTAGACTCCGTGTTCGGACTTTTGATTTCTGTACCAGTTTATCGTTAACTTAGAGTTAGATTATTTATTCCGCTTTTTGATTTTCCCCACTCTCCATGCTATTATTGCTAGATTCCTGTTCATTTCAGAGCCTCATTTAATCAGTCGGCCTTACTAAAGAACCTCTCACCCTAATAAGAACACGTAACTTGAAGTCTGATCGACTACATAGCTTTCGCTACAGCACTAACACGTGCATTTACAGAGGAGCAAAAGTTTGCGGAGGCATCCTAGAACGGTACATATTTTAACATATCATGCACGGGTGCCATTCTGTTTGTTTGGTTCACAGCTATTTCCTACTCCTAGACTTTTGATTTCTGTACCAGTTTATCGTTAACTTAGAGTTAGATTATTATTCCGCGTTTTGATTTTCCCCACTCTCCATGCTATTATTGCTAGATTCCTGTTCATTTTAGAGCCTCATTTAATCAGTCGGCCTTACTAAAGAACCTCTCACCCTCTTAAGAACACGTAACTTTAAGTCTGATCAACTACATAGCTTTCGCTACAGCACTAACACGTGCATTTACAGAGGAGCAAAAGTTTGCGGAGGCATCCTAGAACGGTACATATTTTAATATATCATGCACGGGTGCCATTCTGTTTGTTTGGTTCACAGCTATTTCCTACTCCTAGACTCCGTGTTCGGACTTTTGATTTCTGTACCAGTTTATCGTTAACTTAGAGTTAGATTATTTATTCCGCTTTTTGATTTTCCCCACTCTCCATGCTATTATTGCTAGATTCCTGTTCATTTCAGAGCCTCATTTAATCAGTCGGCCTTACTAAAGAACCTCTCACCCTAATAAGAACACGTAACTTGAAGTCTGATCGACTACATAGCTTTCGCTACAGCACTAACACGTGCATTTACAGAGGAGCAAAAGTTTGCGGAGGCATCCTAGAACGGTACATATTTTAACATATCATGCACGGGTGCCATTCTGTTTGTTTGGTTCACAGCTATTTCCTACTCCTAGACTTTTGATTTCTGTACCAGTTTATCGTTAACTTAGAGTTAGATTATTATTCCGCGTTTTGATTTTCCCCACTCTCCATGCTATTATTGCTAGATTCCTGTTCATTTCAGAGCCTCATTTAATCAGTCGGCCTTACTAAAGAACCTCTCACCCTAATAAGAACACGTAACTTGAAGTCTGATCAACTACATAGCTTTCGCTACAGCACTAACACGTGCATTTACAGAGGAGCAAAAGTTTGCGGAGGCATCCTAGAACGGTACATATTTTAATATATCATGCACGGGTGCCATTCTGTTTGTTTGGTTCACAGCTATTTCCTACTCCTAGACTCCTTGTTCGGACTTTTGATTTCTGTACCAGTTTATCGTTAACTTAGAGTTAGATTATTTATTCCGCGTTTTGATTTTCCCCACTCTCCATGCTATTATTGCTAGATTCCTGTTCATTTCAGAGCCTCATTTAATCAGTCGGCCTTACTAAAGAACCTCTCACCCTCTTAAGAACACGTAACTTTAAGTCTGATCAACTACATAGCTTTCGCATACCGTTTCGTATCACGTATTTATCATCTCTCCTTCTTCAGAGACTGGCTTTATTTCAACATACCGTATCGTATCACGTTTTTATCGTCTCTCCTTCTTCAGAGACAGGCTTTCTTTCAGCATGGTTACCCAGAGACTTGATGGTATCAGGGTTCTCGATGTTCTGAGTAATGAATTTAGTTTTTCCCTTCATTCATTCTAAGTCCCACTGTGGCAGCAACCCTTTCTATCTCTTGCATCAGCGTCTCTGTCTCCTTTTCAGTATCTGCTATCAGAGCAATGTCATCCACAAAACCAGTGACCGATATCTTCTCCACCTTGACTCTCCTACTCCACCTTGACTCTCCTACTCCTATTAGGCATTATATAAGGCTTTTAATGGTAAATCCTATTTCAGGGTGCTTGCTTAAGGCTTGTCTCATGCAATAGTCTAGGGCTATTATAATGAACAGGTACGGTATGGTGCTAACATCTGCAAGATCTTAAGGAGAGAGTGGCGTGACACACCCTCTGTAATCAATAAAATTTTGCGAAACTTTCAGAAATACTAAGTTTGACCCAGATTTAAAGGTCGCTAGACTGAATGCAATATTTCAGTTAACAACTCTACCTCGATTCGATGCAGTGCACAGTGGGAAAGGTTGAAGTTGACGTTCAAGCAGTCACCCTGCCGAACAAGAAATCTTTCAGGCCAAGAGGCTAGGTGACTAGAAACTCAATCACTATATCCGTGAAACTTGTCGGGAGCACTGTTATGTGAGTTATTTTACCTTCTAAATTCCAATGAGCATGAAAATTACCCAGGTTCATGGAATGCACGAAAATGAACAAAAATTAATATTCTCCTAAAACTAAAAGTGCTCAGAACGGTTTAAAACTGGCCGGAAAGCGTTTAGATTGGTCCTAGGACCACTCAAACCAAGTTTGGGAATCACTGCATGTCTACAACCGATGTAACCAATGTTCCAAAATGTTCCAATTTTGTCCCAATAACTCGTTCACCAGCCTACCTCCGTTCACCAGCATGCGCTGTGACCGTCATGGTCACGGCGCAAGATGCGCGCATTTTAAAATGCCGGGAACACATTTTAATTGCCATTGTACATTATAGTACATAGTGGACAGTGGAGTGTGTGGTCTGATACTTGATAGTAGACAGAGGTTATATTTGAAACATTCCCGGTGCCTTCAACTGTTCTTTACTGTGCATGCACTGACTATTTGATTGCTTAAACGAATAGGCGAGCCTTCAAAAACATTAGTTTCAATGTTTTCATAGTTTTATGATGCAAATATAATTTTTCCATTTACATAACTGATAATACCCCCAATATCTTTTCAGTTGTGGAGGTCGGACCGAAACTGTAATCAGACACTAAACATTGACGAGGACCAATTACTCTACTCCTTCAATGATTAATAAAGATCGCTGATTGCTTTTACTAATGTATAATGTTAAAATGAAAGAGAAACTATCGAGACGAAAGAGAAAAAGGCACTCATTTATTTATAGTTTTATGTCTTAACAATGATATTCGAAAGCTAATTTTAAAAACTGGCTCTGAATCCTTGCTAAATGATTTGGGAAGGTGTAAGGGCTTAATATGCCTGTAGACATCATTTTCAGTGGGTTTTATGAAGTTTATGATTAGAGTATATTTTGGGACTGAAATAAGCGCAAGACCTTCGACGTTTCTATTCCTACTGTTTTTTTAATTTAGCAAATATACAAACAAATTTTATACTGTCGTAAAGATAAAATATTTAGTTATCGGATAGAGACTTGAAAATTAAGTATTACAATAACCAAGCTAAAATATTCAATGTTAAACTCAAAAATTTTCACGCGTCTATGAAGAAATATTTAGTTCTGCGCGTAGTTTTTTGGTCAAATCTACGGCAAATTTTCGCCAATTTTGTTCATAGTTTCAAAATGTTATTTAGTAGACAAATTACTTTCGGACTACATCCATATTGTTTATTTAAGTCTAAAAGAAACAACATTTATTTGACTTCAAAATTGTTCAATCTGAATACGAGCTAATTACGACGAAGGGAGGTCACAACACTGCGCGCAGGAGTGTATTAAATATATTTAGTTTTAATAACAAATAATGAATTACTGTGCGGGTGATACTCGTAATACATTTTTTCCAAACATTGATATATCATATATGCAACATGAAGACCGTCGAAGGGTCCAGTTCGGCGCGTGTCTTGTAAGGTTATCAATCTACATCTTTTGTAGAGGTGCCTAGAAACTGATCTTCCCGTCCAATTTTGGTCGGATTATCAAGTAGGTTAACTAATTAGGAGCATCTAATCACTTCCATGAGGAGTTATAGTGTACGGAGAAAAGGGTTGTAGTCACTTACTGGGCCGCGCTCAGCCTGTCATTCCGCCAAATCTATTATGTTAATGAGCATAATATATAGCCTGGGGTCCTCAGGTAAGTAGTCACGTGACAGGCTATTAAAAAGCAAATTCGGGTTGTGGTTAATAAAACATAAAAGGCCATTTTTCTGCTGCAAAACAGTTGTAAATTGTAGGTTTATAACCTACCAAGACGCGCGCCGATATGGAACAAATATTTCAAGAGAATCATCCGTAAAAATTCGAATGAAATTAGTTATGTTGCGAGAGCGAAATAATTTAAGACAAATAGAGCCGTATGAATGATGAAGTATCACCCGTTATTAAAACTTCGACGTGCATTACTTGCTCTGCTTCTATTCCGGTAGCATCGTCAATCGAGGATTTGTTGACTAAATTTGTGAACTATCCTCAAATAAAATGTCGAATATTTCAGACCTATCACTTATGTCCAGCTGACGCGGACGACCACGTAAATCAGAGCCACTTCTATTAATATTATACTTCTTTCACGTAAACAGTAAAGACAAATTCAAACGATGGAATCTGTTTTTTAAAAACTGGAACATAAATTTATCTTCGAATTCAGCACATTCAAATAAATATGCATTTTAAACTGGTAAAAACACAGAATTAAATTAAATTGAAATTCACTATTCAAAGTTAAAAGAACTTATTTAAAGTAAAAATCGTAAGAAAGTTCTTGTTACAACGCTGATCGTTAATCACTCTACACTCGGGTAGCTATCACGTGACCAAAAGTAACTTAGAACTTGTTGTGTAAACGCTGACCTAAACTTAAAACCAAAAATGTCACGAAACCATCAAGGAAAATTTTACCAAAATCTTTAAATGGACATGTGGGGACATGTCTCCTTGAATCTAAAAAGCTATCGCCTACAACTGACAACGCAATAACGCATGCTATGTGGAATGTGGATAATCTGTTTCATTGATTCGACATCAGTGTCCAATAAAACGATCAATGTTAATTTCAGCTGCCCCTCCCCGGAGAATAGAGTGATAAAGCAATTCCGCGTCACAACTCACAAAAGTGGTCCCTGAGCTTTAAATAGGGGGCTGGGTAGTGGCGCCGTACACTCGGAGGCTCTTTTTATTGATGATAACTGCAAAACAGTTGTCAGACAAAGTCTCTCTGATGATTTGGAGGGCGTGTTCCTCTAACCGGCCCTCCACAGTCTGCAGAGCACGCTCCACAAAGTAAACAGGCTCCAGGTCACTGTAGAACCCACAATACACGTTGAGACCCTGACTGTTTATACACGCGGAGGTATCAGGCAAGACAAACTCGTGCAGCTCCCAGCTGGTCTTCAACAAGTGGTCACCTTGGGACATGGCTTTTAGCTGGGGGTGTTGTATCAGTAATTCAGGGTGTGTTGTTTGGGCGAGATCTAGAAGATTGGCAAACTCTGTTTCCTCTGTTTTGTAGAGCTTGTGGAGATTTATCATACTTTCTCTCATACTCGACTCTTCATCTTCATCATCGTCCTACGAAGAGTGAGTTATTAAAATTGCCTTATAACATTCCAACGAATTATTAATCACTGATAATTAGTTTTTATTAATCACTAATAATTAGTGCTCAACTAAAAAACGGTAAGAGTCATCGGTGAACAGAGTTACATAAATACGATCTCCATCAATGTGACACTGCTATCATTACTTAACATTTTTATGGTTTACCGTTATTTGAGAAAGTTTGACTTGGCGTTTTGCCGTTTTGAGTTGCTTCTTTATATCCGTGAGATTAGAGAGGTCAGGTTTGTTTTGCAATGTTTGGCGGGCTGACAGTGCCCTCTTCTGATACAGTTCAGAGCTCGTCACAAATAGTTCCAATTCTTCTCTCTTCTTTACGGCTCTTTCTTTCACTACACCTCGTACACTGAACAAATTTTTAAAGGATCAATTTTCATATTACCTGGTAACCTGATAGATCGTTATGGGGGGGGGGGGGGGGGGGGGGGGGTACCAATGGCATAGAATTCATCAAATGGCATAGAAATTTCATGGCATAAATGGAAATTTTGTTTGGCCAATTCTCCATTTATGCCAATTTATGCCATGAATTTAGGTCTTCATATTTGACCTTTAGGATGACTTTAAATTCGCAAATTTTATTAGTACTTGAATAAGAGACATGTTTCATGCTTTATAACGCTTGGAATGATCGTTAAAGTCAAAGATTCGTATGACAAATAAAGAAAATAGAAATGTATTATATCAAACATATACCAAACATTTGACTATTCAAGAAAAGCAAATTGTGAGATGTTCAAAATGTACAGAATACAAACATTGACAACACAACGATTTTGAATGTCATCAAGGAACAACGCATCTGATGTATTTGTCTTCGACGAGTAGCCAAACATTAGGAGATCCATTGATTAGGCTATGCTCCTGGCAGTAGTACTTCATCGGGCATGACTTATAAGAAATAAATCTAACCACTCCTTTTGCAAATTCCTGCTGAGATTTGAAGACTTTAAGAGTTTCTGTACTGCCAGCTTTCAAAACTGTTGAACATCCGCAACGCGTCCCCCTTGAATCTTGAAAGACGAGATTTTGTTGATAAAGTGCTTCTTCCTCCATTGAGCGTGAGTTTCTCAAAAGGCCGGAAGGATAGTGTTCCATATTTATCTGTTGATATCGTTTCTCTATCATCACAATCATCAACTTCAGGTTCTACCTCATAAGCTAAGTCGTCCTCATCCTAGAGGCATCCAGCTTCATCATCTACAGCTTCCAAAGAAAGTACTTGGCCATGGACGCGGACGATTGGCTTCCCACTCTGTTCTTCAGGATCTGCGACTGCGGCGAACACAGGGAAATTGTTTCTTTTCCCTTCTCGAATGCAGTCCCTCGATGCCCTGTCCAGCGTTTTTGCCAACTTGCCTAGGCTTATCATACCACCAGTCCATTTCACTCGTTCTGCTTTCTGGCCTGTAGATTTAACCTTTTTGAGGTGAACTGTAGGATGCAAAACTGTACTTCCACGTGCATGTGCAATTGCAAATGTGTCTTCATGTAATGATAAAGCACAGTACACATTCTTTCTCTCCATTCCATGGGCCATAGTTATCGCATCCATATTTCTTGAGCGACCAGATGAGGCATCATGTAGCCTCCAGGCTCGACAAACCCCGACAAACCCCGACAAACGGTTTGTCGAGGGGTTTTGCCTCGGGCCCACCGGCTACATGAGGCCTTCTTGTATAGTGTTTTTCCACGTAAAGCTTGATGACTCCGTCTCGGCTTTTTGTTGGGAGACTCAAAAAAAAAAAAAAAAAAAAGAAAGCCTCCAGGCTCGACAAACCGGAAACCCCGTCAAACCCTGACAAACCCCGACAAACCCCGACAAACCCTGACAAATCCCGACAAACCCCGACGTGTCAAGATATGTCGTATCATGTCGGGCCCACCGGCTACATGATGCCTCAGATGAAAAAGAAACCCGAATAAATGCAAACAGCTGCTCATTCTGATCACTTCCAACTTTCCAAGGTAATAAATGACGATTTCAGCATTAGGGAATTGCTTCTTCAGCAGAGTTAAATACAAAACAAGACCGTCACAAGTACATATAAGATCAAGGTACGTCTGATTCGTTATGCTGACAGTTGAGTAAGTATTCTCTTTCCAAGTAACGAAAAATGTTTTTGCCCACCATGCCTTGTAAGCACGCTCGTCTGGATCGATTTCCTTATCGAGGAATGCTTCTGCGATGTACTGCACGGCCTTCAAATACATACCTGTTGCTTTGTAGCCATTGGAAGTGAATACTTCATGCAGGCGGGAAACCGAGGTGACAAGACTTGGATCCTGGCTCCCATTGCCTCTCTACACCATGCCCAAACCTATCAGCAAACAACGAATTAGCCTCGGCGGAATGCCATCTAAAGTACAGGACAAGAAGAAGGACAAGAAGAAGCCGGCCTCCCCAGCAAATCCTATGAAATGCCCATGTGCCAAAGCACGACCCAGAGGCCTGGATTCTTTCTTGTACCAATTGCACCCAGGAATGGCACAGCAACTGTTCCAACCTTAAGGGTATCACTAAGAATTTTGTTGGACAGCTTATCGACTGGATGTGCCCTTTTGCTTCAACCCACCGGGAGTTGAAGCCCGCAACAATACACAAACTGACAGTCTAATACTGAGGATATCTAACTTATCAGATGACAATGCTTCCCTTACGAAACAGATAACCTCCCTTGAGGATAAACTTACTTCCCTGATTGCAGACACCGACAGAATCAGTAGCAGCTACAATCTGATTGCTGAGAGAGTGGTGGCCTTATCAGACATCAACACAGGTCTCACGCACTTGAATCTGCAACAAGATAAGACCAATTCAACGCTGAAGGCCTTATCAGAGAAACTCGAGAGCATAACAACCACGGCCACATCACAACCACAACATGTTGCTACGCCTCCTCCTCCTCCTCCTCCTTCTCTTCACGTGTTTGAGCCCCCTGCAGTCCCATCCGGTATGGTCCCGGCAATAATTATCAACGATTTTATTGATGAACACGCTGCGCAGCCGATTGTTGACTTCCTAACAGCCACTGAATTTAATGATGAGAATGGTCACTCAGTGAAATCGTTTGGCCATCCATATTCTTATGTAGGGTCAAAAGCGACCACTAGTCCGCCTATCATTCCTGAAGCCTTGCAACCCCTAGTGGATTCGATCAATAAGATGCAGGCTGAAGAGTTCTACAAGAGCTCTCCCGAGCTGAAGAAGAAAGGAGCAGCACAAGTTATCAACTCCTGCTTGGTCAATCGATACGTTGGTTAGGAGAGCTTTCTGCCAGAACACTCAGATAATGAGATCACAATCCACTCCGAATCGTCAATTTATACGATCACAGTGGGTGAATCTTGTGGGATCTTGTTTGCTGACAGAAGCTCCAAGACTGACAGTCTCAAGTTAGACTGCAGTGACAGATCAATGTACCGAATGACTCGGCGATCTCTGGACTTCTTCTCTCACCGAATAGAGAAGGGCTCTGTCGAGAAAGGAGTGCGATATAGCCTCACTTTCCGATCAGTCAGTTGGAAAAATCGCAACTCAACATGCATAGTCGGTGATTCCAATACTGGCCACCTAGCCTTTGGAACTAGTAAACTTAACTCGTTTGGTGAGCTATTAATGCCGGGTCAACGGTTTTGGGCCGCTACAATGGAGGACATACATTGAACGTAATTATGATCAATAATGCCCATTGCTAGGGATATTTTGAGGAAATTAATGGGTGAAAATAGATGTTGTAGTACAATAAATAGAGATAAAGGTGGACAGTACTAGTGGGGTGCAGACTATTCGTTATTAAATTCTCAGTTCAAAGTTTTAAAATTTCATATTTCGAATGGCATAGAATGGAGACAAATGGCATAAAATTCATCAAATGGCATAGAATTTCATGGCATAAATGGAAATTTTGTTTGGCCAATTCTCCATTATGCCATTTATGCCATTGGTACCCCCCCCCCCATCGTTATAATGGTGGTATTACCTGGCTGATACGGGTGAGAGGTCGTCATAATGGTGATATTACCTGAATGATACGGGTGAGAGGTCGTTATAATGGTGATATTACCTGGCTGATACGGGTGAGGGTCGTTATAATGGTGATATTACCTGGCTGATACGGGTGAGAGGTTGTTGTAATGGTGAATATTACCTGGCTGATACGGGTGAGAGGTTGTTGTAATGGTGAATATTACCTGGCTGATACGGGTGAGAGGTCGTCATAATGGTGATATTACCTGGCTGATACGGGTGAGAGGTCGTTATAATGGTGATATTACCTGGCTGATACGGGTGAGAGGTTGTTGTAATGGTGATATTACCTGGCTGATACGGGTGAGAGGTTGTTGTAATGGTGAATATTACCTGGCTGATACGGGTGAGAGGTCGTTATAATGGTGATATTACCTGGCTGATACGGGTGAGAGGTTGTTGTAATGGTGAATATTACCTGGCTGATACGGGCGAGAGGTCGTTATAATGGTGATATTACCTGGCTGATACGGGCGAGAGGTTGTTGTAATGGTGATATTACCTGGCTGATACGGGTGAGAGGTTGTTGTAATGGTGAATATTACCTGGCTGATACGGGTGAGAGGTCGTTATAATGGTGATATTACCTGGCTGATACGGGTGAGAGGTCGTTGTAGTGATGTTGAGATGTGGTTAACAGCTCCTCTAACAACGAACAAACTGTCTTCAAACTATTTCCTGAACAGAGTGAAGGATAGTTTATATAACACAATACTGCAATACTGTAAGGAGGTATTTATTACCAATCACAATTAACTAACATTTAGCCAGAGATAGTTAAATCTGTGTCTGACATAATCACTACTGGAGAAATTTGGTTGTCGTGTGGTTGAGAAATGGCGGATTTTTCGACTAACCGAGAGAGGTGATGTTTTCTTTATCGTTTTGTTGATCAGTCACCACGACAAAACCATTCTCATCAGCACTATCCTCCCCCACCTCAACTATCTTGCTCTCTCCGAATAACCTACACAGTTACCATGGTTACAGTTGACCGTGGTAACGGTCACTATGGTTACAGTTGACCGTGGCTTGTGCCACCATAGTGGGTTGGTTAGGCCACTGGCAGGAGCACTTCTATCTGGTTACAGTAAAGTTTATACCTGACAGTGTTGTTGCTGAGAAGTCTGCTGCAGCTGACCAGTTGTCCGTTCAACACAGTCAAGTGTTCGCGACAGTTTCCTTGAACTTTAATGACATCGCTTAGGAAGCCGCTACTCATCTCATCAACACCATCCAGCAACGAGTCTGAAATTATATTTAATGTTCATCCGCATTCAGCACTCTACAATGATATAACTCTTTTGCGTTCAGTTATCAGTGAAATAGAAGAAATATAACCGTATACATATTATGAATGAAATATTAGAGATAAACTCAGTAACTACATTTCTTCCAAACCTAGTGATTGTTCAGGTAATCCAGAATCAGCTTGAGGTTGTTCGTAGGCCGCAACTATCTCGTTAATGAGTTGGAACTTGTTCTTCAGCTCTGACTGCTCCGCCAACTCCGTGTAAAGCTCCACAGCCTCACTCACAGCGAGCAGGTTCGCATCCCGCTTCTCAACTGCGCGCTCTAACGAAGCAGAATCAGCGCAGCCCTGGATCGCGGCGCTGCTCTGCGTTAGACTCTCCAGCTCCATTTCCACGGAGGAGCGGAGATCTGCTAGTTCAGAGCTAACTTCCACAGACTGGAGCTGCTCCAACACACTCTTGATTGCTCTGGTGTCAGTACCAGTCACTATGTCAGCTGCAGTACTGTTATATTTATCTATCTTATCTATCAGGGACAATATGTAGATCTGTATTTGCTCCTCTATACTTTCTACCGGGTCCAAACTCTTCTCGCTAACTATCTCTTCCGTCACCACGTCTTCCTTCACTAAGTCTATCTTCACATCCTCTTCCGTCACTACCTCTTCCTTTACGACTTCTACTGCGTCTTCAACAACGTTCTTATCTTTTACAACTTCAGTCAAAGATTGAGATGGACTAGTAGTTTGTGTGGGAGTAGAGTCACCATTAGATTCCGCGTACCTGCATTAAATTGAATTAAAATCGGACTATATTGCGTTTGTATTTGTGTGTAAACCTATAGCAGACAGTAAAGCCTATATACTGTACTAAGTGTACCTCGTGTGAAATGTTGCTTAGGGTTCTTATGGTGGCAATAAAGATGTTCAGATGAATTCAGCTACCCCTCATGCCGTATAGTAGCAATAATTTAGGGTATACTATCTTCTTATATTATCTTGTAAGGTTTAATTGTATTTGTTTTCCGGCTGAGAGTGAAAATAGCAGGTACCTGATGTCATGGAAGGGTGATCTAGCAGGAGTATCTGGAGGCTGATCTCCGCAAAGCTTGGCCATTTCCAGGTCCTTGTCTCTGCAGAGGGTGGAGAGCATCTTGATGCGCTGGTGGAGCGCCTGGGTGTAGTAGCTAGGCTGGGTTCTGCGCACTGTCGCGCTCTCCTCGCTCTTCTTTGCGAACCCCAGCTCCACCATCAGCTCATTGTAGGTAGTACAGGAGGGCTGGTTTGTTAGTTGAGGTCTGTTTACGTAGATGTCCGTGTAGAGATCAGGCAGTGGGGTCTGACTGACAAACCCTGAAACACTATACGTGACACATGTTTTCAAAGCTTTCCGGAAATTGATGGCCATTAAAGAACAAAAATCTAGACTACGTTGGGGGGGGGGGGGGGTGGGCGGGGGTGATGTGGTCAGTTCAGTTAGTTTGTAAAACTACATACCTGTAAGAATGGACTCAGTGTCGAAACTGCCAACTGCCTCCGTAAGTTTGTCTGGTAGTGCTTCCAGTTTAGGGAATCTGAACGGATACGCGAAGAACGGGACCTCCAACAGTTTAGGGCTCTTTAGAGCAACCTGCAACAACAACAATTATCAGAGCTTATTTAAGTAGCAGGACCAGATATTCAGAAAAATTTTAGTAGTGACTAGTGAAACTTGTGACCATTGCATGAGCATACTGCATAGTAATACTATGAAACTTACCAAATCGGCGATGTTTTTCTTCTCCTTGTTCCCGTAGTCGACAAACAGAACGTCAGTATTCCCCTGTTCATCAGGAATCTGACATGTGATACATCTGTACCACCTTTCACACCACATGGTCCCGTACAGTCCCCCTTTGGTGATGTGAGCTACTGGTGGCAGTCCCGGACACATCTGAAGTTGGGCACTGTTACCATGCAACATATATTGCATCTTCCCCATCTTGTAGATCTGTCTCTAGTTGTCTGGTACTTGCATCTTGTAGATATGTCTCTAGTTGTCTGGTACTTACATCTTGTAGATCTGTCTCTAGTTGTCTGGTACTTACATCTTGTAGATATGTCTCTAGTTGTCTGGTACTTACATCTTGTAGATCTGTCTCTAGTTGTCTGGTACTTGCATCTTGTAGATATGTCTCTAGTTGTCTGGTACTTACATCTTGTATATCTGTCTCTTGTTGTCCGGTACTTACATCTTGGAGATCTGTCTCTAGTTGTCCGGTACTTACATCTTGTAGATCTGTCTCTAGTTGTCTGGTACTTACATCTTGTAGATATGTCTCTTGTTGTCCGGTACTTACATCTTGTAGATATGTCTCTAGTTGTCTGTTACTTACATCTTGTATTATATCTGTCTCTAGTTGTCTGGTACTTACATCTTGTAGATATGTCTCTAGTTGTCTGGTACTTACATCTTGTAGATCTGTCTCTAGTTGTCTGGTACTTACATCTTGTAGATATGTCTCTAGTTGTCTGGTACTTACATCTTGTAGATCTGTCTCTAGTTGTCTGGTACTTGCATCTTGTAGATATGTCTCTAGTTGTCTGGTACTTACATCTTGTATATCTGTCTCTTGTTGTCCGGTACTTACATCTTGGAGATCTGTCTCTAGTTGTCCGGTACTTACATCTTGTAGATCTGTCTCTAGTTGTCTGGTACTTACATCTTGTAGATATGTCTCTTGTTGTCCGGTACTTACATCTTGTAGATATGTCTCTAGTTGTCTGTTACTTACATCTTGTATTATATCTGTCTCTAGTTGTCTGGTACTTACATCTTGTAGATATGTCTCTAGTTGTCTGGTACTTACATCTTGTAGATCTGTCTCTAGTTGTCTGGTACTTACATCTTGTAGATATGTCTCTAGTTGTCTGGTACTTACACCTTGTAGATCTGTCTCTAGTTGTCTGGTACTTGCATCTTGTAGATATGTCTCTAGTTGTCTGGTACTTACATCTTGTATATCTGTCTCTTGTTGTCCGGTACTTACATCTTGGAGATCTGTCTCTAGTTGTCCGGTACTTACATCTTGTAGATCTGTCTCTAGTTGTCTGGTACTTACATCTTGTAGATATGTCTCTTGTTGTCCGGTACTTACATCTTGTAGATATGTCTCTAGTTGTCTGTTACTTACATCTTGTATTATATCTGTCTCTAGTTGTCTGGTACTTACATCTTGTAGATATGTCTCTAGTTGTCTGGTACTTACATCTTGTAGATCTGTCTCTAGTTGTCTGGTACTTACATCTTGTAGATATGTCTCTAGTTGTCTGGTACTTACATCTTGTAGATCTGTCTCTAGTTGTCTGGTACTTGCATCTTGTAGATATGTCTCTAGTTGTCTGGTACTTACATCTTGTATATCTGTCTCTTGTTGTCCGGTACTTACATCTTGGAGATCTGTCTCTAGTTGTCCGGTACTTACATCTTGTAGATCTGTCTCTAGTTGTCTGGTACTTACATCTTGTAGATATGTCTCTTGTTGTCCGGTACTTACATCTTGTAGATATGTCTCTAGTTGTCTGTTACTTACATCTTGTATTATATCTGTCTCTAGTTGTCTGGTACTTACATCTTGTAGATATGTCTCTAGTTGTCTGGTACTTACATCTTGTAGATCTGTCTCTAGTTGTCTGGTACTTACATCTTGTAGATATGTCTCTAGTTGTCTGGTACTTACACCTTGTAGATATGTCTCTAGTTGTCCGGTACTTACATCTTGTAGATCTGTCTCTGGTTGTGTGGTACTTACATCTTGTAGATCTGTCTCTAGTTGTGTGGTACTTACATCTTGTAGATATGTCTCTAGTTGTCCGGTACTTACATCTTGTAGATATGTCTCTAGTTGTCCGGTACTTACATCTTGTAGATATGTCTCTAGTTGTCTGGTACTTACATCTTGTAGATATGTCTCTAGTTGTCCGGTACTTGCATCTTGTAGATTTGTCTCTAGTTGTCTGGTACTTACATCTTGTAGATATGTCTCTAGTTGTCCGGTACTTACATCTTGTAGATATGTCTCTAGTTGTCTGGTACTTACATCTTGTAGATATGTCTCTAGTTGTCCGGTACTTACATCTTGCAGATCTGTCTCTAGTTGTCTGGTACTTACATCTTGTAGATATGTCTCTAGTTGTCCGGTACTTGCATCTTGTAGATTTGTCTCTAGTTGTCTGGTACTTACATCTTGTAGATATGTCTCTAGTTGTCCGGTACTTACATCTTGTAGATATGTCTCTAGTTGTCCGGTACTTACATCTTGTAGATATGTCTCTAGTTGTCTGGTACTTACATCTTGTAGATATGTCTCTAGTTGTCCGGTACTTGCATCTTGTAGATTTGTCTTTAGTTGTCTGGTACTTACATCTTGTAGATATGTCTCTAGTTGTCCGGTACTTACATCTTGTAGATATGTCTCTAGTTGTCTGGTACTTACATCTTGTAGATATGTCTCTAGTTGTCCGGTACTTGCATCTTGTAGATCTGTCTCTAGTTGTCTGGTACTTACATCTTGTAGATATGTCTCTAGTTGTCCGGTACTTGCATCTTGTATATCTGTCTCTTGTTGTCTGGTACTTACATCTTGTAGATTTGTCTCTAGTTGTCTGGTACTTACATCTTGTAGATATGTCTCTAGTTGTCCGGTACTTACATCTTGTAGATCTGTCTCTAGTTGTCCGGTACTTGCATCTTGTAGATCTGTCTCTTGTTGTCCGGTACTTACATCTTGTAGATCTGTCTCTAGTTGTCGGTTACTTACATCTTGTATATCTGTCTCTTGTTGTCCGGTACTTACATCTTGGAGATCTGTCTCTAGTTGTCTGGTACTTACATCTTGGAGATCTGTCTCTAGTTGTCCGGTACTTACATCTTGTAGATCTGTCTCTAGTTGTCTGGTACTTACATCTTGTAGATATGTCTCTTGTTGTCCGGTACTTACATCTTGTAGATATGTCTCTAGTTGTCTGTTACTTACATCTTGTATTATATCTGTCTCTTGTTGTCTGGTACTTACATCTTGTATATATCTGTCTCTAGTTGTCCGGTACTTACATCTTGTAGATCTGTCTCTGGTTGTCTGTTACTTACATCTTGTAGATATGTCTCTAGTTGTCTGGTACTTACATCTTGCAGATCTGTCTCTAGTTGTCCGGTACTTGCATCTTGTAGAGTTGTAGATCTGTCTCTAGTTGTCTGTTACTTACATCTTGGAGATCTGTCTCTAGTTGTCTGTTACTTACATCTTGTAGATCTGTCTCCAGCTGTCTTGTAGTGTCCAGTAGATCCGGAGTAAGAACCTGGCCCCAGAAAGTGCAGGCTGTTTCCACATATGTAATCATTATCTTCAAAGGCTGGACCTCGTGGAACCTGAAACATGTAAAAGAAGTATTATTCCTTTTATTATTAGTAATATTATTATTTGCCCACAAATAGATTCAGCTATAGTTACCTAGTTAAAACATTCCATAAAATTAGGATTCTGAAGACCTCTGACTATCAAGTAAATCCTTAATTCTGCTGTCAAATTCGTCTAGTAAAGTGATTAATAATGAGCCTACCTGCGTTGGTTGTAATATTTGTTAGGACTATTCTGGTTGCCATGACTATTCTGGTTACTATGGTAACTATTCTGGTTGTTATTGTAACTGTTCTGGTTGTTGTATGGTCGGATGTTATTCTGTGTACTATTCTGATGATGTGTAGTTCTGGGAGTGCCTCTTGTTTGGTAATTGTTATTGTAGGAAGGATTATTGTAGGAAGAATTATTGTAGGAAGGATTATTGTTATTGTAGTGGGGAGTAGAGTTTTGATAGTTCTGGAAGCGGGGGGTGTTCCTGTAATGGGTATTGTTGTTGTTGTTGTTGTTGTAATCTTGACGATTAGGAGACGGATTCTGAGGGTGATTCTGAGAGTTGTGGAATGTTTCTTTTCCCATGCTCTCCTGCAGTTTCTGATCGATTGACTTGGTGACGATGTCTTTAAGCTCCTCTACAGTGAGGCTACTTATAGCTGTAGCCATTGTTATGAGTATAGTATCCGGACAGTGAAGTTAACAAGCAGTGTATCTAGGAATAAGTAATCTTCTTAAGCACAGTTACTGGTGCTGTGACATGTCACGTGACTAGCACTACCTTCCTGAGGTGGGTTTAGGTTTATGATATGAAAGAAGTTTTATAATAAGTCCAATCCTAGCTATGTGCATGTTTGTTATATCAAGGTTGTCTGATGTAAGTTTTCAAGAAATCGGTCAGAAATATAAATAAACTTTTGACTTTATCAAGAAATTGAATTGAATATAAATTGCAACAAGTAAAAATTAAATAAACTTTAATACACATTAAACAGAAAGTGAAACTAAAAATAAATGAGACATATTGTCAGATCAAGCTTTTTCAATAATCGCCATACAGAAACAGTTGACCTGGAAAAATTGTCAGGTCTCATATAAAGATTGGCGATTAATCAGCTTACCCTTTTTTAAATAATTTAATTTAAAATATAGAAAGTCGACCTGGAAACATCGTTCTGTCTTTTAAAAAGATTGGCGATAGATCAGATTACCCTTAATGAGAAATACTTTAATTTACCCCAAAATATAATGAATCATTTAAATTACTCAATGTTACTGAGTTCTGTGAAATGGGGCAAATAGTCAGCAAGCACTAAACCCAAGCGTTCTGGTTGGGACAGGAGGATAGTATAAGTGTTCTGGTCAAGATAGAAGTTAGCACATGTACTCTTGTTCTCCCTCCTCGTTTTGAAAAGTTTCTGCAGGATGGACCGTGTGGAGTCCGTTCTGAATCATAGTATCTAGAGTGATGGGGGGAGTCCAGAGTACTACTTGGAGTCTGTGTTCTCGTAACTGGTTCTTTATAAATGCATCCTCTAATGATCTCCCATTCTGCACACCCACCCTCAAATTCACACTCTTAAAAGTTTCGGGCAGTTCATCAGCCTCACTGACTGTAGCCTCAACATCCCCAGTTGCTGCATCTTTATCAGATCCCATAATTTCTTCATCTTCCTGACTGTCTGATATAATTTGGTTATCTTTCTTGCTGTCAGATATCCACAGGTTATTGAACAGATTGTCTGCCATCTCGGTGTCTATCCGGCGTCTTTTAGCCGATCCTTCCTCTTCTTCTACAATGGGACTCAGCCGCCATCGCTTGTTGCCCGTAGCCGCACCCGGAACCCCACCATGACCAGCACGTGGGCCCCTAACATGACCGGAACCCCCAGTTTCTGAGCCTCTAGCCTTACCACCACTGGGGCCCCTAGCAGGAACAGCACTGGGGCCCCTAGCAGGAACAGATCTCTTGTTGTGGCTAGGAGCTTTCTCGTACAACTCAGAGGTTTGCTGAAGATGGAGACGTTTTAACAGAGCCATGATATACTGCTCCTCATCACCAAGCTTCCTTTTCCTATCACAGTTCATCAGATCACGTGACACTGATAGAACACGTCCTCATCTCCACCTCTCTTCAACTTGTATCCATCAGATCAGTCATTCTAACCTGGCTAGGTAGGTGTTAGGATATTAAAATGATGAGGACGTGATTCATGTATCATGTGTTCTGATATCTCATAATATTCGATCACTGCTAGCACAACACAAAGCCTCCAACTATCAACTATGTACAGGGGGGGGGGGGGGGGCAAAAGTCACTACCCATACGTTGGGTCTTATACCACCGCCGTGTTTTATATTTGAGAGTTGTTGCTTTGCAGATGGCATACTGTACATACTTGTTCAAAGATTAAGTCACTAAAATTTGAAAATTCGATTTTTGGGGGCTACACCCAATCAACATTGAATTGCTTAAACAGGTGTTGGTGAATATGTTAGAGACTCCATTGTAACATATTGCAATAGGTCATTTAATCCGAAATATAATCTGAAAATATGGTGCGAAACGGATTTAAAATGACGAAGTTATCAAGCAATTTGTTTATCTCGTTAGCAAAATTGATTGGGTACTCATTGATTACCCAATTATGACACCGTAATTGGGCTCTCTGCACGATTCCCGTAATGCGGATCTAGCCTCAACCCAATCACCTGACCACACGTAATGAACCACTCGTTATGCTTCATATCTCGGTCATCTGAGAAGCTAGAACTCTCATTTTTTTCAGGACAAACACCATTTAATAAAATTTGGCTCGATCCGACTATCCAAACTATTTAATAAATGCGAAAATGAACCTTCATTTGAAGAAAATGAACACGAATATTTTTCGATTTGACAAATTCCTCGAACCAGTGGTGGTAGTAAGTCAAACCAGAAAGAATTATTTCAATTGGGCACTCAGTGATTGAGCTATTAAGGCCGACCTATGGGTACTGACTTGGCCCCCCCTCCCCCCTTCGTATATTATGAGGAATAATGATGAGCTAGCTGGAGTGAAACGAACGGTTATTTGGTTAGTTTCTAAATTTAAAGTTTCAAAACTGGGAAAATAAAACTTTAAGTTGGGAAATTGCCGTTCGTTTCAATTACTCTCAGCCATATCATGTGACATCGCATCGGTAGATAAATCGGTCGTAAGGGTTAGAAGTTGAAATTTACCAAGTATTTCTCTTTTCTACCTCCTCAAATATTTCCTTTCTCACCATATTATATATATTTGCCCCTAATTAGTGAAGCGAAAAAATAGGACAAATTAAAGTGTTAAAAATATAAAACCAGCCGACAATTCGAAAAAGAAATAAATTAAATCAAACAAAATAAAATGTCATGGTAACAATTAACAGTGCAAGTGTAGCGTGTATATATTTGTATACTCATTAAGAGCCGGAAAGGCACATTAACCTTCACTATTTGTATCCAAAATGTACATATTTTACGCGCTACGCATAACTTACATATAATTATGTTAACAAATGATTTTCATGATCGTTGTTACTTATATTAGATACAAATACGTCATATATTGTGCGACAATCATTCCGCCTGATCTCTTTATAATCTGAAAGGACCTTGTTCTAATGAGGAGTGCCAGTTACCACATTCAACCTTTCGAATGTTAAAACTTTATAATATTATATATTACTTTTTATTATATATTACAGTAGATAAGCTACTTAGATTCCGAATATAATCATAAAATTGCAGTGTGAATAATACAAAAATAAATATGACGTTGAATATCATATAAAACGTTGAATATCATATAATATATCATTAACCTGAATCATTGCCCAATATACTCCTTTAACAAACACAGTCAAACAACTATTTACCGGTATTATTTCCTTACGCAATGCGTCCATTTACAGTAAAGTTCGGTTTATTGTCCATTTTTTGCATTCTATGAAGAACCGGTAAATTGAGGTTTGACGGTGCTCCAGCAATAACAAAGGTAGTTTAAAATGTTGTGCCATAATCATACAGTTAATCATAAAATTATATGTTGCTCACTGTAAAATGTAAATTCCTAAATTTCATGAAAATAACATGGGTGATAATGATGAACAATGCAACTCGAAACCTTAATAAATCTGCAAGTGGTGATAATATGTACAATATACAAATGGGGTGCGGAGCTAGTGGCCCTGGCCGGGCTGCATCATCAGGTTCATGGGTTGTCTGCGAGTAGAATGAGTAGCCCTGGGCCGGTGGGAGGGGACCCTGAGTCTCTGGTGAGGTGGGTGACGGGGCCGATGTGGCAGGAGGGGGCGCAGCGGGGGGTAACGTGGCTGAGAGAAGCGTGGAGGGAGGCGGGGAGGTCCCGGAGGGGGGTACCGCTGTCTCATTGGGGGAGGCGGGAGGAAGTGGGGGCGGGGCGAGTAACTGTAATCCTCTTCAAAATACTGCTCCTGATTATTGTTACTTTTGTCCACTGGTAGTGGTTGGTGCTGCTTCTCAGGAGAAGGGTACTGCTCCTCCTCAACCCACTCTCCTTCTTCTTCTTCTTCCTCCTGATCCTCCACACTCCCTCCCTTCTCCTTGCCCTCCTTGGCAGCATTAACCCTAGCTCTATTACAGCCCCTACAATGAGTACACTTAGCAAGTACTGATATCTCACAATACACACAAGTCCAGGTTTCCTTAACAGCAGGGCGCTCCTCAGCACCTGACGCTGACCAAGAAACTTCTTTCTTCGCCAGTACTTTCATACATCTCACACAGTTAGATTTGTGGGGGTGATTCTTGGTCTGACAGTGATTACAGGTGAGGAACTTGTTGGCCACCACGGCAGACTCTGCCTTGTTATGCCCGCAGCCCATGCAGATGGCGGTGTTCTCATCGACAAGGTGGCAGTTCTGACATTCCCAAGTGTCGTGCTCCAGTTTGATTCCCATTTGCTTGGCACACGTGTAGCAGTACTGACCATCGCACTCCAACCCGCACTCAGCGCACTTCTTCAACATAACACTCTCCCCAGTGGAGGGCGCGGGCTGGTCAGTCAACTTAGTGTTACAGTCTCTGCACACGTGATGTGAGCCCTCGTGAGGTCTACCGCACTTAGAGCACCCTCGTAGAGAACTCTTCTTAGTTACAGGTAGGGGACTCTGTGGAGGCGGACTAGTTAGACACTTATCATTTCTAGGGACATTAGTTAAAGCTGATATTCCATGTTTCTTGTACTTGATGTACAATTTCGCAATACATTTGCGGGGAGTATCGCAATCTTTACAGAAGTTCCGAAGTGCGATATTCTTATAGTCACAACTCTGACATTTCCAATCCTTGGGAGTAATAAACAAGTTTTTGGGAATATTGTTAGATATAACATTGTTCGATGTAAGAGAGACATGGTTAGAGCTAGCGGATGTAGAGCAGTGAGGAAGAGGAGTAGAGAGAGGAGCAGAGCCACTGGAGCTGGAAGTTTTCAACATCCTCCGTTTCTGAGGAGCCGGTTTAGGGGGAGGAGCCGGTAAAGCAGAGCCACACAACAAGCACTCCTTGGAGGAGGGCTGGTTACAAAACTTACATGTTGGGCAGGTCACCGGAACTGAAGCAGGGGACCGCTTTCTTAGCTTCTTGTGACAACTGTAACATTGCACTCGCTTCGCAAAGTTTGTGGTCTGACATTTGGAACACTGCCAGTTCCCAGGGCATGGCTGAATGCCAGGGTTTTTGACGGAGCCGCACTGGAAGCAGTGAGGGCCGTGTGAGGCTTTGTAAGAACAAACAGAACATAACCAGTAGTCGACATCAGGCTCACTTGGAGTAGTGGGGGTGCTAACTGACGCCTCGCGCACCCCATCACTGATTGAGGCCTTGGGTACCTCATCGCTGACTGAGGGCCGTCGCACCATATCACTGACTGAAGATTCACGTACCTCATCATTGACAGACGTCTCTGGCGTCACGTTGTTTGGTGTTCTAACTGAAGCCTCCCGCACAGCATTACAAGTCCTGCAGTCCTCCTCTCTGACTCCATTACTTGTCCTACAAAACCTACAGACCCAGTCCTCCACAGAACTCTTACTAGGTCTAACCGTACTACAAAGATAACACTCCCTCGTCTTGTTATTGTTGATAGAATTGCAGAACTTACAGGACCACGTCTTCTTGCTGGATATCCCGTTAGAGTGATCAGGAGGATCAGGCGGAGTCTGGGGTACAGGGCCTGGCGGAGTGCGGGGTCCCGGTTTGAACGCCAGACAACTGTAACAATTCACACGCTCTGGAATGTTCTTCTCTCCACACTCGCCGCATATCCAGCGGTCTGACATGACCTGCACGAAGAAAGCTTATTAGAGGTCTTAATTTAAATAGTTTAACCTTATGTATGACATTTGCCTTCATCGGTTAATTGGTTGGAAATTCGGTGGAAAAGACGACTAAAAATCTCCGGGGGGAATGCAACGTCAATTAATGTCAATTAATGTCAATTAATGTCAATTAATGTCAATTAATGTCAATGTCAGTTTTGCAAAATTTTGGAATACTGACATTAATTGACACGATATTTTTCGACCAGAGATTATGTAGTTCTACCATATTTTTAGCACTTTAGAACGTTTATATCAATAAAACTAAAATAATACGGTTTCCCGAAATTTAATTTTCTTAAATGGGCGTGGCCATCCAAGGGCGTGGTTCTCAACATCATCAGAACTTAAAACCCACATTAAACGAAATGCCTTCATGACATTTATATTTGAATAACGAATCTTAAACAGCTAACATTACTCCTTCATACTAAAAAAGCCGATTCTAGATATTTTACCTGTATAAGAAACCAATAAAATATGGGCGTGGCCGGTGGGGACCGAAGATGGAAGAGTTGGAAGCTGAAATTTTTTTTGGTGGTCTTTGAACCTAAGGATCAACAGATAAGAACATACTCATAATTATTCAAGGACATTTTGTTTTTTTGAACCGGTCTAACTTACATAGACGTGAATATCTTGAATATTTATCGAATAATGATAATCTCAAATTTCAAGACATATTAATGTCAATTAATGTCAATTAATGTCAATTAATGTCAATTAATGTCAATTAATGTCAATGTCAGTTTGGGGTTTTTATGGAATACTGACATTAATTGACGTTGCATCACCCCCAAATCTCCTGGTAAAACAATTGATTAAAAAGTCAACCTACACCAATGACGTTTCGTTGACCTAACTTCAACCAACCTTGGAATTTACTAATAAGGACACATGAACCTGACATTACGGCACTAATTCTGAGGGAAATATTCGTAAATTTATTTATTATTAATGAATTCCCGGTATTAAAACAAAGAGGTAGAATCACTGAAAGGATACGAAATAAATATCATACACTTCAATATTCATGCTCAAGGTTATCAATGAAAATAAACTTCGTTTTGCTAACAACCAGTTCTAAAAATAGCGCATAAGTCAACGGCATATTTATGCAACTGTATTCTGTAATTATGAAAAAGTAAACGTATGAATTAATGTCCAAAATATTAAACCACTAGCTGAGCTCAGTCCCCTGCTCCCTCGACTAGATTTGTAACCTCTGTCTCAGAACCAACTTTTACGTTATCTGACTTCTCGTTTCTCTCTTCACACTCTCCTCTGCTCTTATTGCACGAAAAACAAGACTTTCTCTTTGCAAAGTTGTTTATTTTACAGAGCTTGCAATTCCAATCGTTAGCCTTGTCTTCGTCCACCCATTTGCGTTTCTGCTCCAAGGGGGCTGGAGGGTGGTGGTTCCAGGAGGAGCCCGTGTTAAGACGGAGGTTGTGTCCGGAGAGGTTGTGCTGTTGAGGTCTGGAGACAGGTGGAGCTGGATAGCTGACCACCGGCCTGTCAAACTCCCTCAAATCTGCCTCTCTGTTCTCCACTTCTGAGCGGGGCTTTCCACATCTGAAGCAGTTTGTCTTCTTGGCAAAGCAGTTAATTTTACATTTCCCGCACACCCAGTCGTTAGATAAGTCCTCCTGACGAGGAGTGGGACCGTGTCTCGGAGGCATGACACTTTGTCTTTGCGGATAAAAGTCCTGTTTTGGAGGGGTGAGACTGTATCTTTGGGGGATGGGACCGTATCTCGGGGCTTTTACTGGAGCTCTAATAAATGGGTCAGGACCCCTCTTCAGGGAGGGAGTCTCTTCGCAAGCGTAGTCCACCGTCTTATCTTCCACTTCTGCTCGAGGCTTCTTGCATCTGTTGCACTCTTGTCGTTTGGCGAAGTTCCTGTTGCTGCAGCCAGAGCAGGACCAGTCTTTAGTTTTGTCCTCAGGCCTCTCAAGTGGAATACTGGAGGATGAACCGTGACGCGGCTGGTCTCTTATGTGAGAGATACTCAGTGAGGGTTCTATCCAGGGCGGAACCTCTCTTCTCATCTCTACCTCATCCCTCTCCTTCTTACAGACGTTACAATTCGTCCTCTTAGCAAAGTTCCGGTTATTGCAGTTGGAGCACAGCCAGTCCAGAGTTTGGTCCTCAACAGCTCCTCCCTGGTGGTACTGAACTCTACTCACATCCCTGTGAGGGGAGAGAAAGGGAGGAGGGAGGCTGTGCCTGCGATTCTCCGCGGCTCTGTTCCTGACCTCTACTCTCTCTCTGTGTCCCGAACACTCGAAACAGAGGATTCTCTTGGGGGTGTTCTCCGTATTGCACATCCCACACATCCACGGGAGTTCACCTTGCTCCTGGTAGGGGGGTTCTACGGGCGCCTGGTAAGGGGTATCAAGGATTCCAGCCTGAAAGGAGGGTTGAGCTGGCACTGAGTGCGGGTCCTGGTAACCTCCTGCCTCGTCAACCTCCTGATAAACACTACCATGGTTACTATAGTTGCCATGGTTACTAACATTATAGTTACCTTCCTCCTTGTTAAACTCGGGCACGTGACCGGCCCCACACTCCTTACACGTATCTCTTTTAGAGAAGTTCTTATAACCACACATCACACAACTCCAGTCAAGGTCACGCCACTTCTTACAGCTAGTACACATCCTGTGGAGAGGGGAGTTGGGGGAGTGACAGCTACCACACCTCCAAACCTCACCTCCGGGCATTCCTGACATACCTCACCTTACCTGAGATACTCTCGTTAGTAGTGCACTTAATAGTAACCATACCAACCAACATACAGTTACCGGTATTGTACTAATTGTACCCCTTTAAAGGACTCATACTTCATAGTTTCAGATACAAAGTAGGGACTATAACGTTCATACACTGATAAGCAATGATGGAACTGATACTGAGTCATATCTATCTACAGAAATTGTATTTACAATTCAGTTTCTGGTCATTGCAATACCATCTTTATCTCATACAGATTGGGCATATATTTATGCGGGATTTTACTTGTAAGCATCAACAGCTCAGCTCGAAAAGGGTTACAAACTTTGGCCTGAAAAGAAATCAGCTTATCATATCTAGGTTCGTGTGAATTACTGTTAATTAAATGTACCTCAAAGTTTGTCCGCCCATGATAATCAAAGAGGTGCTTAAGTAAGACTAGGATTGCCATAGAAACCCGAAAAGTTAAGCGTGAGACATTTAAAAATGTGTTCGTTATTTCTGTTTTGGACTTGAAGGCACTTACAACGAGCTTGATTTTATCTTAAATATGTGGGTCTCAGCACCGGGGACGCTACCTGATACCCATGTGCCACAGTTTTGAGAGCTCAAAAGTGCAAAATAGAGCTATAAATATAGTTTACAAACCAAAATACAATTCTTAACCTACCAGCAATTACCTTAGTTACCAACCCTACAGATATTTACATAATGTTACCAACTGTGACTATATTTAACAACCTTACCAACAATAAGTTAAGTCTACAAAAAATGATTATATTGACCGACCCACCTGTATTTACTATAATTACCAACCTCACCAACAATCACTGTACTTACAGTATACACTTACACACCCTATTAACGGTAACCAAAATTCCACAACGCGTAAACAATAATCTACAATTCATAAACTTGTAAATAGTCATCAAAATCAAAAATTTAATTCCACGGAAATTATAACTCTAGAATAAAAACATCATTAAAGCTATATCATACATTTGTAAAAAGTTAAATAGTCTGGCCCGGGTATGTGTGATACTAATTACTAATAAACTTCATGAGTAAACTTGCAGCAAATCTAAAATAACTCATGCTGTTGGCACATGGGAGAAAACCTAAAATCCCTTCCAACATAGCGACTAGTTTCCCCAAAAACCAACACAAGGAGGGAACATTCACTTTCGCTGCCCACATCTGAAACATTCAGTCCGACTGGCGAAGTTGTCCTTGCCGCAGCCTCTACAAAACCAGTCCCCCTCCCTGTAATTGGAGGCGTTGCGTGACCCGCCGCCCCCGTTTGATCTAACCCTGTCACATTTAAAACATCTAGTCCGCCGGGCGTAGTTGTCAAAGGAGCACTTAGAACACTGCCAGTCTCCCTCCTTATACGAATAGCTGGGTTGATCCCGGTAGTCCCGGTATATTGGCGACCCTCTCCGCCGAACTGGAGATCTGCTCCTGCGACCACCACCTGATCTGCCCCGGTCACACTTGAAGCAAGTGTCTCTGCGGGCGAAGTTGTGGGCCTGGCAGCTCTCACAGTCCCAGTCCCCGGGTCTGAACTCTTGTTTGAACTCCCGCGCTCCATTGAGGCTGTCCCGCCTGGAGGCCCGAGAACCTTCTGGAAACCAATCACGCTCCTCACTGTTCCGCCGCCTCCTACTCATCCTACCTGTTACATAGTGTTAGTCCTGTACCGTTACTATGGTAACCCACCACCACACCCGCCCACCAGACCATTCCTACCCCACCACTGTTAACATGATAAGCCCACACCATACCAGCTTACCTAGCACAAATCACTGCAAAGCTTACAAATGATTTGTTAAAATTTCCTATTACAAGGTCAATATATTGTCACAAATTTTACTTAGAAAAGTTATCTGTTGTAATTGAGGGACAAGCACTATCTAAAAGAAAACTATAGCCTGGGTTATAAACAATCATATGTATAACTATTAATAATTTGACAGATGCATTATAGAGGATAACTTTTCAAAGTAGTTTCAGCTCATTTCTAACTTTTCAATTCAATTTTCAACTTTGCTTCTAATTTTAACAAATAAGATAAGATATATAAAATTATGTTATAAAATAATTGAATAAGTTATACAAAAGCGAAAGATTCAAATAGGAACTGGGTGAAGGAATTGGAGGAATGACGTACTTTAAAAACATTGTCACAACATCGCCAGTGCAGACATAAAGGTTTGATAAAATTATACGATAAACAGCTATACTGTAATAGAGTATTAGATTGCAGTAAGGTATCAACTATTCAGCTAGCTGCAGTTTACTTAGGCTCCCCGCACTTGTAGCACTGATCCCTTCTCGCAAAGTTATGTTGCTGGCAGCTATTACAACTCCAGTCGCCCTCTCGCCAGTTGTCCTCTCCACCACCGCCGCCGCCGCCTCTACCAGAGCCCCGACCACCACCACCACCACCACGTCCGCCGCCGCCTCGACCACCGCCGCCTCTAGAATGACTGCACTTGAAGCACTCCTCGCGACGAGCGAAGTTGTTGGTACCACACTTGTAACATTCCCAGTCTCCCTCCCTGTACTCGCCGCCACCACCGCCGCTGCCACGGTCTCTGCTCTCGAATCTAGGGGGTGAGCGTGACCTATTTCTCATCCGCCGGTGTCCGTAGTCATCACCATATCCGTCATCATAACCACCTCTATAACCGCCACCGCCGCCTCCACCACCACCACCACCACCGTAACCCCCACGGCGACCGTAACCACCACCCCCACCACCACCGCCATAGCCTCCACCACCGCCACCGCCGTGACCGTACCCATCATCTCCATAACCGCCGTCATCTTCACCTTTGGAGGCCTGACATTTGAAGCACTTATCGCGGCGTGCAAAGTTGTTGGTCTCGCACTGGTAGCAGACCCAATCTCCTGGCCGACTATCGCCGCCTCGACTACCGTACCGGTCACCCATACCTAAAACATTTACAATTTACGCTCATGGATAATTTTATTACTCAAAACTCGCAACTAAATACATAAATAACATAAATATGCAATATTTTATTTCAGGAATACGGAGGATGAGTTTGAAGGGGTTTATAAGCAGCCAATAAAGTTTGGTCTTCGTCCTTCCTCTAAGTTACACCATCACATTTAGGGATCGTTCATAGCTAGGGGAGGGGGTTTAGAAAAATTGTAAGCTTTGTGGGGAGGAGGGGTCTTTATAAAAAAAAGACAAAAGTCTGGTTACGTTTTATGTGAACGATCCCTTGAAAAGTGAGTATCTAAACAATTGATCAATGCAAATGGCAATTGCAGTATCTACGGACGATAATCGATGCAATAAAATCAACCTTTAGAATACAGATAATTATCATTGAAAAATAGAATAAGCATTCGGCGAGATAACATATGATATAATAGTAGGGGGGAAGCCAAGGGGAATTTTGTGCTATTTTGTGGTATTATGCGGGACTCTATTATGGAGGTTTTCCAAAATCCATGAAGGTATTTCCCAAAATACCACAAAATTCCCCTTGGCTTCCCCCCATAGTAGCATGTTTTACATTTAAAACATCTTAAAAAGTTTTAAAACGTGAAAAATTCTGAAAAATTCAGTTTGCATCATAAGATCAGTCATAATTGGTCAAATCCTTTGTAAGTTTCACGGAGTCCAATAAAAGTTCCAAACAAGACATTGTCAGGCATAGGCTGGAGGATTGCTCTATTTAGGAGCGTTGCACTTGTAGCAGGCATCTCGGCTGGCGAAGTTACTGAAGTCACATTCTTTGCAATTCCAATCCCCAGCTCTGCGTTCTGGCCCACCGCCCCGTCGATCACCACGATCACCACCACCCACTCTGCCTCCGCCACCAGAGCCTCCACTTTTAGGCGTCCTGCACTTCATACACTCAAACCTTCGTGCAAAATTACTGAAAAAACACTTAGAACATTCCCAGTTGTCTCCCCGATCGTTGGCATTGTTGTAGCCGCCACCGTAACCACGGGGAGGGGACCTGGAACCACCCCGTCTGCGTGGTGGGGATCTGGACCTGGACCTTCGCCTGCCACCTCCTCCTCCACCACCACCACCACCACCACCGCCTCCACTCTTAGGCACTCTGCACTTAAAACACTCACTTCTGCTAGCATAGTTGTGGAACCCACAGTCATCACAGTCCCAATCTCCTGCTCTTCGCTGAGGCCCGCCGCCCCCCATTCTGTCGTCCCGCCGATCATATCGACCACCATAGTCTCTATCTTCATATCGACCACTCATGGCAACCTAAATAATTGTTTGTTACCATGGCAACCCACTTTAAACTGACAGACTCCACACAGTTCCACTTTAAACTAACAGACTCCACAACCACACAGTTCCAGTTTTCACTTTGACTTACAGATCCCGAAATAGTTCCACTTTAAACTAACAGACCCAACACAGCACAGTTCCCGTTCAAACTAACAGACCCAACACAGCACAGTTCCAGTTCAAACTAACAGACCCAACACAGCACATTTCCGCTTTAATCTTAGCACCCGACACATTTCCACTTTAATCTTAGCTCCAGACAGTTTTTCTCTACAAAATGCCGAGAAAAAGGTAAAAATTAGCTATGGATCGGAGTGGAGATGCTTTACAGTAAGCACTATTTTCATATTATCACAATCACAAATAGAAAACTGGGTAAACTGACACAACATTTTCTATACTAACACTGACAAACCATCTTACCCTCAATTTTACAGACAGATCTAAAAACTTCCACAAGCCCTATTTTAAGGGATCACATTGAAAACCACAGATAAATTTCCAAAATATATATATCCTAGGCTAATCAATATCTAACATTATTCGCTTAAAATGCAAAATTTACAGCGAATTTAAAAATACATATAAACAAAAGCACACAATAAAGTATAATTATATGTTTATAAAATGCAAAACCAACAAACAGACAACTTGGTCAAATACCCATGTACAAATTAAGGTAAGCAAATATAGTAACCGAAACTAGGTTATTTTACCTTAGTAACAGAACCTCGGATGTTTACCTTACCACAGCAGCCGACCTATACGAGACAGAAAATATCATGGAATGGAGCAACAAGTGTGTTACCAGAGCAACAAGGTTACCATCAGCTATCTTTAGCAGCTTTGCAACTGTTACAGTGAGAAACAAAGGAATAGTTGATGTGTTTACAGTAAGCACATAGCCAATTGGGATTCTGAGCGCTCTTTTCCACACCACACTTATTACATTTGGTCCGTTTAGGCCAGTTGACATTCTCACAATCACTACAGATCCAGTTTGAAGTTGGCGCATTAGTTGTCCGGGCAACAGACCCCCCTGTGTTGTAAGAAGAGTCGTATTGCTGTACAGGATACCCACCACTGTAGGCCTGATCGCTGCAGGTGTACAGCTCACTTGCGTTTCTGGGCGGACGATCGGCCTTGCACTTGTTGCACGCCAATCTGAAGTGATAGTTGTTGTTGCCGCACCCGGCGCACTGCCACTGCGTGTCCCCTGAGGCTAAGCGTCCTGCGCGCGTCTCTGGCGCCACCGCTTCTGCTTTTGACATACTACACTTATTACACTGAGTTCTGAGAGGATAGTTGAGGTTATCACAGTTATAGCAGGTCCAGTTGTCTGTTCTGTTGTTGACAATATCGTGCTCCATGGTAAAGCTAGCTGCACTGGCGGGAACTGTTCCCTTCTGGACCTGCTCTTGGAACATCTGTGCAGCAGCTTGCTCTATGGGTTCCGTGGGGACACCGCGCAGCTCTGAGGGGAGGGGCACTGCTGAGTGGGGCACTGCAGGGTTGTGAACTCCAGTGTGGGCTACTCCCGTGTGGGGCACTGCAGGGTTGGGACCTCCAGTGTGGGGTATTCCCCCGTAGGAAGTGTAGTTGTTACATTTCACTCCTTCACTGTCCCCACCCCGTCCCATCTCTTCTCCAATCTCACTTTTAGGTAGCTGACACTTGTTACAGAAGACTCGGTAGTAAAAGTTAACGTTCTCACATACGGTGCACTTCCAGTCCCTGTTTGTTCGCTTGAAGGCAGTCTCCGGGTTAATCGCTTCCTTTTTCTCCAGCTTGCATTTGTTGCACTCCGTACGGAAAGGCAGGTTCACGTTATCACAGTTAAAACACAGCCAGTTTTCCGGCTTATCACTATCAAAAGATCTGGTAGCAGTCATGGCTTGCTGCTTGGGTAACTTGCACTTGTTGCAGGCTATTCTGTACGGGTAGTTGCTGTTTCCACAGCTCATACACAACCAATCCTGATTGGTCCTCCCATGCTGGGTGCGTGGGTCAACTGCCTCTTGTTTGCTCATTTTGCACTTGTTGCACTCCTGTCGGAAGGGTCGGTTGATGTTGTCGCAGTTCAGACAGGTCCAGTCCGCATCGCCACCTCCGTTCCTGTTTATCTGGTTCTCGTAGCCAGACTTGGGCGCTGAGCAGCGGTTACATACGGTCCTGTGGGGCCAGTTACTGTTCCTGCACTCGGTACAGGTCCAGTTGTTGGGGTTCTCTTTCTTGCGCTTCAGCTGCACCTCCTGCGAAGTCTTGCACTTGAAGCACTCACTCGCACTCGCAAAGTTCCTGTGAGCGCAAGTATCGCACTTCCAGGTGCTCTGGTCGCCTTCAATTAGGGTAGGGTGCTTTCGCTTGTGCAGGCTGGGTGGCTGCTCTACAGTAACTACACAGGTACTGCCAGGAAGAGAGCACTCCTTGCACCTGGATCTATCCTCCAGGTTACTGAACCCACAGTTAGAACAGTCCCAGTTGGAACCAGCTTTAACACCATCATCCACCACCTGCACCTCAGGGTTATCCGAGATCATACCCACAACACACTCCTAGGGAACAGTTGTAATGTTAGTCTCAACAATATCACCCCTCCACCATTACTCTCACCTTGAGCAGGTATACCTTACCTTCTCATAATTCTAAACCAATTAGAACAATGCCGTTTGACGAAGTTAAGCTAGGAATCTAATCAGACTAAAGAAGGGCATATATCTACGAACAGTCCATATAATGTACACTCATGGTGCATATTCTAGTGCTAAGGGTATGAAGTCAAGTGTAATACTAATAGCATAATAGGAGTAGATGTGCAATGTGCAGGTATTGAGGAGTTTGATAACAATGATCGATTTCATGATTTCTGGGATATGAAAGTGAGATCTACTATATCTCATTAAAATATCAATCTGCATGTCTACAATGCGTGCGATTTCACAGCTTAAATCCCAATTCATTTCTCTTAACAGTTTTACTGGTGACATGAAACAAAATTCTCTTCAGGCCAAAATCTTTGAAGAAGTGTCAAGTTTGTGCCTTCCAAGTTTCAGGATGATCCCTTGAAAGCTGTTGGAGTAGTTTGGGATTGAAGCTGAAAAAATAAATATAATAAAACGCATTTGGTAGATCTCTCCTTTCTCTTTCAGAAAACATCAATTGATTGTTATGATTTAGACCGACGAGCTAATCCTACGATAACAGGCAAATTCAAATGCAACTTTTAACTGCGTGTGTCAACAGATATAAAGGACATCTACGTTTCTATTACTATTATATCGAAGAAATAAATGATAAGGTGAATAACTCAAGATTAATCGAAAACAATATGACACAACATACTCGACATGGATATATAAAAATTTTAAATCAACTTGATGACATTTTCAATATAACAACAGCGCTGAATAATATGTTCACTGTGCTGTACACATCAGATAATATCGTGGAACAAGTGAATTCAAATTATAAGGCAGGCATTCGAGTTCACGGTCATATTTTGCAGATTAACAGTTGATAGATATAGAGAAGTGATTCTCTGTACTAAACTTATTTTTACTTCTGACCTTTGAACAAAATATCCGCATGAGAAGCGACATCGTCCGTAAAAACAGAGAAGCCAGATAAAAGTGGGTAACTGAGAGGAAAATAGAGTCTATTTGGAGGCATGACATTTGAAACACTCTGACCGACTGGCGAAGTTGTTTACCCCGCACTTGGGACAAGGCCAGTCACCGTCACGCACGTTGCCACCACCACGCCCTCCTCCCCGACCTCCGAACCCACCACTTCTCCTGTCGTCCCCCCTTCTGTCGTCCCGACGATCACCACCCCGGCGATCATCCCTTCTATCGTCTCTCCTGTCTCTGTCTCTCCTTTCATAGCCCCCTCTATCACTGCCTCGTCGTTCTCCTCCACCGTATCCACCACCAGGTTTTGGAGCCTTGCATCTGTTACATTCCGTTCTGCGTGCAAAGTTGCTGTTGCTACATTCCGCACACGACCAGTCACCCTCCTTCTGTCCGCCACCACCTCGGTTAGGAGATCGAGAACGAGACCTGCGTCTTGGTGACCTGTCTCTACCACCTCCTCGCTCAAAGTCTCTGCCACCACCTCTACTGCCACGGTCTCCTCCTCCGAAGCCACCTCCACCTCGTCCCCCTCCCCGTCCTCCTGAACGCTCTCCCCGTCTGCCCCCACTCCACTCCTCAGATTTAGTTGCTAGCTCCACTGTTATCACTGAACCTGCAAAGTCTTTCCCGCTAAACCAGGAGATTGCCGCACTTGCTGCGCTGGGGTCCTCGTATGTTACACTCGCACATCCTTTCTCTGGCCATACCTTGATCCTCGGTGTGCGAGTTTTCTTATCCATCTTAATAATACCGATACTTCCAAAACGCTCCTTCAGATCGTCCTGAGTGGGCGGCGCATTTGTATTTAGATTAGTAATGAATATTTGATTTTCAATAACATCTCTGTTTTCATTCTTAGAAGCTGCAGCAAAATCAATCTCCTGCTGACTCGGGGCATTGGAATTGTTCTGTTGTCCGAAGCTAGGTTTGCTCGGAGGCTGCTGCTGGTACTGACTCTGTTGATTGAATTGCTGGTCCGGCTGAGAAGCCCCGTACTGATTACCCCCCGCTGCTGGCTGCTGTGACCCTGCCATAGGTGGTGGAGGCAATGGAAAACCAGGTGGAAATGCCGGCATCCCACTTATAGAGCCAGGAGGCATTGGTGGCATTCCTGGGGGCATTGGTGTGGGGTTGAAGGCGGCTTGTTGGGATGTTGGAGTGTTGTTATAACCGCCATAGTAATCTGACTGAGACATCCTGGAGGAATTGTTTTAAATGACAGTAATAAAATTCAAGGTTACCTACAATTATATAATTTTTATGTTACATATGTAACTCAACATTTTCCAAAGCCGATCGAGAGGAAGTAAACTTGGATAGAACGTATATAATTTAATCAGTCGCAAAACCACAAGTAAGTAGTGACTGAGCGCCTCGCACCTTTATTCACAGGAAGTATTTATTTTTGAAAAGATATGTCTAAAACAATCGAAATACAACGCAGTTTATACCGTAGGTATGTTATTTACCATGAACATACGTCTTCAGAGTCCGTTCTCATGAATAAATTAGTGGTAAACTACACGCTCAAGCACAATATTTTCCTCCCCACCTAAGCGAACATTGAATTTAAGAAATAAAAGGGGTATAAGTCTACTAAAAGCGTAATATTTAAGATCTCAAATTTCATTTGCATTCTGTTTATGCTGGATATGTTTCTAAATCTAAAAAATGTTCATCTAGAGTGCATCGATGCAAATATTGCAGGGTAAATGTACTGCAATATTCCATGTTTTTTTGTACAGTATAAGCTGTTGACAATGTAAAATGAGCGGTTATCTTGTCTCTGGCAGCAGCTCGGTACATACCCTCGTGGTTTAACAATTTAGTAATAATAAAAATAATTGAGGTGGTAATTCCTATAATATGAACATGTCAGATGGAGATTCCCAAGAAGTTTTTCGGACCATGTGCACTATGTTTTGATTTGAACAGGAATCAAATTCCAAGCGGTAGTTTAAATTGAAACAAGTCAGCCAAACCTTTGTTATCAGTACCGCCAAACCTTACCACGCGCGCACAAAATGTACGAAAAGTGCTGGACAGTAGTTTTGTTCAAACTGTAAGGCGGGAAGTCTTGCTAGTCCTAAAAGATACGCACGTGAAAAGCTTCCTCTCGATCGAAGTGTAATTTGTATACATTACCTGAAACTAATTCAGTACAGCCTATATATCTAACAAACAATTCGGAGACATAAGAAAATGACCAATGAAACAGACTGTACAGCGTTCCAGAAATAGTATTGCAGAACAGAACCTTCGCCACAGTAAAATAAAAACCGTATCTCTCATAAACAAAGTGCAATAATCTTGTCTTGTCCCATTATACAATAAATAAATCTAAAACTCCCTGGCAGCAGAACACTGATGTAGCACCTCTGATATTTGACACATTTCTAGCTTCCAGCTAGCACTTCACTTGCACACCAACTGTAAAAAGTTAGTTTATAGCGCACCGCCACCCCACAACACATATCCTTGGAATGTATTGTATACCCACTCTATTATAATGTATACCAATACCACTACTCCTACTGATTAACATAGTGGAACACAATTTAACATTTCAGCCCAGTCTTTCTGTCGGGTAGGAAGCCTCTCTCCAGACAATAATATAACAAACCAACAGACTACTTATAAAATAAAACTTAATTAAGTAAATAAAACAAATAACACACATAAAAAACTTACCGGTTACAAGAAGAATGTCCTTCTGCTGACGTCCATGGTTTTGTGATTGTGGTACCATTCATACTCTCCACCAGTAGTGTCGAAAGTGCCGGTCTGGAACCGTCTTAGTTTGAGGGTTAACCGTGGTCCCAGTTCTTGGAGGCCAACTCTTGCACTGTTCTTGAAAATGTACCTAAACAGTAAACATGGTTTCAAATGAAATAGATTATGGATTATGGAAGCATCGAGCATCCATGCTAAGTCACCCAGGAAGATAAAAAGGAATTACTTGTTCCCTAAGAAATATAAGAAAGAAGTCCCTACGTTTCCCGAGGACTAATCACCTATGTCTTCGAAGAAAGATAAAGTCCCTCTGATTATGAAAAGTAACCACATTGCGTCCTTTGAATTCAGGGTCCATGTGAAATAGAGACCCTAACATCCTTCCAACAGAATGACCAAGCCTAGTTTTGAAATTATTGAGGATTACTTCCGGCCGATGTCTCGTAGCGTTTCCGTGCCTCTGAAATTGGGTATTGATTAAGATGGTCTGAAGTTGCTGGCTGACAAAAAGTATAGTAAATATAGTTACCTTTGACCAAAGCTTTGGCTAATGATTGTAAGGAAACAAAATGTTGAGGCTATCATCGCCACTTTCGCTTTTGTGTATTTTTGAACAAAAAGTTTGGCCACTTTCGTGGTGAAAATGTGTATTTCGCGATCTACGGCAAAAAATGGAGGCGAAATTTTTGGCGATGACGCCCCTTCCACATTCCTGCCAAAAGTCGAGAACTGGGTTCCTACCTTTAATTGTTTCTTGAGTTTGACAGATGTGAGTCTGAAGGTCGCAGTGGGGCCCTCCGGTAGATGACACACTACTACACTGTATTTGAGGTTAAGGAATTTATAACATAATATGAAATAATATTAATATGATTAGGAGGGGCACAGTAAATACAAATTTTGCTCAAGGTATACTAAGCAGGTATTTTGTACTTTTCTTAAACTTTGTTAAAATCTCTAATAACAGGTTCTGGGCAGAAGTTAATAAAATTCGCCTTAGTAGCTGGTTCAGACGTGAACAATTCTTCATATTTTTCTTGGAAATGTAAAGTTTACTGGCTGCATATTTTATTGTAAGTTATATAGAATGTGCAGTATTTTGCACCTATCTGGATTCTGGAACTGTCAAATATGTTCACAACAAAATTAAGAAAGATTTGTCCATCGCGTTAACACTGTTTGAGGCTACTTTATTTAAAGAGGTACAGATTCCAAGCGATTAATCTCCCTAAGGAATATATGCATCTACTGAGTTTCGTTTAAGTCTTCACGACGTTTAGTAGCTAAGCTAAAAATTAAGGTTTAGAGGTAAAAACGACCAGCATGTAGTACTACCGTTATCATTTCCAGGGGAGATTTGTGTTCAACGTAAGAGACAAATTTACCATGTAATTGCTCCCGGGCTCCCCCCCCCCCGGCCCCCTCTATTCAATGCAATGTAAAGGATACTAGGCTTCTTCATATCCTCGTTAATCACCACAACGTGTGTGTACTCCTTGTCCACTGACTCCTTAACAAGTTGCTTCATATCAACCTTGCCTCGTTTTATGTACTCGCTGTTTGGCATCATATTAACAAGCTCGTCTAACAGCTTCCTAGTTTCCTGAGAGGTTCACATGTTAACATACATTGTTACTAAATTGATTAAGTTTCTGAGTGATTTTACAAATAATTAAAGAATTACATAGTTGATTTAATAAAATGAAGGCGCCATTCTAAATGAAGCATACCATTTGTCTGCTTTGGCCAAGTTGGATTTTGATGGGGGGCGTGTTAATACTTTACAAGAATTGCGCCGGTTAGCGGACGCTAGATTTCCATCAACCGTAGTGAATTTAAAATTAAAATTAACGATAGTTTTATGTTGGTCAAAATATTAAATAATGGTTCTTTATTCACCATTCTTGGGGCGCTACGGAACACAAAATGGAGGGGTTGCCATTGTCAATTAGTCAAATTTAAAAAGTTAAATGACCGGCGCGCGGAAACCGTAGCCTGTGCCTGTGTGGTGATATGCAGTTATCCGTAGTAGGTAATGCAACTCATAATAACATTTATGGTCCATTTCGTATAACAAATCAAGCACTCACAACAAAACAAGAAGTTAGTATGTTGTACTGCATCATGATCAATGATCAAGGAAAGAAAAGCGTGAGCATTTATAAGATTCGGGAAATCGCTTGTTATTCAAATCAATTACCATAGAATTCAAATTGTATGCTAGGCGCCGCGCATTTGAGGTGTAATTCAATCAATCGTCAAATCGTGCAAACGTATGCGGAGGGTAACCATGTCGACGACACTGTAACTGCTCTGCGCGCGGAGAATATGCATTAAAATAACGTATGCGGAGGGTTATGCATGTTTTCCTTTGTGACACCGAACGAAAAACATATCAACCTACTATACCCATTCTCAATTCCTTCCACTTCTATACATCTTATGCCTTTTTAAAGAAAAAGACAGTTGATGTAAAAAATAATAATGGAGATATTTTAAATCTAAACTTACTAAGGATGACTTTTTGTTGGTTGTAATTAGTATTTTGGGGGTTGTCTGACAATCGAAATATCCAGCAAACTCATCATTCTGTGCGTCTGCTGCGACCTGGTTTGAGGTTTTGTCATTTCAATTACAATTTATAACCAAAATAGAGAAGAAGTGAATAATGTAGGCTGTAGTACTTAAGAGGGGATGCAAATGTTTACGGAGGCCATCGTCATTGTAATAGAATCCCGGTTTTAGTTTGAATCACAAACAGAGGAACCCCCAATGGCAATGCAATGATTTTCATCATGTGAAAAAGAAAAGCGAAATTGATAAAGTGAAAGTGAAATGTGAGTTAAACTTTACCTCCTCATCTCCTTCTTCAACAGCAGTCACATCTGGTGCTCTTAGAGACTCAGTTGTATGAGGAACTGGCTTGGGAGGTGCTGCATCCCCCAGTGCTTCACGCATCTCTGCTGCTGTTTTCCGACGTTTTTTCTTCTCCTGGGCAAAAACATCATGTGCAATTAACAAAGGGGGGGGGGGGGGGGGGGGGCCGGGGGGGGGGGGGATCAGGTACTAAGTTTCGTACGTGACGTCGACTAAGTGTAACTTTGGAATTTACATAAAAGACCCACCCACCCCGGCCCCTTTGTGGTACTAACTGTTTTTTCGGATAATATTTAGGACACCCACCCCTTTTCCGGTACTAACTGTAGAGAAATCACGGTACTAACTGTGTCTTGGTATATAAAATAAGATACCCACCCATAAATAGCTTTAAACAGCTCATTTAACATTGGGAAATGGGTAATTTTTACCCACTATTTAGTAGGGGTTTTGTTTTCAATGTAGTCGAATTATATGAAAAGTTACAAAAACAGGACAAAATTTTTAAAAAACCCAAAAAAAACTAAAAACCCATTCCCAAAATTGAAATTGGAGGTAAAATGGGTTTTTTGGGCCCATATCCAAAAACCCGCATTCTCGCATTCTAAGAATGTAGGAAATTTTTAAAAGTAGGAAATTTTTGACAAAAAGTAGGAAATTCGAGAGCCAACTCTGAGAATTTTCGATAATATTTCAGTAGGAATTTAAGTGAAAGAGCAGACTAAAAGTTGCTGGACCGTTATTTAAATGTCCTTAGTCAGGGATCCACTGATCCAGTCTATCAAATTTCGTTTCACAGACCAAAGTTTGTTGCTATTAGCTACAAAATCTGTGCATCAAGTAACCACTAAACCAATATAGACTACCATTCCAGTTTTGATAATAGCGTTATCAATCATGTAATGTTGTGAACGGTCATCAATGCAATTGTAATAATTTTATGTTAGGAGTTCAAAGAACATTATATAGTATTTAGTATTATGAGTTGATGTAATACGTCTAAACATGCATAATGCAGAAGCATTCTTTGTTGCGTTTCCTATCTTATTTAAATAGTAAATACTAATAGTCATTATTATATTTTTGGAAAATTTAAATTCCTTGTTTCTTGAATATTTGGTCTCATACTTGCTTCCTTCTCCAAATTCCCTTAACCCTGTATTAGTTTATAGCTTGAAAGCAGAAAGTGATGGTAGTAGATGAGAAAACATTTTTGCCAAAATTATAGACTCTTGATACTTCATGCTGTCTCCTATTTCGTGCTTTGGTTAAGCCAAGTGTTTAGGGATTCTAGAATCCAGACAATTTATCCCAATAAAAATTGAAATCAGAAAATAGTATGCTAAAATCGTTCTCCATTGTCAGATTCGTTCCAGGAGGCCAAATCTAGTTTAAATTTCCAAAATTTTCGGGGGCTTCGCCCCCAAAAGTAACCTAGGATTATCTATTAAAAAGCATTCCGGGCCCTAAAAAAGTAAAATTGAGAATCTGGAATCCGCCATGAAAAATCTTTGAACCGCCCGAATACAAAGACTTTTTATGCGAGCGAAGCGAGCGGGCCACAGAAAACGAAAAAATTGAGAATGTAGGAAATTAAAAATTTTTTGGATATGGGTTTTTGGGGTTGAACACCCCCCTTATACCATGTACTAACTGTTTTTCTGGGAAATGTACCATGTACTAACTGTGTTTTGGAAGAAAATAATGACCCACCCACCCAACGTCACGTACGATACTGACTGTATGATCCCCCCCCCCCCCCCCCGTATCAATGAAACAAGAGAGCATGAGGGGTGGGGCCCAGCCACTTGTTTGTTTTTACATATCTAGCTTATTGTATTATATCTAACTAATTCTAACTAATGTTAGAATTTATTAATAAATGTTAGAATTTCCAACAGTTAAATCTTACAGTACCAAGCTTTGGTTTCTCTTTCCCTCAACTTAAAATATTTATGAAACAACCAACCTTTGCTTTCTCATGTTTCATTTTTGTAAATGTGTCTCTTTTGACGATCTTGCATTTTCTGTTATTGATACTAAGCTTGTGATAGCCCATGGTTGCAGAGAGGGATGGTCTTGCAGCGAGAGAAGGGCCAGGGCGTTCAACCATTTCTGCTTCATCGCTATCACCATCTAATTCTGACATTCTGAACAATAAAATAGGTTATTTATAAAAAAAAGTAAATTATAAGTAAGTTTTAAACCAGGCGGAAGAAAAATAAACAAAAGTATTATGTTATACAAATTGTCGGACAGCATTATATTGTAAATTAATGAAATTGACTATCATGGTTTTGCAGTATGATCTTACAATTTACCATGAATATTTGTTTCTTAAATAACTAAGAGTGAAATGTGTTGAAACAGAGGCATCTACACTTTTTTTTAAAAACAGTTTCCCAGAATGCTTCCTGCAAAAGTTATGCTCCTTTGGCAGGCTAGGTAGGGGTTTAAAAATCAATACATATCAGAAAATTCATCTCTTATCTCCCTCAGCATGTCATCTTTGTTCCAAAACTTTTTATGTCCTATGCATACACTCCTTGATAGTTATCTTGATCTAGTATCTTTGTTTCACACAATAGAGCATAAGTTTTGTGGTTTATCCACTGGGCTTAGAGTTTGTGTTTAAGCTACCAAATTTTATTATTATTATCTATTAATGAGCATGCAGAATGACCCTTTACTGCGGATGGAATATCTGGTAAGCCTAGCTTGGCTACAAAATAAGTAACCCATATTTTCTAAAAAATCCCTATTTTCAACTTACCCTAAAAGAAGCAGGACTTGGTTGATTGTAAAAAACAGAACATATTACCAAAAGCAAAAGCTCTATTAACAGATATACAGATAACTAAAGAAGGCTTGTGTCATGTATTGGATATGAATAAGGAGTTGAAAGGTACATATTACACCCCCCGCGCGTGAGGGCACGTTTTTGCTAGTAATTTGCGACATTACTTTATGGATATCGAATCTCGCGACTTCAACGAAGTGCCGGGGACAAGTTTTCAATAATTCATAAACTTTTCAGTTCCTATCGTTTTAAGCATCGTTAGGGCTTTCCCAGAAACTAACTCTCATCATCCTAGGATAATCATGTGTCGCACAGCACTTGTTTCAGTAGAGAGTGTACTCGCCTTTACGAGAGAATGACGTGTACGTTTCGGTCACCTGCGGAAAAAGGAAGTGAGATATCGAAAATCTGAGACAAACCCGATCGATAAAATCCTTTCAGGTAGGTGCTAGTCAAGATTTCATCTCTTTAGACATTAAGATGGCTTCAAACACCTCACAAAAAGTTTTCAAAAGTAAAATCTACTCGCGACTTACAAAACCACCATAAAACGTGCCCTCATAGATTTTTGAGGGCAAGTTTTTGAGCGCGCCGTGTGACTTTGTCTCAGCAACAGCGAGTATAGTTACAATCTCGCAACTATGAACAGACAAGGAAAATATTGTATTAATATCTGTCAAAGGAATTTAATGTATTTTAACAACTTGTTCTAATAATGCTAATAAGGGGGGGGGGGGGGGGGGGGTCCAAGGGGAACTTTGGGGAGTTTTGGGGAACTTTTTTTTGGGGAACTTCAGGAAACCTGGGGGACTTTCCCAAAGTTCCCCAAAAAATTATCAATGAAACAAATAATTTTGGGGAATTTTGGGGAACTTTTTTTTGGGGAACTTCAGAAAGTTCCCCAAAGTTCCCCAAAGTTCCCCAAAAAAATTATTATGCCAAACAAATTATCATGCTGCAAGTATCAACAAGTAAGTTAAGATTATACCTTATAATAACATACATACAGTTAACATTAATGGGTATTAATGTATATTAGAGAAATTTTGAATAATTTTGAATAATTTTGAATAATTTTGAATAATTTTGAATAATTTTGAATAATTTTGATAATTTTGGGGAATTTTGGGGAACTTTGGGGAGTTTTGGGGAACTTTTTTTTGGGGAACTTCAGAAATCTTGGGGGACTTTCCCAAAGTTCCCAAAGTTCCCCTTGGACCCCCCCCCCCCCCTAATAACTAATCGATGAACCACACAAATGGTCGGCCCGGTGTGAGTGTATAGTATTGATTGTGCTCTGAAATGGGGCGCTGTTATTGGTTAATACAGCGGCCAATCAGGATCGAGCTGGTTTGTGGCTGCAGTCCAAATTTAGGATCATATCTGATTAGGTACCTAATTAGTGATTATGCACTTTAAAGTAAGATTAACTCGGTATTCACAATCCACATTAAATCGCTACATGTTGCAAATCAGCTGATATTTGTAACTTTAAAAAATAATTGTAACTTATATATTTATACAGCTCCCCAGTTTAACAAGCATTCAGGATAGAAGAACCAGCAGCGGTTAATGACACTAAAACAGAAGTGGAGAACAGTAAGAACAGCAGAAAGAGTGGAGTGAGATAAATATCTTCTCTTTTTCTGCACTGGTTACTGATACTCAACAGTTATTCAAGAAAATTCTGGCCTGGGTTATGTTTTAAAATTAGATATAGCCAGGCCCATGTCAGTTTTGTTTATGATCTTTTTATCATGAAAAATGATTGTGAAAAATGATTGTGATCTGGGCAAAAATTAGCTCGACCCCCACGGGGCATCGAACATGCGACCACCCTGCGGGGAGGTCGACGCTCTAACCTTCACGCCACTCGGGTGATGTACTGACTAAAATTGTGATGTCTATATAGTGCTTATTTGGCAGAAATTAGTACTGTATACAATCCTCAATTTCGAGTTCGACATGATTGTAATTGGGAAGTGGGAACATTAAACAACTCTTCTGCATTTAATTGGAACTGTGCATTCGGGGGCTTAGCTTTTGACTGATTTATCTTCCGGACAGTTCTTGGAAGTTCAATTAAAACCAGTGCAGTAGAAGAGTAAACTTGCATGAGAGTTAAAATGGTACTATAATAATTTGTGTTGTCAGGTAAGATTTCAGTTTGCACTTTGATACATTGGTATGTGATTGATATGCTGATTACAGATTACTGATAAAGATTGTTACATGTACAATTCAGAAAAATGTGTACATCAAATGAGAGTCTAACTGTCTTCTCATTTAACCTCTTAACTGACAAGTGACATGTCAGAAACATGAGTCGTCTTATAATGATACAAACACTATATAATATAATTTTCACGTTAAGTAGTGAGTAGTCAGCTTGACCTTGATTGGTTGCAGACAATTGTTGATGTGGATTGTGAATACCGAGTTAATCTTACTTTAAAGTGAATAATAATCACCTAATCACCAATTAGGTACCTAATCAGATATGATCCTAAATTTGGACTGCAGCCACAAACCAGCTCGATCCTGATTGGCCGCTGTATTAACCAATAACAGCGCCCCATTTCAGAGCACAATCAATACTATACACTCACACCGGGCCGACCATTTGTGTGGATCATCAATTAGTTATTAGCATTATTAGAACAAGTTGTTAAAATACATTAAATTCCTTTGACAGATATTAATACAATATTTTCCTTGTCTGTTCATAGTTGCGAGATTGTAACTATACTCGCTGTTGCTGAGACAAAGTCACACGGCGCGCTCAAAAACTTGCCCTCAAAAATCTATGAGGGCACGTTTTATGGTGGTTTTGTAAGTCGCGAGTAGATTTTACTTTTGAAAACTTTTTGTGAGGTGTTTGAAGCCATCTTAATGTCTAAAGAGATGAAATCTTGACTAGCACCTACCTGAAAGGATTTTATCGATCGGGTTTGTCTCAGATTTTCGATATCTCACTTCCTTTTTCCGCAGGTGACCGTAACGTACACGTCATTCTCTCGTAAAGGCGAGTACACTCTCTACTGAAACAAGTGCTGTGCGACACATGATTATCCTAGGATGATGAGAGTTAGTTTCTGGGAAAGCCCTAACGATGCTTAAAACGATAGGAACTGAAAAGTTTATGAATTATTGAAAACTTGTCCCCGGCACTTCGTTGAAGTCGCGAGATTCGATATCCATAAAGTAATGTCGCAAATTACTAGCAAAAACGTGCCCTCACGCGCGGGGGGTGTATTAGAGGCCAACAGCTGGATATCAGTCATTCTAGGGTTTGATATATCTGCAAAGGTACCCCAGCTAGCTTATTCTGCATTCATCTATGGCACATCCAACACAAGGAGCAAATAACAAATTGCCCTAAATATTCCATTGCGCTTTCAAAAATTCACGATAGGCAGCCATGCCATGGCTACCTTATCACACATACATTAACATTAATCTAAATAATGCAAATTGTGCAACGGACACGTTACCTAGCAGTCTTAAGTTTCGATTCCTTATGCATATAATGGGATTGTAAGTTCAACTCCCGCCAATGGAAGTTTTTTTCTTCGCTGAATTAGCAGTTATGAATCTCAACAATAAAAAATTCTTCAACACCCTATAATCACTCAGATATAATTAACTAACAATGTCTCAGTTAAAATTTAAGGCCCCTGGGTGTTTGTGGAAAACCAAACTTGCCAAATTGGAGGCTATGTTCCACTTAGACACAATTCGCCCATAGACACAATTGCAGAACTCTTAACCTCTGTGTGCAAAGATGTTGAAAAAGAATACCAGATGCTCTCTATACCTCTCTGTAACACACTCAAATTATCAAATAGTACCAATAGACAATTACAAGATGGTACCATCACAGATGTGTTAAACACCAGTGGCGTAACTTTACCGCACCAGCAAAATCTGACAATTTTTAGTAAAAAGACCTACATGTACAATCTTGGACGACGGAAACCTTTTATCAGACACAGACTGCAATTAGATCTGCTCTAAACTTGTATAATCTCTATCAGGCAATACAGAGGTGCAGTAAGTGATTTGGACCTTAATCTGATCAACACTCCTAGATCATAAGAGGAGTGTTAAATCAAATCAAATCAAACTTCAAATAAAAGTAATAGAAGAATTGTTCAGAGAACAACATATTTTACTATACCAGTCACTAACGAAAATGTCATTCAAGAATATACAATCAAACAATTTAAACAAACAAGCAATAGTAATTTTCGACCCTATTACAAAATAATAAATTAAATTTAAATTGAAATAGTAAAATGAGGGTAAAAAAAGGTGGCAACAGAATTTGTGATCATCTAAAAAGTTGGATC